TCTCTTAGTTTTCATACACAAATTGTAAACAAATTAAGCATTTAATTAACTCTTTCAGGACCTCATTGGGGGGGGGGGGGGGGGGGGGGGGGGGGGGGGGGGGGGGCTTTGACAGCCTTAATTTTGAGCATTTTTTTTACTGCAAAACGACAAAGCTAAAAAGTTCCTGAACAAAAAGTATTGGCTTTATTGGGACATACAATATAACAAATTAAAGATAAATGAGTGCAGAATATATCTAAACTATTTAAGTGTCAGTATTACAACAAAATGTTATTAAAATCGCACAACATAAAGGATGTTAGACACATATGAAGATTATTTTTTGCTTACCTTACTTTTTTACTTGTTCAACAACACTGCTATCCAATTCTAAGAATGCACATGCCTTCTCTGTTCAGTTATGTATCAGCTAGTCTTTATTTGGATTAATTTATTTATATACTTTGGATGTTGTGAAATGTAAGATTTCACAGCAACTGAAAATCGGGAAAACAGATGATCCGATTGAAATATTTTGTTTTATTTTTATATCCTAAACTAAATTATCGCCAGTAGGTTTGTCACTTAGATGTCAGTCATAATACCAAGACTATTGTCACCATAAAGCAGAGATTCATCAATGACAGAGCAGTATGAACAGTTCTAGACCATTTCCCTTGTCATTTAGTATAGAAAAATCCTGTAAAAATGGTATCACAAATAAATAATTTGATTTAAATGATAAAGTACTTAAATCATCAAGTGAACATTTAGACAGATGCATTAAAAAATGCTGAAGTGGTTGTAGATTAAAAAAATCTAGCTCAAATAATGGTAATAACCTTGTTGTTATACAAGGTTAATAATTTAAAATACGAATATGCATTGGCCGAGACTGTCATAGCGAGATGATAATGGAAGGCTTAGTGACAAACAATAGACCTGTGAAAAACTGACCTTTAGAATGTTTTAAGCTATATCAAAATATAAAATGTAATAAAAGTAAACATTTGAATTCTTTAGGGAAATAAAGTCTGCTTTGTATGCAGTCGGATTACTAGTAGATAAATATTTAATTATGAACTGTATTTACAAACTTACTTAACCTCAAATACACTGCGTACTGGGCCTCCTCCCCTCCCCCCAAACTTTTCACAAAAGAAGCAATTTATCATTTGCATGTCAAAACCACGTTATGTCTCAGTCTGGCATCTCTATAGTAACTCCTACTAATTGTCTCTACATGATTTGTCACATAAAGGGTTTAGAAAAACAGTTTCTCAATGAGGGTCAGTGTGGTCTTATTGTTAGGGTCACAGGTCGTTTGAATGCACATGCCAGAAGAGGCAAATTTAATGGCCGATTAGCATCCATGCATCGCTAGTAGTAGATAAAATCATAGTATAGACCTTGACAGTCGGCATGCATCTGTGACCTAGGCAGTCCGAATGCGCTTTGTAATCATTAATGTCAGTGTGCTGAATTTGATCCCAGCTGCAGGCAGTTTGACAGCAGACTGCCTTTCGTTTTCGATAGTGGTATCAAGAGCCAACCTTTCAGCTGCAGTGACAGACTATTGAACGTAAAATTGCCTATAAAAACCACAAGCAGTTAAAAAATCCTTGGGCTGGTTCTGCAATGTCCTGTAGAGGATACACAGCTTACTAAATGGATCTTCACACCACAGATTCACTGTCTGAGTGGATCAAACATAGTCAACAAGCAACAAAAAGAAACATTTTATATGATTGTATGTTGCTGAAAGATTTAAACAATGACCCATAAACAGAATCTCACTAAATGGCTTGGCTTAAAACCTTTGACTTGAGTGACTTATATTATGATAGATACCCTTTGAGGCAAAGTTAAATTCATTAGTATTAGTCATTACATTAGACAGACTTTCCAGGGTGCTGTGAATTTTTTTTTTCATTTTTTCAGATCTTTTGGCAGATGTTCTTTTTCTTATGCTGTTCTACTTAATGTCTTCAAGTCTGACCATTGTCATGTCACTTGTAAATATTAAATGAACAATACACATAGATACACATAGAGACCAACTGTGAATAATAAACTTGTACATTAACCCTATCGCTCCAAGAAGGCGAAGTCTAGTCACTTCCACTTGTGACACAACCCAGTTAATGCCGTTACATCGTCATTTCTGCAGTGGACTGTTTGTGGAAAGCATGGTGAAATGCTAAAGGTTTTATGTGTGCCTGCATAGTGTTTGTGAAGCCTGGATGTGAATATTTTAACCAAATATAGAATTCAAAATAGTTTCTTGGTAAATTCAATAGCTTTATTAAAACCAAGATGATTTAAAATGTCTCTGTAAGCCTCAGTGATAGAGGTCAGGGAGTCATGACATGAGTCACATGATGCATATTTGTGTCAGGTCCCAGGTAATGCATTCTATTTAATGCTTCACTCTGTTTTTGTTTATTGATAATTCCCTTTATATTTCTTTGTATATTTCTTGAGGCTTCGGATGTCGTTTTACAGATAAATCACTAGAATTCCGTAGAAAGCCAGAAATTACAACCCAGATATATTGAAACGGTAATGGCTTAAATATTAAAAAAACAGAGAAATTCATCATTTTTTGGTCATGTTACCAAAAGAAGGAAACTGGATCATGTTGTGACCACTGGAAAGGAGACAAAGGAAGACAATGTGAGGCGATTCTTTTATCATTGCATGGATATCAGCATACAAACTGATACGTGCTGTATGAAGATCGTAGATTGTGGTTGTGCATGATTGCCCACACCTATCAATACACTTGATGATGATATTTCAAAACAAAAATTTTTTTAATGTAGATATTGAATGTTAAATTAAGAATCGACATCAAAGCACTCAGAACACTCCGATAAGCGCTCCATCCCTATTTTCAGCAGCAAACAAAGAGTTCTAATTCCGATGACACCAGAAACTGACTGATTGTATATCCGTCTCGCCTTCCTTCTGAGTGTTGAACATCAGCCAGATCCCCTAGTAATCATCTGTTTGCACCTTTACATTGTTCATTCGCTCCCAGAGATTTCTCACAACATCTACCTTGTCATAAATCAGTTTACCACCAAGTGGTGAAGAACCCGCCAGTCTATCTGCCTGCTCATATCCGAACACACCGAGATAACCTGGAGAGAATATACAAAGGATGTTACCTACCTGGGAACTCTGAAGTGATACTTGCCACTCTGCACAGAACATACCTGTCTCCACCTTTCTCAGCATGCTCTGTGAGTCAGCTTACAATCACAGCATGTGTACAGCCGATTCTCAAGCCAGCGGAATGCAGCAGTGGCTGCCTCTGCCTCCATTCTTAAACTAGATGTAATATCATATGCCAGGTGTAGCTGCACTAAGCGACATCCATTCGCTTTTGCTATAAACCCCCATGCACTTCGTCTGCCCCTCAACACAGAGCCATCTGTATAAATAATCACATCACTTGGGCGGGAATTTGTCATTAATCATTTCTTGAATTTCTGATTCCTGCATTCACATGATAAGAACCTTATACAAGTCTGAAACTTGCACGAACACTTTGAACCACTGCTCACCTCGCACAAATTTATCAAGCCTACACACAAGTCTGTTTATGTCTTCAGCTTGCGCCACCCAAGACCTTTCTCATTTCAGTCTGTGACCCTTAGCTCTACCTAGGGCTTCATGCAGAAGGTGATTCTTGTCTGCAGCTACTCTGAGATATGACTTTGCTTGCACAACATTGAGCCTATCTGCAATAGTAGGCAGTGCAAGCATATATTGCACACTTACTACAGGGGTATCTCTTGTACATCCCAGAATTACCCGCATAGCTTCATTCTTTATGTGTTCAAGTTTTATCAGCTGACTCTTTGATATGGTAAGCATTCCAAGTCCATAATCTATCACCGACAGGATCACATTGTAAACAACATTCTTTGTTTCATGTCTATTGCTACCATAATCTTGAGAGCATTAAGGCTTTTTTGGCATTTCACTGCAACTGCCTCCACATGATCCCTGAAGACAGGTTTCTATAGAAAATGATACCCAGGTACCTCAGTTTTCTTTCTTTTTTTATGTTCATCATCATCATGTAGCAGGTCCTTTGCAGAACGTCGCTCTTATCATGGTCTCTCACCAGCTCTCCCGCCTCATGTACTTTCATACTGAAGGAGTCACTTATATCCTGTGCCCATCTAGTGTTGGTTGGCCCCTGCCCCTCCTTCCTGGTACCATGCCTTCTGCTATAATTTTGTCTAATCTGTCGGGGCGCTTGATATGACCAAAATATTTCAGCTTCCGAGACAGGATGCTGTTTATTAGCCAATCTTCCTTGATGTTCAGATCTTTAAGATGTCAGTATTTCTCCTCTTCTTTGTCCAAGATATTCTGAGAATCTTTCTATAGCATTTCAGTTCAAAAGCCCCTCTTCTCTTTCTTAAGGACTGGGAGATAGTCCACGACTCACATCTGTACATTGCTACAGGGAAGATGCATTCTCTCAAAATTCAAATTTTGATCTCCTTGCTGGTGCTTAACCATAGAATTTTTAGGCTGTTTAATCTTTTCATTGCTATGGCCATCCTCCTTTTAATTTCTGTCAAACAGTCTTCATTGCTATTTATTATAGAGCCTAGATATTAAAAGCTTGTGACATTTTCAATTTCTTCATCATTTATTATTTTTTGGGTGACAGCCAGTTTAATCTGTGGACATTATTTTTGTTTTCTTTAAATTCAAGACAAAATTTTTATCTTCACTGTACTTTTAGACAGACAATATTAGATTTTCTATTTCCTTTACGCTGTTTGAAAGGAGGACTTTTGATGCTATTGTTTCAAGCCCTTATACTAGTTTAGGTTACAATCATCTTTGATTTTACGGTCAATCTTAACCATGAATATGGCCAACACTGTCGTATGAACAAATTAAAATTAGTTCTCTGTTGACATTTTTTCATTTTGTAAGCATTGAAATGAGAGGCTACTGTTAGTTCATATTTCAAAATTTGTTTTCAGATCAAGATATTTTTCCTTTGGGTCATACCTTGCTTCATGGAACTCTCAGGCTGTAAGATCCACATTCATTGAATATTTCAAAGATCGGGGTCATGTGTTTGTGCCATCATCCAGTGTCATCCCTCAAAAGGGTGATGGAACATATTTCACTAATGCTGGAATGAACCAGGTACCTCTTGTATCTGTAACAAGCCCTTTTTCTTTATGTTTGTTTTGGTTTACAAGTATTAGCTTTGATGAATTAATGAGTTAATTTATTATCCATAGTAACATGTTGGATTAAAATATAATCTCTGGCAGCTTAATGGATTATTATGTCATCATGCTAATGTCTGAACTCATTATGTTAAATTACTTAGTACATAAAAACAAAATTGAATTCAACATATTTGAATTTGTTTAGTATTTGTGATCAACCTGACAGACTTTAGAGACCTTACCATGATCTACACTGACTGACTTCTGAGACCTTACCTTGATCTACACTGCCACAGGCCTAGCTCCTGGAACACATGGACACACAGTCTGCTCTACCACTAACACATTGAGACATTGTAGAAGAGCAGATGTATATCATGCATGAGTCGTTTTATAAAACCACCATAATTGTTTTTGCATTTAGAACTTTCCTTCCTAACAGTTCAAGCCTCTGATTCTTGGAGAATTAGATCCAAGAAGTAAATTTCAAAACCTTGTCCGTGCGGCGAACAGCCAGAAATGTATCAGAGTTGGGGGGAAACATAATGACCTTGATGATGTGGGATATGACTTTACCCATCATACCTTTTTTGAGATGTTGGGTAATTGGTCATTTGGTGATTATTTCAAGGTAAGTTTGTATGTGTTTTTTTCTGATGTCAAGATAGATTTGTGTTGTCTTTTGTTCCAATTTCAAGGCAGATTTGTATGCTTGTTCTAATTTCAAGGAAGGTTATGTTTTTTTTAATTTTAAATCTGAGTTTTATTATTTTGTTCATGTAATTTAAGGTGGGTTTGTATGTTTTATGTTTTTATTTCTTTTCTGGGGAATCGAGAAATTACAACTGAATCTAGAAGGCTTTTTTTTGTTCACATTGATAAGTCTGTTGTCCTATCTTTACTTACTTCACTGATTTAGCATTCCTATTGCACAGTTTATTAACTCTCTACTTGTCAAAATCAACTGTTACAGTTTTAACAACGATACTAGGGTACAGAAGGAGTTCAGAACAGTATTTTAGCCATTAAGTATCAAATTAATGCATGATGAGTTGAATTATTGCTTTCCTGTGAAATAAATTTACATTTTATATTAAAGAGAAACAAACTAAACATAATATTTCAAGTAGAGTGAGACAATCTTTTCTTGCTACTTTTTTCTTTCTTTTTCTCCTTCCCAGCCTGTCCTGTTATCTGTTTCAATTTCTGTCGACTTTCATTTATATCAGTCCATTCTTCGTTCATGTCCTTTAGATGTAGCTTTTGACACGTGCGAAAGTTGGACGGAGGAGTACTAGATAGTATGATGCCTCGCAAACCTGCCAAGAGTCTAGAGGGTCACTCAATGATGTCAGTCTTACCAGTCACAGCTTCCGCTCAACAATAACATAGAACTCTGAACACAGGCCCACCGTCAAAGTCCACACAATATTTAAATTTCTTAAAAACAAAATGCATCATGAGATACACTTAATACAGTCATTCCTCCTCCTACACAGGTGTGCATACAGGACGTTGCTCCAAAGGACTTCTGTCACACTATGTCCAGTGTTTGTTACAGGCAATTAGTACCCGATCACACAAATCCACCTTCATGATTAATATGCCTGTCATTCCAATGATGTCTATATGTTGAGGTGACCGTCATTAGAGATCATCCAGGCCGATGCACATCTATTTAAAAACTATCCAGACCTCTCGTCTGAGGCCTGTCACATTACCTTGGGGATCCCTCATGCTGGAAACCTGTTACTATAGCAGCACCCGCCAGCAACATGAACACTGTATTCCGTTATATAGTGAACAAGTCTAGCCTGGCAACACCCAGACTAGAACATACATTTACACGTACTTCCTCTTCAGAGTCGTGGAGTCAACGGCCTCTCTCTCTCTTCTCACATCCTGTTGAATCTTGTACTGGACCGCACCATGTTTTACGTTCATAAATGAACTTCCCTTTCATGTACCCATATATTACACACAACAGCTTTTAACTGTCTCTATTAGTGTCCTCTTGAATTTCTGTCCAGGAAATGCATTCTCTGTCTCTCTGTCTGCACCCATTTATTCATCATGGCTAGACTGTCTTAAACTGGTGACCTCTGTGGTCGGCAACAACATGTATCAGTTCGTATGTTGACATCCCTCCATGTCATGACAAAAGGCTGTCAAGAATCTTCTTGCACTGTCTTCCTCTGACTTTCTTTGCACAGAATTTTCCAGTGCTCACAGCATGTTCCAGTTTCCTTCTTCTTAGAACATGACGAAAATGAATGTCTTTATGATGTTTATGATAAGTTGTCTTTGAGCCCTCACCTCTTTCAGAATATCTTGGTTACTTTCTATGGCTGTGCAAGGAATTCTAAGGTGTTTTCTTTAAAACCAAATCTTCAAGACATCAAAAAATTGTTTGGCTTGTTTATTAATTGGCCAGGATTCACAGCCATATGTTAAAAATGGCTCTGTTTAGCATGCAAGAATCCTTTTCTTAACCTCCAAGACATGGATTTATCACGTTGAATTATCTTAATTTATAAAATGCAGTTTGGCTAGTTAAATTTTTTCTTTATCTCTGTGACACATCTTTCTTTGGGTGCTATCCATGTGCCTAGATACTTAAATTTCTGTTCTTGTCCTCTTTGACTTTTATTACACATTTAGGCACTACTGCTTTCTTTGATACCACCATTGCTTCTGGCTTTCCATTATTCAAACTGAGGCCAATTTTATCACTTTTTACCACTAACATATCTATCAGTCCTTGTAGTTCTTTGTGACTTGTCCCTACGAAGAAGGTGTCGTCAGCATAATGTAGGTTGTTTATTACTACCACCCATAATTCCTGGCACAACTGTGATAGATCTCATCATTATACATTCACTGTAAAATTAAAACAAATTGTAATTCGTAAATCTTTTCCATCAGTGTTTTATTTTCCCAGTAACGTGATTATGTCCTCACGTTTCATACAATCAGCTGCTTTCATATAGTTAATGGAGCATTAGATAAGATCATTATTTTACTGCTATAGTTCTTTCCAACAAAGTCTTATGAGGAGGTAAATTGATTGCTTGTACCTTTTCCTTCTACAAATCAACACTGTTCTTCACTAATTTCTGGTTTAATCTTGTTTTTTATTCTTCTCATATGTATTCTCAGTAACAATTTTGTCACATGGCTTAAAAGACTTATGGTACGATAGTCTTCACATTTTAAATTGCCTGGTTTATTTGGCAGGGCAGAAAATATAGATTTTAATAGGTCATTACGAATGTACCCACTATTATAAATGTCATTGAACAGTTTTGTTATTAGTTCAACTCCAGAATATCCATAAGCTTAAGTTTCTTTAAATTTATATTTATTTGTCTGTGTTTGATGTAATTCTGTTCTTTATTGATTTGACTATATAACATGTGTCCCCATGTTCTAGAGCTCCATTTCTGAGAGGAAAAAAGGGAATTGACCAACTGCAATATAACAAGCGTGTCGTAAAAGGCAATTAATTAGGCATTGCTGAAACCAGATGTGTTGAGTGGAAAGCACATATCACCCAGCTATAAACTACATCACAGCATGTCAGCTGTCCTTATGTTCGTGAGTGCAAAAGGATATTTGCATAATTGATCATGATAGCTTAAGGTTCTGGCTGTAGCAGACCTGGTTGACTGTAAAAGATGATACGCATCTTCTCCCACTCTATTCTTTCAGACATTGGATGTTTGATTACACATGTAGCCTTCAATGATGATGTTAAACATCTAATGTCTCACAGGTGTGTTGCACTATTATGAGTTACTTGGCTGTTGGATTTTGAAAAGAGCGGTCCAAAAGACTGTTGCCCATGTAACATTTCAAATTAGAAATCTACCAACCATAAAAGACATTTGTAGCAAGTGGAATTCTTTGCACAAAAACATTTGGATCTTGCTGGAGCTATGAAGTTCTTCTTTTATGTTGAGATTCTCCTTGTTTGATCTGTGAGAAGAGACTGAAGCACAGGGAAACAACTTGTGCAGTAAAAATGACCCTGTATGGACACCAAAGCTAAACTGAATTACATATTAATATGCTGATGTGTTTGTTGAACAGGCGGACGCATGTCAGATGGCCTATGAGCTACTGACCAAGCATTATGGAATTCCTGCTGATAGATTATACTTCACATATTTTGCTGGTGATGAACAAATGAACTTACAACGTGATGATGAATGCAAGAATGTGTGGCTTTCTTTAGGGTGGGTATATTTTTTAGTTGTGTATGCCTTCTTACAGAGTATTGCATTACATAACATAACCCTTGACCTGTTAGGGTTGTGGAGATGTATTGATGGAAGCACTAACACACAAAATCCGTCATTTCTCTCTGTCTTTCGCAAGTGTGTGATAACTTAGTCATTTCCATTTCTTGATGTTGTCATTCTAGATCCTTCTCTGTCCTCTCCTCTTCTTTGACTACCCCCAAATGTTACAGCTTCCTGCACAGAAAATTTTTGAACATATAAGGCAGGGACTCACAGAGTGCTCACTCAGGATTAAGTCCCGGTTGAACGTAAACACCACTAGTGATTGTTTATAATCATTATTCCTTTTTCCTCCTGTTCAACTGAAAACCGACATCTTATTTTTAATGCCTGTAACTGTCTTAGTTTTGCATTTGGATTGTCAGTTTTTCTTCAGTAGTTGTTTGACATGCTTCTATCCCAGCATGAGTCAAAAACAGGATGTTACAATCTAGAGTTGTATGGATGTCCCGTAGTTTTTCTGCAGGGTCTTCCCTGAGAGCCTGATTTCTTCTCTGTGACATGCAGAGTGTGTTATCTTTTAAGACATGACATTGCTAGTGATGAACAAACTGTCATAAGGATCTAAACATATTGGACTTATGTACTTTACTTTCATGCCCAAGTTGTGTCCGGTATCTTGTGTCCACTTCTTGATTGATTCTGTCTCTTTTCCAGGAACCATACCTCCCAGTACTGTTCTGTTTGAGATGCTGCAGAAAGCAGACTATTTAGCTAAATAAACTGAACTGTTACAATGCACAAGTAAGTAATTCAGATCTCAAACCCATTGCATTTTCTATCAGACTTGAATGCAATATTAAGCTGTGTACTGTCGGCATGACCAGACTTCCTGTATACTTCAGTCTTCAGAATGCCTCTGGTTCAGCATCATCATTTGTGAAAAAAAAGAACAAATTGTTCCATTTCTGAAAATAAAAACTATAATTTTTCCAAACATTTATGTTAACACTTGCAGATCTTAGCGAAGGAACTCTCGATTCTTGATCTGAAAAATTGATGAGTGATGTGATGGTCATCTTGCCGCACATTATTTGTGGGATTAAAAGGAGGCAGAGCTTTTCTATGGTCCCTACAAAACATGCACAGTTCTAATTTACATGAAGCTCCACTGACATAGCTTGAGTCCAAGTTAAAAAGACTTGATCCAGTTATGGATCATTCTGTGGAGAATATACATCAGTAGACTTATAAAGGTGATAGACATCTTAACTGACTTGTATGGAAAGGATCAGGAAAGCTTCCTAAAAATATTCTTGCTTACTGAATCAGAACATCGGCTGCTGGCCAAAATACAAATTAATAAAATAAAAATAAAACACTTTCTGCTAACAGAATACCTGGCTGTCGAGTTTTGCCATTTGGAGTGAAGGATAATTTCTGGGAGATGGGGTTGATGGGGCCCTGCGGGCCTTGTACAGAAATCCACTTTGATCAGCTCGGCAACAGAGATGCAAGCTCAGAGGTCAACACTGGATCACCCAATGTTGTAGAAGTATGGAATTTGGTCTTTATGCAGTATAACAGGCAAGCTTTGTTTGTGTATTTTTTCTTTCATTTTTAAACCTCCCATCATCATTATCTTTTATCTCTTATGTGGATTAAAAGTAAATATTAGTTTAAAAACTATATTGATGCTCCTGCATTTGTCTTAATAAATTTCTTCTTTTTCTGCCATCTATCCCCCAGTAAGGCATAAATCCTCTGCCAACTCATGCCAAGTCATTTTTTCATGGGTGGTTGGTTTTTGTGGCTATTGTTTTTACAGGATGAGGTAGCCAAACCCAGGCCTAACCCTACCCTTAGTCGCCCCTTACAACATGCCTGGTAGGGTGCACTGTTACTATTCTTTGCTTAATAAATTTAGTGATATTTAATTCATGTCCAGGGTTCATTGTTTCATGAGAAATTACTCTTGTTTTTTACTGGTGTACTTAAAGATGTTACTTATGATAAATGTATAACATTTCATTTATTTTCATCTGTGTATGAAATTAAATAAAGCATTGGAAATTATAATTAAAAAAACAGTGACAGTTTATAATAGTAGTAGGGATAACAATACTCATGATCCATTAAAACAAATAAAATAAAATAAAAATATAAAATTAATATTAAATAAAATAAAAGTGAAAACAGTAACATTGTTTAGATGAAGGCATGCTGAACATTGATACCATCTGAGCTTAGAGCACCTAGACTACAGATACAGCAATTTTCCCCCCAAAAAAGCGTGTTGTTCTATTACCAGAGCAAGATATGGCAGTTACAGATATATCCTTTTCGTCAATGTGACAGAGCTGTTGAAATGAAGAGGGACTGGTTTGAGTATCTTCTTTTAAATATCCAGGAGTTGTTCCAGGAAGCGATTAGCTAGCTTTCTGCCAGTTTCTCCAATATATGTCTTGTTGCATTTATTTTACAGGTTTTTGCATAAATTACGTTTCAGATTCACACTTAAATGCTTCCCTTTTCTGAAATGGACTGCTAGGAAAATTGACCGATGAGGTCTTGACACCGAATGAACATGTTCTGCATGTAGTGCAGGAGCATCTTATAGTCCCAAAAAGAGTGCTATATTGATCGGCGGGAGTTGGCTTCTAACGAGTGTGTCTTTTAGGTTGTGGTCTCAACTGTAGACTAACCTTGGCTTCTCACTGAATATCCTCTGGGTGTCTGAATTAGTGGGGAGGATGTCCAAGTGGTGAACAAATATTTTGGAAGCAACCACATTGTTGGGATAAGAAGTTAAAATCAGTTTGGGTCCACACTAGTGGAATTGCATTTAACAGGAAAAGCATCTCTCCTTGTGATGTGTAGTATGTTGTTTAGAGCCTCTTGCAGTATGTCCTCAGGATGGAAATGGTCACAGAAATACACTCATCATGCACTTGCAAAAAGTATGGTTTTAGAGTACAAATCAAACGGTTTTTCATCTGATAATATACACAGTCCTGATGCGACAGTCTGGTGTAATTGTATATTAGGTGCTTTAATAGCATTAGAAAATGTCACTACAGAAGTTTTTATCTGAAAAGATTGTTATTTTTCCCAGAAAATGGACTTGATTTGAATAAAATTTGTATTTTGGTGATGGGCGGGGCCCCATCAATGTTAGGTAAGCACTAAGGTGTGACCGCCTGACTTTCTACAGTTGGACCTTATATGCAGTCGCTGCATTGTCTTATCCATCAAAGTGTTCTGTTCAGCAAACTGAGTGACAAGATAAAAGAAACAATTAATATAGTGATGATAAATTTAATTCGATTCTCAAGTCTTCAGCACAGGTTTTTCTGCAGTTACTTGAAGAAATGGGTGCAGATTACAAATACAAAGACTTACACACCAGCACAGTGACGTTCCTTGGCTGAGTAAAAGGAAAGCACATGATCGTTTTTGAGTATCAAAGAAGAAATAATAAGTTTTCTCTGAAATTGTTCACATAACAAGGCAGAAAAGGGTAGGAAAGTGTTACATGACAGTGCATTTTGGCAAATGTTTGTTTTCTAAACAAATTGTTTGCTCATTTGAACACACTGAACTTGCAGCTTCAAGGAAGACAGTCATAGGTCTGGTTGAAAAATTGAACGCCTTTTGAGATGAGCTGTCTTTGTTAGTAAGGGATCTCTAAACAGCCAAACTTCCTTATTGTCCAAACCTGAAAGATTTCATTTCTTCAACATTGGACTCAACAACCATTACCAGCCAACAAAGCTTCAGAATAATTTCAACAACAGATCTGAAGATTTCAGTATCCCAAACAATATAAGTTATTTGTTCGAGATCTTTTTAAAATACCTCCTGTGATGGATTTTTCCTCAAATGCTAAGAAGCTGTTTTCATCTGTTGATAAAGGTTCCTTGCAGTTAGAACTTGTGGATATCCAAAGTTCCAGTGAACTGAATGAAGACTTTCAAGAAAGTTGTTCAGTCAAGTTTTTGTCTGAAAGGATTCAACCAGAACAGTTCCTTAATGTTCGAAAAGTTGCACTATTCATACTTACTATGTTTGGTTCAAATTTAACTTGTGAATCAAGCTTTTCACACATGAAAGTTATCAAGACAACCAGTCTGAGCTTACTGAGCAATGATAGGCCACAGGACTGCAGGAGAATTTCTCTGACTTCTCAGCCAAATTTTATAAAATTATCTAAAAAAACGGAAATGCAAATTTTCTCATAAATTACATTTTGCCTCATTATACATTTCGGTTTCTTCTGCACAAAGCCATATGAAACTAACTGTGGACAGTTATTATTAATAATATGATCCCCCGTGTTTGTTCCAGGGCCCTACTATGAGAAAAACAAGAATAGACCCACTGCCTACCCAAAAGCATGTCGTAAGAGTTGACTAATTGGGAGCTTCCTTCGAAGATAGAGTGCATCTGCCTGAGATTCAAGGAACCAACAGACTGCATACAGATCTGTCAAACGGATGCACATGCAACACTCAGGTTCTGGAACAGGACTGCAGTCCAGAAGTGGACGAACAACCAGAACTTTCCGCCGGAGTTCACAGCCGGTGAACGCGAAGAAGAAGAAGATTAATATGATATGACAGTTCAAGTGACAATGCTAACATTTATTTATAGTTCTAACGACAAGTTAGAAATACGTGTATTTCAATTAAAAGTGAGTATTAATTAATCATTGCAAAAGATTGTAGTACACTTTACATTATAATGGTTGACAACACTGTTTCATTTATATTACCGTAGGCTAGGCCCTAGGCGTAACAGTTTTAGAGTTTATTAAAGTTATGCATTTAGAATTTTGTCAGTTATATTGTGTTAATCTTTCTGCACTTGGACTCGGGCCACTGGCCGGCGACAATCCCCATTTTAAAAATTTTGGCCCGCGAGGAAACTTAGTTGAATAAACAGCCTTGTCATCAAGAATAAGATGACTCTTATGTGCAGTTTTAATGTAAAAAATCTTTTTTTCTGTTCAGAATCATAAAGAATAAGACAGCTAAGTGCTGCCTTAGCTTATTCCAAAATTTTAAAACCCATGCAGTGCAGAATGCTTAGTGTTTCTGTTCTTTTCAGATATAGAATCCTTTCTGGTAAAATAAGAGTTCTCTGAGCTTAGAAGCTCCTGGTGTGAGGAAAAAATAGGAGATAAAATCATTTCCAGTGAAGTCACCAACTAACTTTTAATCTCTCTTTTGCCATAAAATCATTTGTTTGTCTGTCATGAAAACTTTAGGAAATGCTTAGTATGCTTATATTTACTGCTGTTCTTTTCCAAGTGAGCTTGAAGGTGGCTTTAGTTGTTATTGATGTATTTTACACTTAGTTTACATTTTGTAATGACTTCTTTTAATCTGCTTTTCTGAAATCAGACAGAAGGACCAGTCATTGCAACAGCTGAGAACCTTCCATGTTGATACAGGCATGGGGTTGGAGAGAATGACTGCTATCCTCAGTGGCACTGCTGACAACTACAGTACTGATCTCTTCCTGCCGCTGTTTGAAATCATCCAGAGGGTGTGATTTCTTATTTGTTCATTCATTAATCCAACTATGTCTGTCCAAATGAATGGCCACTATCTACTTGTACATTTATCCAACCAGCCATCTGTCAGTTCTATTATATATCCCTCTACCTCACAATTTCTATGTTGTTGTTTCTAACACTGTTGTCATCAATCTTTAGTGTGATTTGTTTATAAAGGCCAGTCGCTCTGTTTCTCCTTCTGCCATTAGACATGCTCTTCATTTAGTCAGTTATATATAAATCTTTGCTATTTAAGTAATTGAATGTAACATGCTTTCTCTCATGGGGCCCACTATATCAGAGTCAGATTCTTTGCTAAATCACTTGAATAAGCCAGAGCTATTTATTTAGGAACACTGTTCTCTTTGACTAGTTAGGTCTCCTCTCTCATGTGAGAAAAGTTTTCTAACAAGTTTTTTATGTCAATCTAAGTTGAAATCTTCTTTCTGTCTCAAGTTTCTTGTGGAAATGGTAATACTTTAAGGCTTTTCTTGGAGCTTTCTCTTGTTCCTGTGATGGGTAGAATTTAATGTCTGTCTCTTTTTTAAGCAAACCATTGTTGTGTCTCATGGTGTACACTATACATTGTGTTCTCACTTTCTGTCATAAATAGTTGTTTTTCACTGTCTGTATTTGTCTCACCTTCAGTAACTCTTTAGATGTCACTCAATGCATTGTTTGGTAACATGTTTTTTTATTCTATGAGGTCCTTGTAGGGAGGGGTGGCCAGCCTTGTTTAGGCTCACAAGCTACTTTTTATCTGAGAAATCACTGACGATCAACTTCAAAGACTGTAGAGATAAACTTGATAAACTTACAAAGAGTTCTTAAAAAGGAAAAAATAAAGGCCATAACCATGGAAACAAATATGCATAGTTGATACATTCAGTACTTATTAAACTTGTTGATGAACATTAAACATTGCAATGAAAACATGACATTTATTTTTTAAGAGACCTTTGACCTGACCTTATGCTGCATTCCATCAATGATTTTATCATATTGACAATCATGTGATGTAACTGCTACTTTCAAGCAGGAAATCACAGTTATTAGGTTTCTCTGCTTAAATTTTATCACATTGATTGTAGAGAATGCTGATTCACCTAGATGTGTAGTTCTGAAAAATGCTGTCATATACCTGTCAGTTATTGAGCATGTTTTTTACAGAACATTGCTCTCTTTCTCTAGCTGGTTCTTGAGCCCCATGTGCCTTCATAGCCACTGTGTCTTTGGTGTTGTGTATCCACCTTCATGGAGGTGGCCTCGTGTCTCATTTTCCAGAGACTGCATCATCCATCACCATTCTCTCCAGACCAGCCTGGCACTTGGCATGATCAGAATACCTCAGCTTTCGAGACAGGATGCTGTTTATAAGCTAATTCTGCTGGATATAATACCATCTTTGAAAGATTTGGTTCAGATTCTTCTAGTTTTGGTATTTTAGAAAAGAGTTCATTCGCACAATTGTTTATTTGCTTAAATGGAAATGCTGTGAAATCTACAGTGTCTTCTAACTGGAAAAACTCAGTTAGTCTTCTTTCAAATCGTGTGCGCAGATTGTCTAATTGAGTCTAAAAACACTTGAAACGCGGAAATGTTTTATTCCTACACTCATCATCCATGTAACTGAAGTTCTTTAATCACCCTTCCTCAGTTGAGCTGCGAACATCACAATCCTTTCCTTGAAATTCTTAATCACTATTGTAACTTCTATAAGAGATTTTTCTTTTCCCTGCAAACTTTAAATTTTCTTTATTTAACTTTTTGTTAATATTACAAAGAAATTAAAGTTTCAGTACCCATTCTTGGTCTTCTAAACCACGATAACAGCCTCTTCGAGATAAAAATTAAAAAAAACACTAATTTCTGCAAGAAGGCTCCTGGATCTTCTAAAAAATACAGCCCAACTGAGCCAGATCTACATCTGTGTGCAAAAGGAGGTCTCCATACTCTCAGCTTTCTGTTTTACAAGCAAAGCTCGAAACTTACGTATTTGTAAGCTCTTGACATAAATCAAATTGACAGTGTTAAATGCCGGGACCAGATGCTACTTTTAATTATTTCCTACACAAACAAACAGGAATAACTAAGTTGACTCAGGGAAAAAAGTTCTGCTCTTCTTCTTCTTTGCATTCACCAGCTGATAACTCTAGTGGAAAGTTCGGCTTGTTTGTCGACCTATGCACTCTAGTCCTGTTCCAGAACTTGAATTGTGTGCCCATCCATTTGTAAATCTGGCATTTTTGGCATGCAGACTGTGGTTTCCTTGTCTCTAAGGCAGATGCACTCCAAATTCGAAGGAAACCCCTAATTCAACTCTTTCAACATGCTTTTTTTTTTTTTTAGTGAAGCAGTGGTTCTATTCTTTTTTCCCCCCCCTAAAACCCACAAATATTCTCTCTGTACTATGACAAAACTGAATTCAGTTATTTGTTTGCTTTATAAAAAAACATGGAGGATAAGTTAGCAAAATTTGTTTAATGTTGTAGGCATTACACAGTCATTTAGTGCAGTCATCACACATTAATAAAACATATTAACTTTTTTTGTGCTGTACAAATAACTGCAAATTAGGCTTATTGCTCTCTTTGCAATTCTTTTAGTACACAATTTTTAAATCTGTTTACTTGCAGTTTTCTGGTTGCCCTAAGTATGAGAGCAACACAGAGATGATAAATACTAGTTACAGAATTCTGGCAGATCACACTAGGATGTTTACAGTGGCTATGAGTGATGGTTTGATGCCAAGTTATAACAATTTAGGGTGAGTTGTGGCGCCAAGTTATAACAATTTAAGGTGAGTTTTGGCGGTAAGTTATGAAGCCACTTTGTAACACTTTAGGCAGGTGATATCAGTTTATAACATTTTAGGGTAAGTTGTGATACATTCAGAACAATTTAGAGTAGATAGTGATGCAGAGAGAAGTAGGACAGAGCTGCATTCTCTCTCCATCAGTTTTTATTTTATTTTGCTGAAAACGTTATGAGAAATTCAGTTAGTGAAGAGACTTGTTGACAGCTTTGCTCCACACAGAATTGGAGATAGACCTAATCTAGAACTCAGATGTACGGACCACACAGTTCTTCTATCCAACAGTTGACAAGGCTTACAAACATTAATTTCCCTGTCAAAAACTACAGGGAAGAAGAAATTATTTCTGAATCTGAAAAAAATTCAAAAAAATAAAATAAAAAAAGAAGAAGAAAAATCAGCAGAACAACTACATATTAAAATTGACCACAATGGGATTGAAAATTGTAAAGATTTTGAATATTAAGGCTCAGTAATGAACAACAGTTTGTGTCTGTAGCGAACGGTTTTGTAATGCCGGGGTGCTGCGTTCGATCCCAGCTGCGAACGGTTTGTCTTGAGTTGGTTCCAACAGTGGTATCAAGAGCTGACTGTTCAGAGACAGTGGCAAACTACTGAACATACAATTTGTCTAGAAAAACTACAACAGCCAAAAAATGCTGAGGTTGGTTCTGCAAAATCCTGTAAAGGATACAAAACTAACTTTTTAAAAATAAATAACAGTGGTGACTGCACACGAAAAAGTCAGAAAAAGACTTGCTTTAGCAATGCAGAGGCTAAATGGCATGTAGAACCTATGACATAGCACCTGCAAGCAAGTTAAAGTGCAAATTTTGAGATGCATCCTACCCTTGGCAGTATATGGATGTGAGTAGTGGACTGTCACTCAGTCTTTGAAGAGTAAAAGTCTGAGCTTTTAAAATGAAATGTTACAGAAAGATTCTTAGAATGCCGTGAGCTAAGAAGAAGAACAATTTTGACAAGCCACATGATCTGAATAACAAGAAGAACTGGCTGGTAAACAGCATCCTCTCCCGAAACCTTTTTGGATGTGTCAAGTGCCATGGTGATCTGGAGAGAATGGTGATGGAAGGTGCAGTTTGCAACATCAGCAACAAAAATGTAGAGACTGAACTCCACGAAGGTGGATACAGGACATTGAAGAGCATTGGCTATGAAAGCACACAGGGCTGGAGAATTGGCTAGAGAAAGAGAGACTTTCAGGTGTGCCATGAAGAGAGTCATGTTCTGTGAAGGATGCGCTAATTGAGTGATGCAAAGGAAAGTGTAGGACCTCCCTATCATATGTGTGCTAAAAATACAGTGATGCCAAGTTATGACACTCTATGGGAGGTAGTGATGCCAAGTTATGACACTTGATGGAAGTTAGTGATGCCAAGTTATGACACTTTATGGAAAGTATTGATGCCAAGTTATGACACTTTTTCAGAGATATTGATGCCAAGTTATGACACTTTATTGGAGGTAGTGATGCCAAGTTATAACACTTTATTGGAGGTAGTGATCCAAGTTGTATCACTTTTTGAGAGGTAGTGATGCCAAATTATGACACTTTATGGGAGGTAGTGATGCCAAATTGTATCACTTTATGGGAGGTAGTGATGCCAGTTTATAACACTTTATTGGAGGTAGTGATGCCATATTATGAAACTTTATGGGAGGTAGTGATGCCAAGTTATGACACTTTATGGGAGGTAGTGATGCAAGTTATGACACTTTATTGGTGGTAGTGATGCCAAGTTATAATACTTTATGAGTGGCGCGGTGAGTTATGTCACAGGCGTGAGGGGAAGTTAAGCCCAACATGATGTGTATAAGGAGATACTCCGTACGTCACTCAGGCGCCAGTCCTTCACTATCCTGGTTGTACGGAACCTCACGCAAGACCCCTACAGCACGTCCTCGTCGTGCGCCACGGATAATGTCTCAAATGAGCATTAACAGAGCTGTCAGGGGATCTCGGAGTTTGGCGGCCCCCAGAGGTGATGTGTCCTTGTGGCTCTCATCAGCCCGCCCCCAAACGCTTGGGTGAAAAATGTTATCAAAACTCATTAGGAACATGAGTAGGGTTGACAAACATACAGCTAAAATTACAACCCTTGGTTAAAAGACTGCTGAGTAAAGAGATCATTGCTCACTGCACATCCTCTGTTAATTCTCAGTGTCGTCGTCACCGCGCTGAGGTACAACCACAACAGCAACCATCCATAGGCTGGCCATCCTTGTACATCCTCGGTTGGCCCTCAGTGTCGTCGTCACCGCGCTGAGGTGCACCACAACAACAACCATCCATAGGCTGGCCATTCACGTACATCCTCGGTTAACCCTCAGCGTCGTCGTCACCGAGCTGGGGTACACCACAACAGCAACCATCCATCGGATGGCTAAGCCTAAATGTCCGACAAAACTAGATCATACGGATCAAAATCTGACCATCAAAATTTGCACTGAACTGAAAAAGACCGAATATCCACACCCAAAGACCCCACTCGCCCGAGTGTTGGGACAAAACTGATAACGATACGCCTGATTCAGGATGTGAAATTCTGTCAGGCTAATGTACCTATCTGTGTGGTCACAAAAGTCCAAAACCCACGGGCTGCTCCCCGCTGACTTCCAGAGGGCGCAGCCCCTGTCGAGTGGGAGGCCTGATACGGTTGTGAGGTTAAGCAGGCATGTGCAGGACGTGACGATTCCTTGGGTGAGCCCAGAATCAGAGCAATATGTGCCGGCTCTGCATGCATGGAAGCCTCCTTGGATGGCGGGGAATGCTCATGATCTGCCCCTGCCTTCCCTTGAGGGCCAACTGTTCCACAGGGGGCTGCCCCAAAGGAGTACTCTGGGGGCAATACCTGCGGCGAAGGAGACAAAATGGACACCACACAAATTCGGCAACGTCTCGACCCACACAAAACAATGGCCACAGTCACCCTAGAAATAGGCCTGACGTCTTCCTTCGAAGTCGGCGTACAGCTGCCCAAGAGGCAAGGAAATTAAAAACGGTTGTACACGCAAAAATCAGGTCCAGGTGAAAGCCAAAAGTCCAAGCGGACGATTAACCGGGACCTTCCACTGGAATTCACAGCCGGTGTTCGATAATAATAATAATAATACTTTATGAGAGGTAGTAATGCCAAGTTATGACACTTTATGGGAGGTAGTGATGCCAAGTTATGACACTTTATTGGTGGTAGTGATGCCAAGTTATAATACTTTATGAGAGGTAGTGATGCCAAGTTATAATACTTTATGAGAGGTGATAATGGCAAGTTGTAACTTTTTTGGAAGTAGTGATGCTAAATTGTGACACTTTATGAGAGGTAGTGATGCCAAGTTATAACACTTTATTGGAGGTAGTGATGCTAAGTTATGACACTTTATGGGAGATAGTGATGCCAGGTTATGATACTTTATGGGAGGTAGTGATGCTAAGTTATGACACTTATGGGTGGTAGTTAAGCCAAGTTATGATACTTTATGGGAGGTAGTGATGCCAAGTTATAACACTTTATTGGAGGTAGTGATGCTAAGTTATGACACTTTATGGGAGATAGTGATGCCAGGTTATGATACTGTATGGGAGGTAGTGATGCTAAGTTATGACACTTTATGGGAGGTAGAGATGCTAAGTTATGATACTTTATGGGAGGTAGTGATGCTAAGTTATGACACTTTATGGGAGATAGTGATGCCAGGTTATGATACTGTATGGGAGGTAGTGATGCTAAGTTATGATACTTTATGGGAGGTAGTGATGCCAAGTTATGACACTTTATGGGAGGTAGTGATGCCAAGATTTGGCACTTTAAGTTAAGTTGGTATGTCAGGTTAATAACAATTTAGAGGATTTAGTGATGCCATGCCATTACAGAAATTTAAGGCAGGTTGTTTTGCTAAATGATAATAGCTTTTGTTAGGTTTTGTTACCATTTTATGGCAAGTTTAAAATTGGTTGTTGTGCCAAATAATAACAGTTTATGATAGATTAAGATGACTGTTTATAATAATTTAGGGTATGTTGTATTTTCAGTAAAAGAACAATTTAAGTTGGATTTTATTGTCACATTGTAATAAATCAGGATAAATTATGTTTTCTAGGCTATTTAAGTTTAGAAGAAGCTAAATACAAACTGTGACTTGAAAGCTCACAGGAAGTTTATCTTCCAGTAGTTTACTGTTACTGAACAATAACAGTAGTTAATTACCTGTCAAGAGTCAGACAGACAGACCAGTTAAAAGAATGTTTGCTGTAGTTGTGAAAGATGCCTGAGGTGAGACAAGGTTTATAATTTGAATCACAGTTGAAACTAGGCAAATGCAAAAGCACACACCAGACAAGTTTTAAAAATAAATATCCAAGGTGATAAGTGGAAAACTAATTCTTCTATATGTATATCCATTCACACAAGGTTTTGCAATAGAAATGATAAATGTCAAGAAAGTATGCATGCAAGATTTGGAAAAGTGATTAAAAACTAGCTGGTTCAACAAAATATTTAAAAAAAGAAAAAAGAAATATATATAAATAATCAAATACAACACAGGTGATTTCAAAGCTCAGTGAAGGGAAAGGAAAAGACCACAAATACCTGCAAATGTTTTGACCAGTCTTTATGAACAGACAAAATAATCAGCAATGTCAACAAAATAAATAAGGAGGAGGAGGTAATGTACTAATTAAATAAAAGTATTTTGATCATTGTCCCTGCCGGGCTGAGAATATGAAACTATGATTTAAGCTATCATCGTTTAGGAACATATTTTAATATTCTGGCTAGGAAAGATTCATATTTATCTGCCAGGTACTTTGTTACGTACAGCAACTGTTGCCACCTTTTTCCAGTACTTAGTATTCATTGCTTGTTTTTATACCTTGGCTGGTTGATTTCAATGAAGAGGATTAGTATGTTGGAGGGAAAGACAGCAAAGAAGTTGGGAAGGGGGAGGTGGTGATAAAGAATTATGGAGGAGAAAGGAAAATGCCAAGTAGAAAGAAAATGTTAAGAATTTGTAAGAGGATAAATAGTATTTTGAATGACTTGGAAGGAGGGAGATGAAGTTTGAAAAGAAGGATGAAATTTGAAAAGAAGGATGTAAATTTTAAAGGAAAAGTTAAGTTGTGTCGAAAAATATATATTGTAAACCCACCCAAAAATTTTAGAAGGGGAAAATAAAAATACAAAGGAGAAGAAAACAAGAAGAAATATTGTCACGTATAAATTTAAGATATTTATGTTTGCAGGCACAAGCTACGAACAGTCATGTATCGCTGTCTGCATCTGTGTCGAAATATGTTTCATTTGGAGCCTGAAGTTCTGTTGCCACCGCTGATCTCTGCAGTATGCCAGTCACTAGTAAGTTGTTATTTTTTGCTGATGAGTAAACTCAGCTTTAGATCTACAATAGAGTTGGCAGTGTTGCCCACGACAGTCAAAGAAGGAATTTACACACTTCAGAACTTTTTAAGCTTGATGAACTATGCCATCTGAATACTAATAAAAATTGTAAAATAAATAATGTATAGGGAAATCAGTCTACAGGTCAGTTAAGAAAAGCTTTGATTCAGGCACAATAGTGGAAAAAGAATATTCTTTCTGATGATGGTAGTAGCTTAGCCATGTAAAATGACATATATTCTTGCTTCATAAACTATACTAGAACATCTGAAATGATAAACAGAAACATTTAATGAAGCATCTTAAAGATAATTTTTATATTCTTATTTGTATAATCAGCTGGGAAGTATAAAATCCACCAGACTATTTAACTTATACACAAAATTATATATTTTCAGAGAAAGAGTTCAGTGTACTACTGGGTAGTACTGAGTAGTTAGTAAAGACTTAAGTACAGAACTAATTGATTGTTACCTCAGTAGATTGTCCTTAATAGGTTACATCTAGGTCTATCCAGCATTGTCTCTTTTGGTCTGCCTCTACCCATTTTTCCACTGATCTTTCCAGTTGTCACGATGTTCTCCAATGTCTCTCTTCTCATTATGTGGCCAAAGAACAGTGTTTGTCTCTTTCTTATTGTTGTATATAGAGATCTACTTTCATTAGCCTCTTTCCAGCAATTATTATGTTATGCATAAAATATATGTAATATGCCACATTGCGGCGTCCATGGCTAAGGCGTTGCGAGTCCGACTCGTAAGCCAGCATACCGCGATCGAAACCCACTGCAGGCTGCGTGGATTTTTATCGTGGTATGGGACGTCGCAGGTCGACCCAGCCTAAAATGGGTACCAGGATGGGCTGTCCTGGGAAAGTAAAGACAGCCGGCGTAATGCTGACCACATTACCCACAGAGTGCTGATGGTCTGTAAAAATATGGGACGCTCTGCCCATATGCCCGATGCGCCGAAAGGCGTGAAAAGGGATCTTTACTTTACTTTTTAATATGCCACATTTCTCTGTCTTTCAAGGGCAGCACTTACCCAGAATTACTTGACAGTGAAAAACGGGTGAGTTCTCTGTTTGTTATCTGCTCATATTTGTAAACTGATAAAACTGGAAGGGCAGTCTACAGTAAGTTCCTGTAACTCCACTGACAGAGTGGCCATCTGACAAAGAAGCAACAGAATATGAAATCCAGGCTTGAAATGTAATCTGTCTCATTAAAACAGGGGTACCCAAAAGATTACTGTGAGGTTTTCAATCTGCAGTAGATTTATTGTACCAATAAGAAGGGCTTTTTATGATGTGTGTATGCAGGTTAAAGGTTTAAGGTTGAGAGGATCGACAGCGCCGGGACGGTGGTGGGGAAAAAAAAAGAATATTAAAGACACAGATTACTTTGTTATAGATATTATCTTATGGGTGTAGAACAGTGGTGGGCAACCTGTTTTCTCCACTGGCCAAATTTAGAATTACTAACGGCACAAGATGGGTGATGTGGTCAGCATCGCACCGGCCGCCTCTACTTTCCGGGACTGCACCCGATACCCACTTCAAGGCTGGGTGGACCTGGGAGACAAGGTCATTTTTGAAGAAAAGTCCGGCTCCACCAGGGAGCGAACCCACAACCTTCTGATCCGCGGCATGCGTCTTTGTTTTTTTTTTATTCATTTTAAATCACATTTTTAAAAAATAGTTTCTTACGTGACCTATTGGTGTTTGGAGTACTCTCCTCCTTGTTATTGTTGCGAAGTTCAGTTGTTTTTGAGAAATGCCCTGGCCGAACCATCGATTTGTAATGTGTTGTTTTGTGCACATTGCTTTTACTTCCTCATTTTGTTAAGCTTTTTGGTCACAGTTCGCTAGATTATTTTTGTTGTATTAGCTTGACTGCAGTCACCCCTATTTTCACCCTTGGAATTTAGTACCTGACCACATAAAATTGAAGTAGCGAGTGCAGTACTATGCCAACTAGCATTGCATGGTCAGAGGCTGAGAGTCCACACATTGTTCATTAAGAATACAATTAGTGTTACTGCCATTATCTTCACACCATTATGTTGTTTGTGAAGCATAGGACCAGTAACAACAGTAATAGGTTGAGTACTTTTTCTACACAATTAGCAAATGGTTTGATGATAATGATGATGATGGATTCTTATTTTTGTTGTCCAGTCAGCACTCAAAGGGTGATGTGGTCAGTATCCTGCCTGTTGCCTTGACTTCCCAAAACTTACTAATTTTAGACCAAATCGACACAGTAGCCAAGGAAATTTTAAAATCAGAATCAGACTCAGTGTTAATTCAAACCTAAGATCTTTGTGCTGGCAGGCAAGCATTTAGCTGCTACACTACAGCTCCCTTGACTGATAACAAAGGGCTGCATAATTGTTCTTTGATCGTTTATATTTCCTAAGAGATTGTACCCACGTTATTAATTAATATATAATACTAAAAGTAAGTACAGGACCTGTTTAACATCGTTAGAACATTGAGTATGTGGTTTAAAAAAAAAGAGTAAAAGATCCTCTTTACACAGATCGGTCATATGGTGCCAGACCCATATTTGTTATAAGCCAGTCTGAACGTGATGTATATATCAATGTAGCAGCTAATTGTAAGACTGCAAGAATGTTTATATCAATGTAGCAGCTAATTGTAAGACTGCAAGAATGTATATATCAATGTAGCAGCTAATTGTAAGACTGCAAGAATGTTTATATCAATGTAGCAGCTAATTGTAAGACTGCAAGAATCTATATATCAATGTAGCAGCTAATTGTAAGACTGCAAGAATGTATATATCAATGTAGCAGCTAATTGTAAGACTGCAAGAATGTATATATCAATGTAGCAGCTAATTGTAAGACTGCAAGAATGTTTATATCAATGTAGCAGCTAATTGTAAGACTGCAAGAATCTATATATCAATGTAGCAGCTAATTGTAAGACTGCAAGAATGTTTATATCAATGTAGCAGCTAATTGTAAGACTGCAAGAATCTATATATCAATGTAGCAGCTAATTGTAAGACTGCAAGAATGTATATATCAATGTAGCAGCTAATTGTAAGACTGCAAGAATCTATATATCAATGTAGCAGCTAATTGTAAGACTGCAAGAATGTATATATCAATGTAGCAGCTAATTGTAAGACTGCAAGAATCTATATATCAATGTAGCAGCTAATTGTAAGACTGCAAGAATGTATATTAAGGGTGGACCTGGCCGATCATGTCATTGTTTATGGGTTACTGGTATGTCAGGGTGCAAATAATAAATTCCTAATGTTACTGATAACCATTTTTTAAAACTGGGTTCACCTGAGCACTATTTTTTTCTTTTTCCACTTCAGCATTCCAAGCCCCTACTGCTGATATCGTTCATCTCCGTTCATCTCTGTGACTGCCTTCTCGTACCCTGGGGTGACTTCAAGTGTGTCTAGATCTGCTTATTAATTATCTATCCACCATCTTTTTGGTCTGCTTCGATTCAGCTCTTTTATGTATGCTGTTTTTGTCTCTTTGTTATCTGTCATTCTGAGCTCAGTAGAAAGAAACAAGTAATCTTGCTATTGCTGGCTTGAATTCAGAACTCTGTGTTAGCAGGCAAGTGCTCTAATCGCTTTGTTAACACATATTGTTTTTTCAAGTTGATGTTTTCTTCACACCAGGCTATTATTTGCTTTGTAAATTGATGCTTACTTTGCACCAGGTTGTTGATGTAGCTAAGGCTGTCATTGAATACCATGATCGGCAGAAAGATCAAGCAAACAAAGTTTTTAACAAGATGTTATCCAGAAGTTCACATGGAGGTCAGTTGTCTGGTGAGTGTCAGTTCCTGAAGTAAACAACATATAACTTTTAACTAGTTATCACAAACATCCGGATGTGACAAGCATTAAGGTCTGAAATAAATTCTCAAAACCTGGACAGAACAGAGGCTGTCTCTTGAGTATAGAATTTAAAAAAAAAAAAGTTCTTGGTATGTTTTTTGTAAAAAAAATTTGTTAAAGCTTTTTAATAAATTTATCTTGAACTTTTATTAATGCACGATTTGCCAACACAGTGGTTGCAGTCTCCATTGGTTTCCTAATTCATTCCATCCTAGATGGCTGTAGTGGTGAGTAAATGCATTTCTCAGTCCTCTGTGTACCAACATAAAACATTTGTGCTGGGAGTTTAGAAAAAGGCCTTTCTTTCAACTTTTGAACAGTGGAATAAATGAAGCACTGCAGAAGAGATCTCTCCAGCTAATATTGCCAAACACATATCTATCTATATTCCATGTAATCAGCCTTCCTTGTAGACACAGCACACATTTGATGGCTCTGGGTACAACCCTGTCCAGTCAACCCAGTATCAAGAGATCTTTCTTAGGAGGAAAGGTGGTGAGGAAGGTAACTGCTTCCATCTCATAATAATAAGATTATAATTTTGAAGTTGTTTCTGTACACTTATCAAGTCACATGTATTACAAGATAATATGTGCCCTTAGTGTTTATGTGTTTACTGCCACAGATGTTGGACATGTGATGACAGCAGTTGACAGGAGAACAAACTTGTCTCTGCATCAACTAAAATAATGACAACCTTGTAGACTGGAACAGACTGAGCAACATCAATTAGAATACCAAGTGCATGCATATTTTGTGAGGTAAAATACAGGAGAAAGACAGCCATTTAGCAAATTAAGAAGCAGAGTTTCCTAAAATGCATTAAATAGACAAGAGAACAAATATTAGACAGTAAAGGTAGCAGTTAAGAAGAAGAAAAAAGACATAAACAGTCAATAAAATTGAAGAGAGAAAAATATTATATTTAAAAAAACTGCAATGGAGAGAAACTAACTGGGGGATTAGGAAAGCAAAACAAGCAACCGGGGAAAGTTTAGGAAAATCATTAGCAGAAACAAAAGGAACGAATCATTAAAAAAAAAAAAAAAAGTTAACAAATAGAATAAGCTCTTATTTAAACCACATAATATCATTAATGCACTAAAAAAAAATCTTGTATACCATATTTGATCCTGGTGTTATATCAGATTGTTACATAGCTGTTTATTAACCAGCTGTTATCCTTTAATGGTTTCAGTGGAAACCATATTAGCCCTGGAGAAAGGAACATATGGCATCCCAATGTCACTGGAGCTGATATCTGAACTAGCCACAGCACATGGTTTAACATTAGATATGGGAGGCTATGAGAACTTACTTCAGGATAGAAAGGTTGGGAAATGTGTCTGTCTGTCTGTCTGTCTGCTTGTCACATTGTCTGTTTTATATAAATACAAAAACTTTTTTTTTATTATTTTTTTTTTTCTCCAATTGCATGTAGACTAACCATTTCAGTAATTTTATGTGGGTAATGTTTGCCTTTAATTTTAAGAAATGTAACTTTTTCCTGAATTCCTCGGAACAGCATGTTAATGGCACCTCTGTGCTATTGGAGTCCCTAAGGGAAGTAAATATTATTACCATGCCTGTTATGATAATCAGCCAAGTAGGGTTGGTGTGAGACTGGCCACCTCAGCTCATTGTAAGCTTTTGTTGCCAAATCCCAGAAATCATAAAGAAGTCCACACAAGGCTTGGCATGAGTTGGCTAGAGGTCAGGTTCCTCCTGGAGTCGAAAGGAAGAATAGGAAGATTTGTAGATGGTCAGTTCCCTGAACATGCAACATCTTCTAGTTATTGGAAGGCCTGAAAGAGAAATGTTTAAAAAGTAATCAAATGAGGAAACAAAATGGGTAGCTTGTCAGGATCCCACCTCCCCCCCCCTCCTTTTTTTTTCCCTTAAAAAAAAACACACACACAGAAACACTAATGAGTAAATTTATTTTGCAGCTAGAAAGCTTTCGCAAGCATACGACAAATGGGAAAGATGAAGATTACATTAAAATGACAGTTGTTTAAAACCCGAAGTCTAATTATTGTTTTAGCCTGTCTTGTTCTGTTCTTTACCTCTGATACATCTTTTGTCATATGTTATTCAAGTGCCTAGATACTTACATTTCTGTCCTTGTCTTAAAATAATATGTTATTCAACAACAACAAAAAAGAGATGAGAGCTATAACCTCACAAATATAATTAATGATAAGACAGAAAGGCCATAGGTCAATGAGAAATATCAGAAAGATGGAGGGCTGCTTCCTTGAGCTTTCAGATGCTTAAGTAGATCACCAATATTTAATGTTGAATTAAGAATCTACATCATAGCACTCGGTAGACTCCCATAAGTGTGCCATCCTTATCATCAGCAACAAGCAAAGAGTTTCGATTCCGATGGCACCAGTAACTAACTGTATATTCGTCTCATCTTTTTCTTGAGTTTTGAGCGTCGGCTAGATCCCCTGGTAACTCCTTGCATCCCCTGGTAACTCCACACAGCGCCATTCTCCTCAGACTTTAATGACCTCTTTGTGGCTTCTTACTGTTGGCTGGCTTCCACAAAAAAAAGGTCACCACAACATTTAACTTGTCATACTTCAATTCACCACCAAATAGTGCAGAACCAGTCAGCCTATCTGCCTGGTCATTTTCCAACACATCAGCATTACCTGGAAAAAATTTACAGACGACACAAACTACCCGGGACCTGTGAAGTGATGCTTGCCACTTTGCACAGAGCAGGCCTGTCTCCACCTTTCTCAACATACTCTGTGAGTCAGTTACAATTACAACATGTGAGAACAGCTAGTTTTCAAACCAGCTGAAGGCAGCAGTGACTGCCTCCACCTCTGTTCTCAAACTAGATATTGTGATGTCATATGCCAGGCTTTGCTGCACTAAGTGACGTCTGTTCGCTTTTGCTACGAACCCCCATGCACTTCGACTGCCCTTCAACACAGAGCCATCTATATAGATAATCACATCAGTTGGGCAAGAATAGTTATCAATCATTTGTTGAACTTCTGATTCTGCAGCACCAGCTGGCCAGTCCCTGCACTTACGATCTAAAGTGATAAGAAACCTACACAAATCTGAAACTTGCTTGGACACTTTGACCTGCTCCTCTCCTCAATCAAATTAATTAGGTCTTCAGCCTGTGCCATCCAAGACCTTCCTCTTTTCAGTCTGTAACCCTTAGCTCTACCTAAGGGCTTAATGCAGGAGGTGCCTTTTGTCTGCAGCTACTCTGAGTTATGACTTTGTGCTTGCAGAATTTTGAGCCTGTCAGCAGTAGCCGGTAGTGCAAGTATATATTGCATACATACTACCTCTTGTACATTCCGCATGGCTTCATTCTCTATGTGTTCAAGTTTCATCAGCTGACTCTTTAATATGGTAAACATTCAAAGTCCATATGCTGGAACATTGTGAACAGCATTCTTTTTTTTTCATTGTCCATTGCTGCCATAATCCTGAGAGCATTGAGTCCTTTTTTACATTTCACAGCAACTGCCTCCACCATAATCCCTAAAGGACAGACTTCTATCGAAAATGATACTTAGGTACCTCAGTTTTTATGTTTCCATCATTAATTGTGAGGCTTGGAACATTAGCTTTTACAATTCTGTTGTACAGAGAGCACCAAAAAAACATTGCCTTTTTTGAGTTCATGACAGCACCCATCTCTGCCCCACAGAAGGTCACCATGAAAGAACGACTCAAGACTACAAAACAACAATCTTAGAACCAAATATACTAACTGATGAAGTAAAGGAGAGTCATTAAGCAGTCTCCCAAATGTAAAGCATCAGGAACTGATCCATTATCAACAGAAATAATCCAAGCAGCAGATAAAAGCAACACCAAATGGCTTCACAGAATATTTAATGTGGCATGGAAACAACAAACTGCTTCCATTGACTGGCAAAATGCAATAATGATACCATTATTGAAGAACAAAGGTAGACTTTGAGAATGCAGTCAGTACTGAGGCATTGCTTTCAATTCATAAAGGCATTCAACAGAGTCGGTAGACTAGTATTATAGAAAGTAATCTCTCAATATAGAGTAAGCAAACACCACAATGAAGTGTGCAAAAGTTTATATAGGGATTGTAAAAGCTTAGTCAGTATAAATCAGAGAACATCTAAACCATTCACTATAACATCTACAGGGATGTGTCTTATCATTGCTGTTATTATTCACCTACATCAACAGTATATGCACGGATGCAGGAAAGACAATTTTAGTAACATCAGTGAATTACTCTTTGCTGATGACCAGGCCTTGAAAGCAGATACATACGACCAAAACTGGAGTATGGCATGGGAGCATAAACCACTGCAGCCAAATCAAACCTACACAAACTGGACAAAATACAGAAAACTGGCCTCAGAATCATTACTGGATGTATGAGAAGCACACCAATCCATCAGCTGGAGGCAACTTCTGGCCTCCAGAGCTTGAGCCTTCGAAAGAAAGAAAAGATGCTTACCCTAACAAAGAAATTTAAAGGCATGAACATCAATCCCATGCACAGAATAGCAAATAACTTAACTAAAAAACTACTACGTAAGGACCCCTCAACATGGGAAATGATCCAGGCATACAGCATAGACCTACAGCTTACATATACAGTCACAACAACAATTCCAGGCGTAGGCAGAAAGGCTGAATAATGTGACCTAATACAGCAAGCAAAGACCCTTGAACATGTTACATGAACAACTGTTATCTAAAACCCAAATAGACACAGGTATACACCGATGGCTCATTGGAGGGTTTACAGATGGAAAACCGTTGCATGTTGCTTTTAGCTGAGTCCGCCGATAGGGTCCCGTAAATGTCCACTGTTAGTTTGCCCTCTCCACAATTCATTATACTTTCCTTGACAAGTGTTCTAATTTCTGGTAGTGACAATGGATGGGTGTGTTGTTTCTCCTCTGTTCCATTCCCTGCAAGTCCATCCCCTAACTTACCTCCTGGTATGCTACAGTGAGCTGGGATCCAAAGAGAATGATTTAATTGTTTTCTGTGAGTCTGTTTAGCTGGTGGGTTAGTTCTCGCTCCATGCTGTCTCGTGGATCCCTCTGAGTCCCCCGGAGGACTGACATACAGCCATAAAGGAAAACAATTTTGCTGTTTCCAAATCCCCCCCCCCCCCCCTTTCCCAAAGCATTTTGGCTGAATCAATAACTGCCTGCTACTCTGCTCTGAAGTGTGTTGAGAGTCTTCAGGAGGAGCATGACGTTTCTACTGTAGTGCCATCTTGCAGCATGATGACCAATCCATTACCTCAATTGTTGTTCCTGCTGCGGACACTGCAGGCTCAACTACCACATGCTAAATAAAGATTTGACAGTCCCCACAGTGAGCCTGTCAAACAGGACCACAAACACCTGAGCACATTTTGCAGACCTGCCCACTCTACCTACAACTTCGAAAAGACGCCTGGCCTCAAGAGCAAAGTGCGCAGAGCAAGCTATGGGGAACCATGTAGGACCTGCTACTGACATGCGAGTTCATAGAGGAAACTAACCTGATTATGTGATTTAAGCAAACCAAATGGAACGTAAAGAATAAGAAGAAGAAAGCAGATACAGCCATAAAATTGCAACCCCTCACATCCATGAATGAAGAATATTTAAAAAAAAACAATAAAAATCAACACCTGAAAGACAGAAGTAATGTGAAAGAAAGAAAGAAGCAGAACCTAAATGCAGCATTGAGTGCAAAGGCATTAAACAGGCACCTTAGTTTAAATATTTGGAACAAAATTTACTGAAGATGGTAAATTGGATGAAAAAATTTAACATCCACTGCAGTAAAGCAAACCAAGTACTGGTCTTTACCGCCATAAAGCAAACCAAGTACTGGTCTTTACCATCATAAAGCAAACCAAGTACTGGTCTTTACCATCATAAAGCAAACCAAGTACTGGTCTTTACCGCCATAAAGCAAACCAAGTACTGGTCTTTACCGCCATAAAGCAAACCAAGTACTGGTCTTTACCATCATAAAGCAAACCAAGTATGGGTCTTTACCACCATAAAGCAAACCAAGTATGGGTCTTTACCGCCATAAAGCAAACCAAGTATGGGTCTTTACCGCCATAAAGCAAACCAAGTACTGGTCTTTACCGCCATAAAGCAAACCAAGTGCTGGTCTTTACCGCCATGAAGCAAACCAAGTACTGGTCTTTACCGCCATAAAGCAAACCAAGTATGGGTCTTTACCGCCATGAAGCAAACCAAGTACTGGTCTTTACTGCCATAAAGCAAACCAAGCACTGGTCTTTACCGCCATAAAGCAAACCAAGTACTGGTCTTTACTGCCATAAAGCAAACCAAGTACTGGTCTTTACTGCCATAAAGCAAACCAAGTACTGGTATTTACCGCCATAAAGCAAACCAAGTATGGGTCTTTACTGCCATTAAGCAAACCAAGTACTGGTCTTTACTGCCATAAAGCAAAGCAAGTACTGGTCTTTACTGATATGAAGCAAACCAAGTAATGGTCTTTACTGGCATTAAACAAACCAAGTACTGGTCTTTACCACCATAAAGCAAACCAAGTACTGGTCTTTACCACCTTAAAGCAAACAAGTACTGGTCTTTACCGCCATAAAGTAAACTAAGTATAGGTCTTTACTACCATAAAGCAAACCAAGTACTGGTCTTTACTGCCATAAAGCAAACCAAGTACTGGTCTTTACCACCATAAAGCAAACCAAGTACTGGTCTTTACCACCACTGCAAACCAAGTACGGGTCTTTACTACCATAAAGCAAACCAAGTACTGGTCTCATACTGACATAAAGCAAACCAAGTACTGGTCCTTACCACCATAAAGCAAACCAAGTACTGGCCTTTACTGCCATAAAGCAAACCAAGTACTGGTCTTTACCGCCATAAAGCAAACCAAGTACTGGTCTTTACCGCCATAAAGTAAACTAAGTACTGGTCTTTACTGCCATAAAGCATAGCAAGTACTGGTCTTTACTGCCATAAAGCAAACCAAGTACTGGTCTTTACTGCCAGACTGCCATTGCTGCTTATATTTACCACCTTTGTGCCGTAGGCAGGGGGATCTTTGAGCCTGAGGATTTAGGGCTGCATGACTAGTTCTGTGGATTTATATTTGTGCACCTGACAGAAAAATCCCCAAATTTAACCTAGGATTCAAACCTGGATATCCCACTTGAGAGCAGTTCTAACAGTTTGGCCAGCCACTTCTATCTATTTAGTCTTTGATAAAAATATAATTGAAATAGTTTGCCTTGCCTTTAGGGGTGAGGGCCCTGTCGTCATGCACCAGACACATTTGATGTCTTTGATATTGAGACCCCCCTCCTGGAGGATTTAGATTCAGTTTAGACTACTCAAATACAAATCATAAAGTCATCTAGACCCCATATATTTTCATTTTTTTTTTCTTAGGTGAACACTGCCTCAGATCCAGTTGTTGCCTCCAAAGATCTGGCCAGCAGTCTTGTCACTGATTTGATCTACCACCAAGTTCCTCAGACTGATGACAGTTTCAAGTACCACTACACATCTGTGGGTGAGAGGCAATATGGTAAGTTAGCCTGCCTTCTGTTTTTATTTTATTAAATCTATTTCTCTCTTCTTATCATCCTAGAGTGAAAGGAAAGATCGTGGCAAAACACAATGATGCTTTTTTTTAAATTTTTTAATCTACAATTTCAAGCGTGAGGATGCTGATGGAAGTAATCACTGCAGATCTGAAGTGGATGTCAGAAAACAGAGTTACCAGAGGAATTATAGTGACTAATTCTCAGTCAGTACTGCGGAAGGTTCAAAATGGACAAATGTGGCATGAGTGGATACCAAGCACCAGTATATCTGCCTTACAGGGATTCATGGGGATAAACTATCAATGATATGCAGGAGTACTAGGACAGGAAAAAGCAAATTTTCTGGCTACGAAACCAAAAGCTAGAGAAACACTTGTATTAGACAAAGGAGACATTCTGAAGACTATTTGTGAATGAATGCTGATAGAAAACATGAGTTTCAATAAAAAAATGTGTAAGAATGTGTGAACGAGGAATGAGGTGTGGATCGTTGGCACAGGAGCGGAGCAAAGATGGGGCGACCCGTTTGCTATGAAGCTGAAACTAAGACTACCAGACTACCAGGTGTGGATCAGGCAAGGAGGGACATGTGAGAGGAAGAGATCAAGGAATTTATAATCACTATGCTACAGGTCAAGTTAGTATCAGCACCTTAAGACATTTGCTGTGTAAGACAGAGCACCTATGGATGTACTGTAATATTGGTTCTTTAATCAGTAAATCCCATCCCAGACATTTGGTGTTTTATCACTTTTCTGTACCAAAGTGTATACACTTAAAGAAGGGGTGGGCAAACTATTGCTCTGCTCACGGGCTGAAACTGGCCTACCGACAGTTTTTACCGGCACGTGAGGCCTGTGTAAAATTACACCAACAGATTTGGATAGTTTTTGTGGGATATTCAAACAGAATCATCTCATTAAATCTGTGTTACCTGTAATTTTATATCATATCTGTCCGTCTCTTTCTCTGCTTCTCACTCTCTCCTTTTCTGAACCCCCCCCCCCCCCCCCCCCCCCCCCAAATGTCCTTCAGTGATATAATTTCTGCAAATAACCAGCTTCAACATACACATTTAGGATTATACAGAAGAGCTTCAAAGGTGAGTATCTGGCCAGAGGCGTATTATTATCTTAAATTGTCCCACAAAAATATTATAAAACGAGGCAATCATCCTGAAAAGAAAAGGTTACCCGCCCTTGATTATGAGCTGAAATAATTAAAATAACACAACTGTAGGACAGAATAAGTTAAACTAACAACTGAGTTAGAATCAGTTTAAGTAACAAAAGAGAACAGAACTGTGAGATCATGCGTCCTCCCCATGACAGCTTATGGTTGTGAGTTATGGACTCTTACTTAGTCTTTGGAGAACAATCAGGGCTTTTGAACTGAATTGGTACCAGAAATTATTAGAATACAGTGGCGTAGTTAAAAGAAAAACATGGAGATCCTACATGATGTGAACAATGAGGTAAATGGCTCAAAACAGCATCCTCTCCTGAAAGCTGAGGTCATTTGGTCATGATGGCCTAGAGAGAACAGTGATGGAAGGTGCAGTTTCCATAGAAGGAGGCAGAGGTTGACCTTCACATTGGTGGATACAAGAAATTGAAGACATAGTAGATATGAAAGCACACAGAAGTGAATTGGCTAGACAGAGGAAGACTTACAGGCATGCCGTGAAGAGTGCAATGTTCTGTAAAGGACCTGCTGTTTGATGAGAACAGAAGAGTTGGATAGTTAAAGTTGAGAAATGTGTACCATATGTAGAGAAAGTAAGTGATGTATGATGAGTTATTTGGTTTAAAAAAAAAGAGTTAAACAGAACAGAAATTATAATACATAATAATTATTATAGATTTAAGATAGGGTAATACAGGATCATTGTTGCAGATTTCACCACAATGAGCAAAGTAGCATCACCCAGCTGCATTCAAGGCATCAGCAGCAATGGAGAAGTGATCTTCAAACTTGAGGAGGGGGACCAAGGTGAGGTCATTCTTGATCGAACTTGTTTCTATGCCGAGTCAGGTGGACAGGAAGGGGATACAGGCAAGCTAGTATCTGAGGTTTGTGCATTTGTTTGTGTGGTGTTCAGTGAGTTTGATGTTTTCCAGTTCTCCTAGATTGTTTACTCTTGTCAGGCCAGTTCTGTTATTATAATGGTACTGATTTGTTTGACTTGTCCAGGTGTCCAAAACAACATAACTTTAGATAGCATAATTTTATTGTAGTATAATATACCATATCATGTTTTATTTTCACTTGTTGCATCCATTGCTATCATGTTTTCACTTGTTGCATCCATTGCTATCCTGTCTTATCACACCTTAATAAAGGGCACTTTTGTCTTTGTTTTATAATCAGACAGGAGAATTTGATGTCCTTGATGTTCAGTGCTGCAGAGGCTATGTTGTTCATTATGGTCATGTGACCAAGGGCTGCATGAAGATTGGTCAGAATGTTGACCTGACGATTTCACAGGTATTAGCAGATGCAGTATATGTTTCTTGAAATGTTGACAAATATTGTGACTTGAAAAGCCAGCTAGGAAATGTGTCTGTTGCTTTATGGTTCTTGAGATTGTTGAGAAAAGAATATCTGAGACTGTTCAAGTAGCCTGTTGCAGCAACAGCAGTGCTGGTTGATATGGCAGAAATATATTTTTATTTAACAGAAATACAAACTGAATTGAACTCAATCATTGGTCATTGGGCAGAGTCATCATGGAAACAGAATAATTAACAGTTTAGTAAAGTCAGAAATATTTTCCATTAGAGCAGTCAGAAAATGTTATGTGGGTGTAAGGCTCTGTGTATGTGTGCTGGAGAGAAAATATGTGGGTGTAAGGCTCTGTGTATGTGTGCTGGAGAGAAAATATGTGGGTGTAAGGCTCTGTGTATGTGTGCTGGAGAGAAAATATGTGGGTGTAAGGCTCTGTGTATGTGTGCTGGAGAGAAAATATGTGGGTGTAAGGCTCTGTGTATGTGTGCTTGAGAGAAAATATGTGGGTGTAAGGCTCTGTGTATGTGTGCTAGAGAGAAAATATGGGGGTGTAAGGCTCTGTGTATGTGTGCTGGAGAGAAAATATGGGGGTGTAAGGCTCTGTGTATGTGTGCTGGAGAGAGAAAATATGGGGGTGTAAGGCTCTGTGTATGTGTGCTGGAGAGAAAATATGGGGGTGTAAGGCTCTGTGTATGTGTGCTGGAGAGAAAATATGGGGGTGTAAGGCTCTGTGTATGTGTGCTGGAGAGAAAATATGGGGGTGTAAGGCTCTGTGTATGTGTGCTGGAGAGAAAATTTGGGGGTGTAAGGCTCTGTGTATGTGTGCTGGAGAGAAAATATGGGGGTGTAAGGCTCTGTGTATGTGTGCTGGAGAGAAAATATGGGGGTGTAAGGCTCTGTGTATGTGTGCTGGAGAGAAAATATGGGGGTGTAAGGCTCTGTGTATGTGTGCTGGAGAGAAAATATGGGGGTGTAAGGCTCTGTGTATGTGTGCTGGAGAGAAAATATGGGGGTGTAAGGCTCTGTGTATGTGTGCTGGAGAGAAAATATGGGGGTGTAAGGCTCTGTGTATGTGTGCTGGAGAGAAAATATGGGGGTGTAAGGCTCTGTGTATGTGTGCTGGAGAGAAAATATGGGGGTGTAAGGCTCTGTGTATGTGTGCTGGAGAGAAAATATGGGGGTGTAAGGCTCTGTGTATGTGTGCTGGAGAGAAAATATGGGGGTGTAAGGCTCTGTGTATGTGTGCTGGAGAGAAAATATGGGGGTGTAAGGCTCTGTGTATGTGTGCTGGAGAGAAAATATGGGGGTGACTGCAGTCAAATTGATACAAGGAATTCCAGAGAAATTAGACTAATATTTCAGGCCGAAACATTACGTTAGTTGCATTGTTTTGAGGCCGAAACGTTAAATTATTTGTGTTGTTTTGTGCACGTTTTTCTGCTTCCCATTTTGTTGAGCTTTCTAGTCAAATTTCTCTGGAATTTCTGGAGGGGGGTGTTCATTCAGTGAAGTCAGTTTAATTCTCATCATGCACTAACTATGTGTTTTGGTTTCATTGTAAAAATCTGTGCATGTTTTATATCTTTATGTTTATTTAACGAATCATGTTTTATTGATCAGAGATAAAAACTGCTGAAACTTTGCCAGTGTAATGTTGTTGATCTAAACCAGGGTTTCCCAAACTTGTCTTAGTCGCGGCACTTTTTTCAATTAAAATTCATACATGGGGCCCTAACCTAAGTTCACATGTAAGAGATCAAAACAAATAAAACTCGTGTATCTTTAAATATTTCGCGGCATCCCTGTGAAGAGGTCACGGCTCCCCGGGGCACCCTGGCGCACAGTTTTGGAATCACTGATCTAAACCATTTTGGTTAGGTTAGCTTTCTTGCTATACTTGTTTGGTCCTTGTTTTCTTTTAGACAAATATGGCTGTTGAAGTTATCAGTTTCATTGACCAAAGTCTAGCAGATGAGGTGCCATGAAAGAAAGTAGCCCATTTGGCAAGTTTATGGGTATAATAATAAATAACTATTATTTTAGATATTTTAATGTTAGTGATGTAGTTTGTTTGTGACAAATATAAGATTGTTATCTTCGACTGCAGGCAAACAGAGAGGGTTGTATGCGGAACCACACAGCCACTCACCTGGTTAACTCGGTTCTGGCAGAAATGATACCTTCCACCCAGCAGCAGGGGTCATCTGTGAGCCCGTACAAACTGACCTTAGACTTCCATGTCCTGGTAGGTTGGTTGTCATTTATTTCATGTTTCCTTATTCCTGATCAGCCTTTGTTTTATATGTAGGATTAGTTACAGAATAATAGACTTATAAACAGCTAAATATTACATATGAGATGTTTTCATGTAAAAGGTGAAAATATTTAAATAGTTGATAATGCTTTTATTGTGTAAAATTATAAGACATGAAACTCTAGTTAACTACCTTGTGAGGTGGGGTGAAATCTTATCTTCTTTGTTGTTCCTAGCTCTCTAGTGTAGATTTTGTGAGATTGAGCCAGTAAGACTGCAACAGCAGCCATTTATTTAAAAAGACATGTAATCCAAACACAGATACTGTTGTAGGTGACCAAAATGTTGATCTACCCTAGTTTGAAGGTTACCCTGTATTATGCGATGAGATTTATCAGCTCTGTTGCTTTCCCTCTTTTCTGACCAGAAGAACAGTTACAGTTTGAACAGGGCAAGGTACAGCTCAAACCCAAACTTATTAGAATATTAATAAAAAAGACCCCAGCTACAAGAGCAGGTGGACTTCAATGAGCTGCTCTTTGCCGACGATTAGTGCATATACATATTCCACAATGAAAGTAAACAGCTGCAGGACCACATAAACCAAATATACGACAGTTGTCTTAAACATCACATTGAGATCAATATTAACAGAAAAAAAAAAAAATCATGAGAAAAAGTAGAGAGCAACAAACTATCGACATAAAGATCAAAGATCATAGTCTGAAACAAGTGCAAGAATTTAAATGCTTGGGAAGCATCTTTACGCACAATGGTAAAACAGACTGTAAGATAGAAATGAGAATCCAACAAGCCAACAAAGTCATGTACCACCTTGCTCCAATTTTAAAACACCCTGCTAATCCAATAGAGACACAAAGATAATTTATATTTCAAAATTTGTTCTGACTTTAGGTTACCAATGTCAGACTTGGACATTGACAAAAGAACACGAAAGAAAACTAACCACCTGTGAGATGAGATGTTTGAAAATGGCTGTCAACAAACACAGAAGAGATCGAGTCAGAAACGGTGTGATCACGAGAACTGTTGGAACAGCACCAATCACTAAATTTATTGAGAAAGAAAGAATGAAATGGTTTGGCCATCTAATGAGAATTAAAGCAATAATGCAAGCAGCAAGAGCATACAACCTGAAAATTGAAACATCAAAAGGCAGGGAAAGACCAAGAAGAAGATCAGTTGAAGGAGTCACTGACACCTTGAGACTGCATAACATCACGGCATATCAAGTGACTGAGCGCATCCTGGCTCGACTGCCGATCGTCTGATGAACTGTGACGCCTAGCGGCATAATCAGATATTTACAGAAAAAAAAGAACAAACGAATGAACCAACTTTATTCTCAAAGGTTACAGATTTATTAAAAAGATAAATACATTATAGAATAATGCATACACACATCATGTATACACAATCATACACACTCAAACACACACACATGTACACATACTCTTACATTCTCATACATAGACACACATATACAGACATACATAATATAAAGAAGAACCAGCTACTAAGAAGTAAACCCTTCAAGTTTTTGCTGGTACATTTGTGTCCTATCCACAACTCTACCACAGTAGTGTAATGCTAAGTATGTTCATACATTAGATCACATCCCTGTTGGTGGGGGAGGGGGCAACTTGTGTATCCAGATTTCAAAAACATCTGGTTACAGTCATTGTTTTCAACCATATCTAGATTATTTAGTTTATAAGTGTTTTGATCAAAGCTGTATAACACAGAAAGTATTATAATCACAGTGTGAAAAGTGGATGTTAATCTGTCAACTAAATGGGGTGTAAAAAGTAAACATCAAATGAGTTCCTTAACACAGGGTGACAAATGTTATTTTCCAGAACCTTATTCTAACTTCTGAACCAAATAGTTGTTGCTTCTGTCCCAAAGAGTCAGTTATCTTCAATTCACTCATCATGTATTTGATATATTTCTTGTCTTCTCTTTCAGACGTCAGTTGATACAACCCTCATTAACAAAATAGAAAGAGACCTAAGGCACACAATCAAGAGAGAACTCCCAGTGACTAGAAATGTGATGCCTCTCAACCTTGCTTTAAACTTACCTAAACTGAAGATGTTGCAGAATGAGGTGATCAATTGCTCTGTGCAATAATTTTCTGATATAGTTTTCCGCTTTAATTGTTTTGTGACATATTATAGTGAATATTAATGAGGTGTTGTGGCATAGTAAGTAGCTAGTGCACCTGTCTATCAAGACTGGCCTGGATTCAATCCCTAGTAGTATACAAGCGAGACTGCATCCTCCATCACTGTCTCATCTGTGCACATCATATCATCATCAGTTTACGCAGGCAGACAGCGCCACACACATTCCTGTCAGGGGCTAACATTTGCTGTTCACATGTGATAGCTCTTGCAGCATGCTATTGTCATTGTCCATTTCAAGACAGCATATCATGTACAATCTACAAGCAGCCAATAGAAGATGGCCTGATCAAAGAAATCAACAAGACACCACTCCTTGTGTAAACCACTGCCACAGAAAAGAGACTGGAAATACAAGCCAGGCATGCAGATTGTGGTGACCAGCAACAAGAAAACCAGCTTGATAGCTGAGGCTTTCAATATGACATTGGAGCCTGACAGCAGAGGTACCCAACATAAACTAATGGCAGAGAGGCAGCAAGCAGATGACAGTGCTTTTCCTATCTACAGTTAAGTTTCTCCAAAACAAGTGAAGGGTAGATTAAGCCAATAGCTTTTTCAGCCATGATGATGATAATTACCACCCTGGAGAACCTACTGGAAAAGCGTTCTGTCACTTGAATCCAGAAGATGAAAGAAGGAGTAGCAGCTACCTTCACAAAGACAGAGAAGACCAGCAAACTGATGTAAAATATAAATAGAAGTAACAAAACAACTCCAGATGCTGAATGAGTCTTCAGTGTCGGCCAGTACATCCCAGCCCTTCAGACACCGGATCTGGAAATGGATGAATACAGGGATCCGCAGTGATCAGATCGAAAGACAACTAGAAAGAGAAAACCCAAGATTAAGGATAGAAAGTGCGGCTTGGATAATAAGGAAGAACAAAATCCTGACCACATTGGTAGTTGTCACTTCACAAGGCACAGATATCCCAAGTCCCGTGATTTTCTAAAAAATTGAAAGTTGGAGCACTGCATACCAAAACTGCTGCAGTGCTCATGTTGCCAAAAAACCCTTACATACCAGGAACAGCTGTCACAGAAGAGTGGAGATTTGTCAATATTGCTCTAGTACACACCCCTTTAGTGAATGCCAAGAGGGGCAAAGACTTCCAAAAGCCAAACATAAACAGTAAATGCAGCAGCTGTTTCAGAAATCATGTTTTTATAAATAATCTATACTCCATCTAATGCTGTAGAAAGATATCTCAGATGCCTGTGTATCCAAGAGTGGAAAAACACAATAATGAAAACAATCATTGACAACATACTTTACAATCATGAAGGAGAAGCGAGGCAGTCCAGGGCATGTCCACTACCGAAAGAAGATGATTCCTGACTTGGATCAGTGAGCTTAAGAAATAGTTGCACCTGGCTCAACTCACACAACAGACAATCAGAAGCACAGAAATTGAGCTAGGGAGCAGTAACATAAGACTTGGAACACAGAGATGGTGAAGAGGAAGGGGAAAAAGCACAGGATCCCAGAAAATCAAGCAGCAACACCAGTCACAGTCTACCGAGATGGTAAAAACGCATGAAAAAGCCAAATAAACCAACAATATTAACATGATAGATAATAGTATTAAAAAAGCTGCAGTGCTTGATAAAAAAGGAGACTGAACACCTGGAAAAAGATAAACGCCAAGTTACAGGTCATCCCTAGGACCCTGTCCTTCCCTTAGGTCAGTGGTTGGCAAACTCTTTAGTCAAAAGAGCCAAAATTCAGCAGCAGGACAATTAACATTTCTTTGAGAGCTAAATTTCTTGTCAAGAACCTGTCAAGAACCTGTCAAGAACCTGTCAAGAACCATATTTTTAGGAATCAAAACCGATTTGTGGCTGATTTGTCAAGCCACATTCAGGTCTCTAAATAGCCGCATGCAGCTTGCGAGTCGTGATTTGCCGACCACTGCCCTAGTTCCTCATACCCTTTGTTCTAGTACCAGATATCCAGATATATATGTATATATGTGTGTATGTGTGTGTGTGTGTGTAAAAATAATCACAGCAATGAACATTTATAATATTTGTCACCACAACAGCGGGTTTCAGGCTTATTTAACCCCCAAAATATATAGTTTTGTCACTTCATGTTTGGCAAAGGGGTTCAAGTAATTACATTTTATTATGATATTATAAATGAAACATCAAAGAAAATCTTTATCCAAGCAAATGGTAAAACAGTAATTTCCATGTTGTTTTTTTTAGTCTTTGTTTTTATAAATAATCTATACTCCATCTAATGCTGTAGAAAGATTTTCAGAATATCTTGGACAAAGAAGAGGAGAAATACTGACATCTTAAAAGATCTGAAAAAATTATAGCAGAAGGCATGGTACCAGGAAGGAGGGGCAGGGGCCGACCGACACGAAGATGAGCACAGGATATAAATGACTCCTTGAGTATGAAAGTACATAAGGCGGGAGAGCTGGCAAAAGAGCTGGCGAGAGACTAAGTTTCTTTCAGGCAGACCGTGATGAGAGCGGCGTTCTGCAAAAGACCTGCTACATGATGATGATGATGAGCCCATCTAATGTGATCTTAAACACTTAAATAATGACATCATTATATACACGGATGAATCTGTAGTGAGAGGTAAGGAGAGTGGGTGCTGTTTTATTGCCAAGGTGAGTGGACTTTTTAAACATGGAGATCCTCACAGATAAACATCACAACATCAAGTGAAGAATGGAGGTGGAGGCAATAACTGCAGCTTCCCGATTTTTTGAGAGTAGCACAGTCCAGCACATAACTGTAACCGACTCACACTGCCTGCTTAAAAATTAGCGACTAGTGACCTGTGCATAGAATGGCTCAGTTCACTGAATATGTCACTAGCATACCATGTCTTTTCTGCCCGGGAGACTCTAATGGGCAGGGTATTTAACAGGCTAAAAGATTGGCTCATGCCACTTTTTTTTTGGGGGGGGGGGGGGGGGGGGGGGGGGGGGGGGACAAATAAAGCAGATATAGTGAAGATTCTCTGGGATCAAGTGGAATGTGCAGCAGAACAGACTAGGTATTCACACCTTTAAAGATTAGGCAGAGAGTATGGATGGTTTTCAATGTGTGGATAAAAGACAGGCAGACTTTTGATCAAGTTGCAGCTGGCACCACCATTATGGGAACTCTTCTTTGGTTAATGAGAAAGGGGACAGCATATATGGAAACATCTCATGTGCAGTGATGTCCGTTCTTGATTGATTGATTGATTGATTGATTCATTAATTCTTTCATTTATTCATTCATTCATTCATTCATTTGTCTCACTGGTCAATATCCTGGCCTAATTTTCAGTGGTTGCCCTAATTTATGAGCACGACTTTGAATTTTAGAATATGAATTTTAGATATGTTTCTTACCTCTGATAATATTGTTTTAATTATACAAGTTGAAACCATTTGTAACTGATCATTTTCATTAGTTCTTTCTGACCGTATCGTCAGCTAAATTCAAGTTGCTTATTTTAATACTGTCAGCTATAATCAGTGTGACCTTTGTGTTATAAGAGTTACAGTCTAGAGACTAAACCTCTGCTCTGCAGGAATATCCAAGTGAGGTGTCTGTGATAACAATTGGATCACAGGATGAGGAAGTCATCAGTAGAGAGCTGTGTGGGGGAACGTAAGTATTTATACTGCTGTAACTGCAGTTATCAGTATTGGAGAGGGGACAATTGAACAAGCATTTTCCCTATGTGGGCCAAATAATTATAGACAGCATCGGTTGAGAAACTGAAATATTAAGATTACGAAAAATCTTAAGGGAAAAAAAAAAGATATTTTGATAAAAAGATTGCTAACATCAGATAACATTGACACTGAACTGTGGAAATGAAAAAAAAAAAAACAACTGCAAACATTTTTTAATGTTCTATGTTGAAATATGGACTGTAAACAAAAGAGATGAAAAAGACTTGAAAACTCTGAGATTTAGTGTTGTCATAGAAGGCAAATAATAAATCATAACTCCTGATAAAAGATTCCTTTAAAGATTACAGTAAGAAATTTCATAGCAAGCATAGCCATCTGCAAGAGAGAAAATACACCCACCAGTTAAAAGCTGTCAACTACAGTGTTAAATAAATGTCAGAAGTTTATGACATGTTTGTATGCAAAACATAGATAATAAACAGACAAGATGAGAAACATTTAATAGTAGCAATAATGTTATTTCTGAAGAAATTGTGACATAGACAGAAATATTAATGAGGCAGCTCTTTAAGAAACAGATGAAAGTGGTAAATGTATTAGAGACATTAGACTTAAATAGGCAGGACATTTTAAGACAAAAGAGAAAAACAAGCTTGAAAACTATCAGACATCAAGCAACATAGATGGATAAAGGGTGTTGAAAAACAAAGAAATAAAATATAAAAACCTGGATGGCTTTCCACATGACTTTATTGACAACACAAACTTTATCTAAGACTGATTAATTTGTGAGAAGGTGAACCATTATCAGCATGCCAGATGATGAGAAAAATTGAAGTATTTCAACATTATGATAAAATAGTATCATTTACAGATGCACTAGTTGAATATTTCAGGCATGTGATAAATACATTTGATTTGGAAGATTTCTGCTTGACTGGCCTCACCACCAGATCCCAGAATGTGAAACGGCTGACTGGAGTCACTGGATACGAGGCACAGCAGGTATGTTACGGAGATTCAGTATGTTAAAGATATCAAATTCAGATACAAAGCAGTTAGTAGCAGACCAAATATGTTTCACAGAATGAATGTGCTGCACAAAAAACGGTTTTGTCCAAAATAACCAGTATGCTATACACACTGAGTATGTTGCTTGAACTCATATATTCTACAGAACCATTAAAATCATGTTGACAGTTTGATACAGAGTTTCTCCAGTGTTGCTAAAAACTATCATAGGAAGCCATGATAGGCTGCTGGCCCAAAGGTCTTGGCTTGGAATCCACATGGAAGCAGATGTTTATAACTGTCCTGACTTCCCAGGTTGATGTAGCATAACATGGTTGTTGAGAAAAGGTCCAGGAAAGTAAAGAAAGCTGATGGATGTTGACTACATCACCCATTGAATGCTGATTGGTCTACACACATATGGGTCTAGCACTATATGACCAAAATGCCAATGGCATAAAAAGGGCCCTTTACTTTTTACTTTTTTAATATGTTGTTGTTATCGATCCAGCGGCGCATGAGCTTTCGCCCTTTGGCCCAATGCCATGTAGTGGAATTTGCATGTTTTCACAAGCTGTTCTTTTCCTCCGTACAAGGTGTTCCACTTGTCTGGGGGGTAGCGTTCTTCTTGTCTCACTGAGTTTTATGCACTCAAAGAGATGGTGTTCAACAGTTTCGTAGCGGTAGTTACATAGCTGGCACTCTGGGGAGTGTTGAGGTTGTATTCTGTTTAGGTGTCCATTGAGTGGAGTATGTTGCGTTCTAAGTCTGAAGATGGTGGCCTGGTCCCTTCTTGTTAGATGGTTAATGCTGTCATTAGGATCAGGGCCAGACATATGTCTATACACCTCTCTTCCAGTGTCTCCCATGGCCCATCTGTTCAACCAAGTCTCTTTGTTTATAGCTCTTATCAGTGTTTTTGCTGTCTGGAGGGTTGTCGCTGTGGGTGGTTGTTCTTGTGTTGCTCATTTCTTTGCCAATCTGTCAGCTCTGTCATTACCTGGAGTGCCGGAGTGACCTGGAATCCACTGCATCACTATTCTGATGTTGTATGAGGTAATAAGCTGATCAGCATCCAGGATTATCTTGGCTATGTCAGTTCTGCAGCGTTCACTGCCCTCCAGAGCTTGAAGGGCAGACATTGAATCTGTGAAGATGACAATATTTTGGACCTTTGAAGGGTAAACATCCATTACAGTCTTTAGGTGGTATACTGCTGTTTCCAGTGCAATTATTTCAGCTTCATAGTTTGAACAGAATTCCCCACATGCATCAAAAATCTCTTCAACAGATCCATCGGGATAACCTATGTAGATTCCGTATCCTGCTTTAATGGTAGCTTTAAATGCTGATCCATCAGTATAGACATGTATCCATTCTTGGGGGTAAGAATCAACGGTCTTTAGTGATGAGTTCATAAGAGCGATTGGGTCAGACTGTTTGGTTTCCTCGCCTACCAATTTAGTTCGGACTTCTGGAGCTTTAAAGCGAGCATGTGGTGGTAGGTTTCTTACAACATTTTGAATTCCTTGACGTCTTTCTGGGAGGTGGTATCTGTCCTGAATTTCATTAACACAGTGTAAAACCGATTTGTGCTTTATTCTTTGTTTGAATTCCCAGTTTTCTACAAGATGTCTATTAGGATGGTTACGATTTTTCCTAATGCATCTTTCATAAATTTCGAAAGTGGCTTTTTCTCTCCGCAACCCGAGGGGTTCCACATTTGTATGGATTTCACATGCAGCAGTTGGTGTAGACTGCATAGCTCCGCAGATTAATCGGAGGGCATTATTTTGTACTCTGTCAAGAGTCTCTAGGTTAGTTTTGGAGCAAGTTGTAAGCAGTGAGTTGTTGTACTCTATCACAGAGCGAACATATCCTAGATATAAGCCCCTCAGAGTTTCCTTGTCTGATCCCCATGATGTACCTGCAAGTCTCTTTAATAACTGTAACCGCCTCAATGCCTTATTCCTGATGTTTTCAATATGGTTCTTGAGGCTGAGCTGCCGGTCAAGTGTGACTCCAAGGTATGTGGGATGCTCTTCTTTCATCACTTGGTGTTTGTCTAACCTCAGGTTAATATTCTTCCTTGCTACTTGGTGGCTTTTGGTAAAGATTGTGTAGACCGTCTTTGCACAGTTGACCTTGAGTTTCCATCTTTGGCAGTACTCATACAGTCTTCTAAGGTCTCCATTCAGTTTTTGGGCTCCACTTTCCACATTTTCATGACTGCCATATTGCTAGGTCATCAGCGTACAAGGCTTTTTCGGCCTTGATTTGTTCTGGCAGGTCATTGATAAAGATACTTTTTTTTTTTTTTTTAATATCAAAGGGACATTGAATCATTGTATAACAACATTTTGTGGAGGTCAAACTGAATGCACATTTGTTTAATCATCTTTGAAATTCATGTTTTCTGATATTTGCAGGCACATAGTCAAGGAAGTCTTGTTCAGTCAATGTGTTCCCTGCTGCAGAATTTGATAGACAGGACAGATGTGCCAGACACAGATTTAGAGAAAATCAAAGTTAATCTTCAGAAGGTACCATTTTATAAAAAATGAATATATGGCTGGTGATAGCAATGTGTGATGAATTTCTTGAGTTTTCCTACTTTAATAGTTGTTTCTTTATGATTTGGGATTAGTTTTACCATTTCAAATAATTGTAGTAAATGAGTTACTAGTGTATTGTATCGCACTCAGTACATGTGTGTCAAAACAGTGGTCATGGTTCAGTTGTCTTTTTGAAAGGGTCTTTATGGCAAAGTGGTCAAGCCATTTGCCTCATGCTCTGAAGGTCGTTTGTTCACTTCACAGCTTCGCCCTTCAGTTCACGAGTGCAATTTTTACGGGGGTCCGTGGGGATCGTCGCTGGAGCTACGGAGTTCATCATTTTGCGGCTGGCGGCTAGATGTTCTTCGGAGAGAGATATATGGGATAAAACCCAGTGCTATAAAGTCGGTACTCTCAACTTTAACGACCATTACAGTCTTTTTACAGTTTTAGTTATTCGGTTATTTGGAAAATATTAGCTTTTAGAAAAACAAAATGTTTACCAACTTACAGCTACATAGGACCTTAGGAAGTTTTCTAACTACTACACATGACCTTAGGAAGTTTTCTAACTACTACACATGACCTAAACTTACTAAAACTATGCCTTAAGAGAGCCATGTTAGTAAAGTGATAGCATACTTGCCTGCGGGCCCTGGCAATATGTGTTTGAATCACCGTTCCAGGCAAGGATTTGTAATATTGATCTGGACTTCTAGGCTGACCCAAACTATAATGCATATCAGGAAATGTTTGGGGTGATCAGGGTATCAGTGAATGTTTGGGGTGATCAAGGTATCAGGAAATGTTTGGGGTGATCAAGGTATCAGGAAATGTTTGGGGTGATCAAGGTATCAGTGAATGTTTGGGGTGATCAAGGTATCAGGAAATGTTTGGGGTGATCAAGCTATCAGGGAATGTTTGGGGTGATCAGGGTGTTAGGGAGTGTTTGGGGTGATCAGTGTATTAGGAAATGTGTGTGGTGATTAGAGTATCAGGAAATGTTTGGGGTGATCAAGGTAGTCACTATGATATTAAACACATCACCCAGTGCCGTTCTGTGGGGCTAGCACCATATAGGTGATACACCTCAAGATGGGAGAACTTTTCCCTTTATGAGTTTTTTAATATTTTACTTTGACTGTATTTCTTTACAGACTGTCAGACTTGTTGACTCCAGAATAGAGAGGCACCACAATAGTCTGACCTGTAACAGTGAGAATAAAGCAAGACTGAGACATTTGATTGAGGAGAACACAAAGGTATTCTTCTTCTTGTCTTATGTCATTGTTGCATCTGTTCTGTTTTGTGTATAGGAACAAATAATCCTGTGTACATTTCACTTTACCACATGCATACCTCCTTGTCTTTGTACATTTATCATTGTCTTTGCAAGTTATTGAGGAAAATTACATGATGGAATCTTGTAAAGGTAAAGTTAGTCCCATAGCAGTTGTTTCCGTCAGGGTAGAAAGTGTTGAGCTTTCACATATGCTACGTATTTGATGAACCCACATTGTTATTGTGCTTATAATCTATGCACATTTTTCTTCTTATAGTCCATGCAGTGTGGCATTAGTACTCCATGCTTTGGTGAAAAACAACCCAGCTCTTACTAATTCATTGTAAATATACTCACAGTATCTTTATTAGCCTTGTCAGTAGACCCAGCACTGTGGACCCCAGAAAACCTACATTTCTGGTAAACAGAACTACATCCTACATCATTCCTTCATTTTGAATTAAAATTAAAATTTTCTAATACACAGGCCAAAAATTTACTTCAAGCATTGGATGACACCATTGATGACCTCATACAGGCATCCATTGACAAAGAGGACATTATGAAACAGCTTGTGCGCTTCATTCACAAGGTGAAAGTTGATGTATTGTATTGACTCAACTGCTGTCTTTCTTTGGTTATCACATTTAACTTTTTGCAACACACTTGATTTAGAATGGTTTTCAACACCCATGACAGCTACAGTGATTAGTAGTTAGTTTGCTGGCATCCCCCCTGTGGTGATGACATTTGTTAAAGTGACATATCTGTTGGGACATCCTAGTGTGATTAAATGAATACCAATTTATTTTAGAAGGAATAATGAGAAGTTATATCTCAAAGTTACCAGTCTGGTAATAACTGCCACATTGCCCAGTGACTGTTATTTAGTATTCTCAGCAGTCTGGTTTTTTAATGAATGTATTAGTAACATTCATTTGAAACCTGTTCTGACAGCTTAGTTAGAGAAGCATCAAAGAAACATTCACAGGTGTGGCAGAATAAATTGTGCATTGTGAGTTGGAATGCTGTAGGCATTTAGACAAGCATCTCATTGCTTGGCTAGGTGGCGAATACCATCCGCATAAAAAGTTTGCTGTTGCTCATAGAACCAAGTGTTTACCGCATTCAATACCATTACAACAGTATCTGTGTGAAATTGTTGCCCCTTCTGATCTGTTTTTTAAGAGGTACAAACAAATAAAACCTACATGGTGACCAACAAGACTATAGGCTGGATGTTGCAGAATTTTCTACTTCTTCCATGCTAGTGCTTCTTGCTCAATATTTGCAATATGCCAGCCAGAATTATTGTGCATCGCCCTTTGCTCTGTAAGGCAGCAAGTGGTCAAGCACTGTCCCATGTGATCCTCCTTTTTGTGGTCAGTCAACGTATGTGGTGCTCACTGTGAACACACCTTCAAATATTGCAGTTTGTTAAAAACAATCTTTTCAACTTTTCCGACTGGTACATCAAATTCTTTTGCTGCATCAGTTTTGCCGATGGTTTTGTTTTTCTATTGCAAAAATATTCATTTGACTACACAGTGTGTGTGTGTCTGCGCATGCACATGCGTGCGTGTGGAAAAGGGTGGGGGCTGCCTTATTTCTATATCCAGGGGGTTCCAGTACAAAGACTTTCTAGTTACATTGTTCTTAGGGTTTCTGATCATATTTCCTATCTAACGCCACCATTTTTTATTCACCTCTTGGTCAACTGAAACTTGTTTAGTTTTCTCACCCAAAGGTTTTATCAGCAATCATGTCTTCTTGCCTCCCTATACACTACTTCTTGAACATTAGTTCATCATTTGAGTTATTTTTGTGACAATGTCTTTTACTCACATCTTTTTTCCTGTAAAATATATGGGTATACTGTATGTGTACATGCATGTGCGTTTGTCTTGACCACCACCCCCAAGTTGGTGTTTAGAAGGTGTTTTTTTTAGCTTCAGACACTATGTGATTATTGAACAGTAACATTTTGTAAGTGGTTATACAGCATAGACATATATATATATATATATAACTGGAGAAAAAGGGAAAAGATCGGCTTAGGAGCGATGATATCAGGAGGAGAGTTGGCACAGAACCAATACTGAACTTTGTTGGTAGACAACAGATCAAGTAGTTTGAACATGTAACAAGATTAGTATCAGACAGGGCACCACCACAGTGTTATACATGTACAGCGGTTACAGAGCCAGAGGTCTACCTTACAGAATATGGATAGCAGAAATAGCGGAGACTGAAAAGTACTATATACGAAGCGAACAGGAGGGCCTGTTCCAGAGATCTCTTCTTTCCCTCACGCTGCAAGGCATTCCAGATTAGAGAAAAGAAGAAGAGGGAAAAAAGCCATGATTTTACTTAATATTTGTGCCAACTTCAACACAGTGAACAATTTATTGTGGATTTCTTACTTCAAGAGTACCAGTTGTGGGAACCTGGTGATGGACAAGAAGAAAATTATACTCATTACAATTGGCAAGTTGCTGTAGGCCAGTGTTCCTCAACCTTTACTTTCACAACCCACCAAAACAGGAAAAAGATTTGTGCCCCATCTGACAGCTACCAAACACAGAAACAAAATGTAGATGCCATTTATTTGGTAAATCCGATATCATAAAATTATAATTTTCAGCTCATGGGACCTTAGAAGTTATAAAATCTTATATACATGGCTGGACGAAGATAATTATCCAAGTTTTCAGCTGTCTTTAAATGGTGAATTGTTATGTTGAACATCACTTGTAGCTAATTGATTCTTATCTCTGAAGCATTAATCCTACAGACTGCAATTTTGGAGAAGCAAAAACTACTTAGCCCACCCTGTCATATGATTCTGCACTTTTCTTGGGGCGGCCCACCTGGTTGAAGAACACTGCTCTAAGCTAACACATAAGATGATGGATGAATTTCACTGAGACTTTAACATTTGACCTTATACATGGCAGCTTGCTGAAGGCCAATATAGAAGTTGATGATTGAACATCACTGACACGTTGACATCACACATGGGCTACAGACACGGCCAGTGGAGATAATATACATGCATTCATAATCATTACCCTACATGAACTGTCATATCACCATACTCTTGTATCCACAGAGAGAGAGAGAGAGAGAGAGAGAGAGAGAGAGAGAGAGAGAGAGAGAGAGAGAAAGCACAGATATGTGTGCTTTGAGTACTATGCTGTTATTCTCAGAACATTTTGTTATTTAGAAAATTGTCAGTTTTAGCCATCTGAATAGGTTAGTATGTGATCATTACATGTTTTTTCTTGTTTCATGTTAGGCAAAGCAACTGGAGCTGATACCAAAAGCTGTGAGGGATAATGCTCATGTTTGTTTAGAGAACTTGGAGTACAAAGTGGCAGAAGCAGCAAATAAGAGGGCCATTGGATTGTTGCAGGAGGTAACATTTACTAACAGATGTACACTTTATTAGTTTCACACATTCTTCACTGTAACTACCAGGTTATTAACTCTTCTTATCCTAGCTATTCTCTTCCCCTTGTTACTTTAACTTATTCTGTTCCAAACAGTTTCCTCATTGCTTTCCTCTGACCTTGTTATTATTTTACTTTTCCAACATCCCAGCTTTGCTTGAATTAATTTATTAACATTGATTCACACTCATAGAAGATTTTAACCCTGCAGTCCCAAGAAGACCAGATCTAGTTACGTGCGCTGTGACACTGTCCCGTAAATGCCTTTGTACCAGCATTTCTGCAGTGGCGTGTTGTCAGAATGTGATGTTAAATGCCATTGGTTCTTTCTGCATCTGCTTTGTGTCAGGGAGGTACTAGTATGAATATACTAACTAAAAATAGGATGGGGGGAAAAGGGGAGGAGGAGGGGTGTTCCTATCAATCAGATAGCTTTTTCTAAAGCCTTTTTGCAGTTAAATGTTCGTGTAAGCCTCAGTAATTTTGGTCACGGGGTCACAGCATTAGTCACATGGACATTTTTGTAAGGCCTCGGAGAGTGTACTTCATTTAATATTTCACTCTATGTTTAGTTAGTTCATCAACCAGTCATCCTCATCACAGATTGGAAAAGTCCATAAGCGCTCAGATCCCGTCTTTAGTATTTCCCTCAGGGTGTGATGATTACGGCAGGTTCTATATTGCTTGATTGTTCTTCTTTGGCTATTTGTTTTGTGTTCCTGTCTGGTGACCCTCTTTTGACATGAAGTTCTTGCAGTCTTATCAAAGTTATTGATTCACTGTCTGCATTCTCTGTCTAGTTTTGTACAGACTGAAAAGGATGTACACCACTCTGTTGGCACTAGTATCCATCCCTCTCCAGTTTCTACAAGAGCAGTTTGAAAAGTAATGCCTCAGAGGACATAACTTTGGTAGTAGTGCCCAAGGGCAAATGACACAGATGTGAGAATAGAGTATGAGTAAGTGACTTTCAAAGCATGAATTGTCACAAGTGTGAAAAGTGGTGCATGCGGCAACATTATCCAAAATGGCAACATACAAGGAAATTTAGTTTAAGCGATGAGCTTGAGGGCCAAAGTTTCTGTACCCATTGACATGCATCGAAGAATGAGAGCGGTATATAGTGACATCTGTGGATGTCAGTCCTGATCATGGCTGTGAATAAACAACATCAAGATCGCCTCGATAAACTGATTTGTGAAAATTGCCAATTCAAACAAAAAGATATCACCCCTGGGCCTGGGATTTGGATTAAGCGAGTTCTTTACCTTATTCTTATCATGCTCTGGTTTAGGAAAGTTTGTGCGAGACTGGTTCTTCACATGTTGACACTGGAAATGAAACAGTACTGATACCAGTTGTGTCAGGAGCACCTGATGTGTTGTGAACGGGCAGGCGATGACTTTATCTACTGAACTGGCACTGGTGACAAGTCATGAGTATATCATTACAACCCTGAAAATAAACAACAATCTGTGGAATACAGGCATAAGAACTCACCTACCCCAAAACAAGTTCAAGACGGCAAGAAAGGTTTAGAACGACCATTTTCTGGGACTGCCAGGGTGTAATCCATGCATAATTTTTAAAGCATGAAGTGCTGTCTACTCTGATCGCTATGTGAAAAAGTTGCTGAAACTGCATGCAAGAGTGTTGCATAATTCATCCTAGCAAACATCCAATGCTTCAACGTGACGATGTTCGCCCACTCATGAATAGACAAACAGCGACAACATTGGATCATCTCAACTTTGACAACTTTTTGGTTCCTCTAGAATATACTCTGAATTTGACACCTTGTGACTTTTTTCCAGTTCCTAAAGCTCAAAAGACATCTCAAGGCAGACAGATATGCTTCTGATGAGGATGTGGCAGCTGATGTCCATTCCTGTGTTTTTTTTATTCTTTCTTGACGGGATGCAACAACGTTTTTATGCCAGCATGTGTGTATTTGGAACATAGTGATGACTGCTTAAAAAAAATTATGACACCTTGCTTAAACAGAACCCAAGCTTTAGTCAAATGTATTATTTGTGTATACATATATATATATATATATATATATATATGTATGTATATATATATATATATATATATATATATATATATATATATATATATATATATATGTATGTATATATATATATATATATATATATATATATATATATATATATATATATATATATATATATATATATATATATATATATATATATATATATATATATATATATATATATATATATATATATATATATATATATATATATATAAATAAACAAAGGTATGTCCTTGGAGCCATTAGTTTTCAAACTATCCTCGTATCCTCAGGCTAATAGACCTCTTGAATAATATCCTCTGCCTGACCTATCCAAGATTTCCTCTCTTGAACCTGCTACCCTTCTTCCTGTGAATGTCACTTTGCATTGGGGGTTGAATATCAGCACTGACTTACAAATCCGCACATGCGTAGCAGATCATTGTTCTCACATCTATGGTTGTTGGCTCAAGTAAGTAACACATCGCCCTGCGTGCTGCGTCCTTTGTGCTGTGTCCTTTGTGCTGCTTTCTGGAAGCTTCTCAGTTGCATGCATAAATATTGACCAACACAAAGTGCTCAGAGTGAACTCTAATAGCCGGAAGTTGCAGCTCATCGCTGTTCCATTAATTCTAGTCTACCTCCAATACCCTTGTGCTGTCACTGAAAAGATGACCGGTCCCAGGTGGTGCCTGTTATAAAACACCTGTATCCGACAATTGGGATCACCCAGGCACATCTCCTGCAGGGCCACAGTGTCTGATTCACACACACGGCTGTTAAGAAAAGATCAGCATTGTTTGATGCTTGCACAGTTCTAATACAGAATACAAAGGTTGTTCAGGCTTACACGAATGTATCTGAGCAGAGTTCTTCTAGCTTTTCCATGCCTGCCCTTTCTGTTATATCGTCCTCACTTACCACTCTGAGTCTTACCTTTCTGGTCAAAACTAGTAGACTGTTTTGCCGTGAAGCCATTGACAACAAGTGTGTCAAGGCCACAGCACAATGATGTACAAATTTTCAAGATGGTTTCAGCTCAGGGGCATCTGTTCATGTTTATTGATTACTACCTAAAGGTATTTTTATATATTTCAAAAAAAGTGTTTTTATATAGATAAATATGTAAAACTAGTTTTAAAAAAAAATTTTTTTTAAGAATTGTTTCATCTATTCCCACGTGTTCATGACCCATTTTTTTAGCATTGCCAGAGTGAAAGGGTTTAGAAATGAGTAGGTATCAGAGGATTCACTAGACCATGGAGAAGTGGAAGACCAAATACATACATATCTTAACCTGCTTTATTTCTTTGTTGTTAATCATAACAAAGACTTGGTTTTTTTTTTCTCTGTGTAGTTAATCACATCATACAGAGATATCAGGCTAGGATTTGTGTGTCTTTATTTTGCAGTGTTCTGTTCCTTTACAGTATATGGTTGCAGAGACCACTTGATGTTCATTTCTTAGGCACCCCCACCCCTTTCCCAACACCACCACCCAAAAAACTCCATTACTATTTTGATTTTGTTGTGTACGTTATTTCAGATGTTACAGAAAGAAGTAGATTCCTCCGCAGCCACAGCTCCATTAATTTTACAAGTAGATCATGTGGATATTAGTCCTAGACAGGTATGATGTTGTATCACCAAAACATTAGGAAAAGATGTTACAAGTGGGTCATATAGTCATGAGTCCGAGAAAGTAGGTGATGTTGACATCACTCAGACACATATCACATCTTCAAAATCCTATAGATATTAAAGACGTTAGAGTGAGACATATCAGATCTTACATGTGGATCATGCTATCATTAATCTGGTAGATGCCAGATCTTAAAGCATTTAAACATCAGTTAGAGACAAAGCAAATGTTATGCTAGATCACATAGACTTACATGAAGCAGTAACAGATAACATAGTATTTTACAAGTATCATATAAAACTTGAGACAGAGACAAATAAATTGCATGCAAGCGCACATTTAAAAAAAAAACCACACGCAAGCCCGCTTGACCGCCCACCCAGAATGAATCAAAACTATTTAAATGTCAGTACTACAACAACATAATTATTAAAATCCCACAACATTGAAGGATTTTAGACACATATGAAGAGGATGTACTCATGAAGTGTTGTGCTTACCTTACTTTTTACCTGTTCAGAACACTGCTGTCCATTTATAAGAATTCACATGCCTCTTCTGTTCAATTATGCATCAGCTAGTCTTTATTTGAAACACTTAATTTGAATACTTTTGATTTTGTGATGATTTTTGTAAGACGTCAAATTTCACAACAACCAAATTTATGATTTTTGTATGACATTAGATTTCACAACAACCAAATTTATGATTTTTGTATGACATTAGATTTCACAACAACCAAATTTATGATTTTTGTATGACATTAGATTTCACAACAACCAAATTTATGATTTTTGTATGACATTAGATTTCACAACAAGCAAATTCTGGACCTAGCTGATCAAATCAGGGATGATCTGATTGAAACATTTGATTCACCTTTGTCTTAACCTATATTATCAGCAGCGTAGTATTTCAGGATCCTCGTCGGTGCAACGGAGTTCGTGCACTGCGCTGAGATTCTTCTGACTTAGGCTTGAGTTAGAAGTAGAACGGAGCATTTATGGGTTACACCCCTGTGCCATAATGTTGATCCGTCGAATAAACATATACATATCAGCAACAGGTTTGGCACATTCATTATCAATCATAATATCAAGACTATCTGGCTGAGATGCATCAATGACAGAGTAGTATTAATAGTTCTAGGTCTTTCCCCCTTATCATTTAGTCTGAAAAAATAACATAAAAATTGTGTCACATCTAATAAATTAAAAACAAATCAGATAGTGTCCCAAACACGATGCCACACTTCAAAAATAAAAGAAAAATTTTTCACTAATTCTAATTTTTCAAAACTGTTCATACAGATTCACTTTCCCAGTAAATGAAACAGTATTAGAGTGTCTGTATGAAGAGTTGTTAAATGGCGTTCCGTCTTAACATGATGGATTCAGAAGCCACAAAAGTGGCGTTACGTCCATAATGAGTTGAAATGCTTTGTTTAGTAAATTTAGTCAGGTAACATGCTGAACATTTACGCAAATGCAGATGCAATTAATTCTGTTAGTTGGATGTCTTGTGAACATGTCTATATAATGAGTCGAGAAAGCAGCTTTAATGGGAGAATTGGTCTAACTGGAACCAACAGTTTTTTTGCTTCTCGGGAGAAAAGGGTTAAGACTTCTGAAACTGTTGTCATACTTGTGACTGGCAAACAGCATTACATGTGGAACTAAAAATGGGCACTTTTGAGGAAAGTTTGAGCAGTAGAATGTTGTAATACAAATGTACATTTAGTACACCAAAGAATTAGATTTAGAATATGGAAAGTCTGCAGCGGTAGAGTGTACATTTAGTAGATGATATTCAAGTTGCCAACAGTGGAGTTTAAGCAATGACCGAGGGTCATTAATACTGAGATTGAGTAATGTCAGTGGATTGTTACAGCCAGGATTGAGTATGTGCAGTGGTTCATTGGAGCCACCATTAAATAATATGTTTCATCAGAGCTGGAACCAGGACTGAGTATGTCAGTGGGTCATTGGAACCAGCATAAAATAATATCTGTGTGTTGTTATAACTGGGAGTGAGTAAAGTCAGTGGATTGTTTCTCACAGGACAGCAATCAGCATTTTATTGGGTGACCTATTTGCTGTGAAATTGCAACTGGGACTAAAGACTAATTCTCATTGCAGATGGTCAAAGCTGTTTCACAGAAGGCCTGGAGCAAGGCAGTGGTTCTTGTACACAAATCTAGCAGTATTGTTAATGTGGTGGTCAGCCTTCCATTATCTGTGGTCAAGGTAAGACTCCTGTATCATACTATATTATCATATTGTTAGTTTACACAGTGTGGCTTGGGTTGAGACTGAATTTGTTTTCCAGTTTATATTCATCTGTAGTCATCATCAGACAGCTTTCCAACTGGATGGGTGTCCTGCTTCTCCAGATCTTGCAATCTTCAACAGCATTGATCAGTCTGTGTTCTAATACATTTCCACCTCCTGACAAAAAGCTGTGAAGAAACTTACTCTTGTTGTCTTCCTCTGTCTCTCTATAAATGTTTCCATTTGTCACATGTTGATTTTTAATTTTTGGGGATGTCCAAGCAGATTTAGGCATTAGCCTAATCATGAAAAAGTTGTAGACTATTCAGGCTTGAATATTTTTTTTTTACATTTGCTTTCTTTAAAATCATAAAAAAAAAAAATAAAGGTTAAAATAAAAATAACGCACTTTAGTAAAAACCAGATCTCTTTTGTCTTATTAAAATAAATTCAAGACAACATAACTCAACCTATCAAACTTTACAGTAAAAACTGTGGTCGAAAGCAGTTTAAACTTTCATCAAATCTCGATTGTTTGTACACAGCTACAAAAGACAGCCCTCAACTTACAGCTAAGTAATTCAGATTCTTATTTAGATAAGGAGTCAGTTTGACTCTGTATCCTGTTCCTTAGTTGTTGTTGTTTTTTTTTTTTTTTTTGTATTTTTTTTTTATGTAAGCAAAACAGGATAAGACAGTCATAGTTTTTTTTTAATCCTGCTATGAAAAGGGGAAAAAAAAAGATTTTATGAACACTGTGGCAGCTTGATAGATTGAAGAGTAGACAGAAGCTAAATAATGCATTTAAAAAATATCACCCTACATACCAGATGAAGGGACTAGCCATTGTCACTTGTGACTGATAAAAAAAATAAGAATATTATAGTCAAGACCCCGTGAATTAGTGAAAAACAGAAAAGCAAAAACACAAGTAAACAGAAAGAAATAACTTTCCTGATTACATAATAACTGACAAAGATGTGAAACACACCAAGAACAGAATTGGAAATACCAGCATTGCAGCCTAAATATTTTAACTGGTAATGAGTGATGGGTAAATCAGGATTACCCCCCCCCCCCCCCCCCCCCCCCAAATACAGATGGGGAAGTAACAAAGCAGTCTTAAACACAGAAGCAGTGAAAGGGAATTACATGAAGAGAAGGTTTCAACAGATCTTTAGCACATACAAACTGCTAAAGGGTGTGTGAATTCAAGAGAAAAACTGGTTTAAGTGAGATGATGACATTAAGGGATATTACTGGAAATAGATTACTAGACTGTCCTGTCATAGAGTGAAAGTTTTGGAGATCCTTTGAGCTGATCTTCATCCAGTCTTAGGTAGGAAAATCAAAAGCATATCAGTCAATATCTGCCAAGGGAGACTGAGCATCTTCTATTTTATCTAGAAGTGTAAATATGTTGATTATGTCTATGAATACCCCCAAAAAAAATTTTTTTAATCTTTTTATCAGCAGCAGACAGAGGGAGAGCTAGACAAGATTTTGGAATCATTGCAATGTTTCGGAACCACCAGGGGCAAATTGTCTTTAGAGAAGAATGGTGTTGCCGTGTATACAGTCAGCATTCAGCAGACAGAGACTGACAGTCTTAGTGTCATACACAGACTGCATGATCAGGGGCTGTTTGGCAGATAACATGATGATGTATGAATGTCTTTTGAGAGATGTTGTTTAGAAATGTACAAGCATGTGGATATTTTTATTTTATTTTTAAATCAAATTGAAACACAATATTTGTGAACAATAACAATAGATAATTGTAATGGGTGTTTGATTTGTAAACATTAAAAGCTGTAAGTGACAGTTTACATGTATATTTGTTTAATTCCGAGATTATATATATATATATATATATATATATATATAATTAAAGTAAAGATCCCTTTTCAAACTTTGGGCGAATGGGAAGAGCACCCATATTTTTGCAGAGCAATCGGCAGAAAGTGGGTAATGTGGTCAGCATTATGTGGGTAATGTGGTCAGCATTATGTGGGTAATGTGGTCAGCATTATGTGGGTAATGTGGTCAGCATTATGTGGGTAATGTGGTCAGCATTATGTGGGTAATGTGGTCAGCATTATGCCGGGTGTCTTTACTTTTCCAGAACACCAGTCCTGGTACCAATTTTAGGCTGGGTCGACCTGTGATGCCCTATAACATGATAAAAATACATGCAGCCAGCAGTGGGTTTGGATAGCGGTATGTTGGAATTACAAGTCGGACTCGCAATGCCTAAGCCACGGACACCGCATATATATAAAGCTTTCAGAGATGGTATTCAACAGTTTTTGTCTTTTATCTTTAAGAGAGAAAATATTCAAACATGCAGTTTGTTTTGTGTGAGTTGCCATTGAATCCTATATTTTCTTGTTGACTTTAGTGGTTTATATGATTGATCTCATTTTTTTTTAAATTTAAACTGCGAACTCAGGAGTAAGCTGTAGTGGTACCACCTTGCAGACACTTTGTGGTACTGCAGCATGCCACAGATCATATGGTGTGCTGAAACCTTGACACATCAGGATCTGTGGCAGTGTCACTCACAGTCAGACCTGTATTTCTATACTGGCCCTTCAGCGGCTGCAGTCGATTCTGGGGTCACAACTCTGTGAGCCTGACCAGACTGGGAACAGTCTGTCATAGAAGTCACACAGTAGTGAAACTTCCTACTCCACTCATATATTTGCTGGATTGACCGGATATGCATCAACATACTGGACCTTCATTCACCGGGGAATTTCTATGTGTTTCATGGATAATAGAATGCTGCTTCTCTTTGGTGCATGTCGAAAAATGGGGTCGGCCATCTTTAAAATGTCATTATAACATGGCTGTGTTTGTCTGCACAGTGATATTACATACACAACAGGGATATTACGTGCACAATAGGGATATTATGTGCACAATAGGGATATTACATGCATAACAGGGATATTACATGCGCAACACTGTTGACATCCGCAATAACAATATTGTCAGGTTATATGACATGGCCTGGTTATCTGTTGTAATTTTTATCACATTTGTAAGGTTTTCATTTGAACTTCCCTTCTGTTTTTAGTTCTAAAAATTATTTCAGTTTTAACATGTGCCAGTGAACGTTGGGGAACCACTGAAGACATGGAATGAAAGTTAAATGCATTTGAAAACAAATGCCTGAGGCAAACATGTTGAACATAAAAGGGGACGATTCAAGGGGGATGTAAACAATAAGAAAAATGTGTGTGCAACCAGAAGTATCAACAGTGAAGTTTCTCTGTCAGGGTTTTTTTCCACCAGCTTTTTAAACCTCTGCAGGGATTGAGTTTGAGCCAGGAGCTTTACCACTAGAAATTTGGTGAATCGCCTTCTCAGTTTCCTCTAGGGCTGGTGCTTGTTCAAGGGTCATGCTTATAGGGACTTGTGCAAGGGTCATGCTTATAGGGACTTGTGCAAGGGTCATGCTTATAGGGACTTGTGCAAGGGTCATGCTTATAGGGACTTGTGCAAAGCTGTTAATAGCGTCATTGTTAATAGATGGGGATAGATTTCAAATATTTTTAAAATGTTCAGCCCATTTTTTAAGAATTTGTTCTTTATCCATGACCAGTATTTTCCCATCTGCTTTGAGGAGAAGAAGGATCCTGATAACGTTGATGGACTATAGACCTTCATAAGTGCACAAGACAATTTTTTCTGGTCATGTCTGTCAGCAAAGTTTTGGATCTCATCTGCTTTTCTACTCAACCATTCGTCCCTCAGATGCAAGATAAATTAAATTTACTAGATGCGAGATCACAGCAGCTTGGTCTGAAAATCCATAAAGGAAAGATAATGAGAATAAATCAGGCAAATGGTAATGTGGTTTGCCTTAATGGCACCCCACTCCAAGACCTGGAGTCGTACACCTATTTGGACAGTAAAGTAGATACAGATGGAGGAACTGATAGAGATATTAAAATAAGAGTACAAAAGACAAGAGGAGCTTTCATAGCACTAGGGAGTTTGTGGAGGTCAGAACAGATTAAAAGAAAATACTAAACTAAAAATTTTAAATTCTAATGTCAAATCAGTACTTTTGTATGGGACGGAAACATGGAGAATAACTAAGGCAATTACTAATAAACTACAAACATTCATTAACTGGTGCCTGCGCAGAATAGAAGGAATAAAATGGTATGATAGAATAACTAATGTAGAACTTTGTGAGAGAACTAAAACTAAACAGGCTCCGGTGGACCAAGAGGTGAGGAAAAGACGCTGGCGTTGGATAGGACACACACTGAGAAAACAGGAGAACAGCATAACTAGAATGTCTTTGCATTGGAACCCACAAGGGCATAGGAATAAAGGAAGGCCAAAAAACACAGAGAGCTGGAGAATGAAGTTAGAAAGATGGGGAGAGCTCCATGCAATGGCGAAGGATAGAACGACTTGGCGTGAGTTGGTTGAGGGCCTATGCTCCATTGGGGGATAGAAAGGCAGAAGAAAAAGAATGAGTCCCTCATCTGACGTAGCCTACGCTGCACAATTCTCCACACATCCTTCTTAGATGTGGACTTTGGATCGCTTAGAAAGGCTTTACGGATGTGATGTTTCTCAGCCAGCAGCTCCCATATTTCCTCAGCAGAGTTTTCATCAAACCAGTCATTTTGCTTTTTCTCTGGCAGTGTTAGAAATATTCTTTGTTAATACTGTCCAGTTAATGTCCATGTTCTGGTCATCTAGTGGAATAAGTTAAAGTCAATTTTCTAGGGTGTCAAAAAAAAAACTGCTGGATGGTTGCCCCCTTAAGCTTGGGAATGTTTAGTCTTTTGGCTGATTTCTTTCCTTGAGGACACCTTGTTGGCCGGATACGAATACTGAGTTTGGACACAATGAGGTGATGATCTATCCAGCACTTGGCATGGCACATGGATTTGGTCACTGTCTTTTTTTCTAACTATCACAATAATCAATGAGGTGCCAGTGTTTTTATTGTGGGTGCATCCTGTTTGGGGTAGGCAGTTGAAAAATTGTGTTTGTGATAAGATCATGCTCAGTACATGTCTGGAGGAGAAGAAGTCAGTTACTGGTTGCAGCAGCCTATATTGTACTTTCTGATAATACCATTCCAGGAGATGTTATCGGAGCCAGCTCTAGCATTAAAGTCACCAGGAATGATGAGCTTGTCTGCTTTTGGTACTGTTGCTATAACTGCTTGCAGTTCTTGAGAGAACTTGTCTTTCACATCATCCTGGTTTGTCATGGTTAGTGTGTAAGTGCTGATGATGGTGGCATGTTTTTTCCCATATTATTGGGGCATCTTCAGCATCATTAGTCTGTCATTTAGTTCCTTAGGATGTATATGAGTAAATTTCTGGTTCTAAGTATGTAGGAATTATCCAGTTGTCATAACCATACATGATCATACATACCTTCAGATATTTATAAACAGAGATTCTCACAGAGGCAGGGCAGCAACAGTACACACATATGTTATTCTTTTTACTCATAATAGTTTTATTAATATACGTTAGATCAAAAGGTAACAAAATTGATAGGTTAGTAATTTTTCTGAAACTTTTCAATGTGTATGGTAACATAATATCTGCAACCATAGCACTTTTATATTTCAGTAAAATGAGAGAGAATTGAGTTCACTGTGTTTTCAAGAGGAGAATCAGTGTTGTTCATTAAAACAAATTGTGTGTGAAAAATATTTTTGAGTCTGGAAATTAAAATTCAGTTTTCAGAAAACTGGAACTTCAATGCATAGTTTCAAGAAAATATGAATACTGGCAATTCAGATATATACTTTAACTTTTTGAGTCCCAGAGGGTTTAGCATCACAGGCCCAAGGAGTAGTAAAGAGATACGTAAAATTGGCGCATCCTGCGTTTATTGGGCTTCTTGGCAGTAACCTGTGAACGTATGATGCTTTCCTTGGGACTCAAAGAGTTAATGAAAATAATCACTGAAAATTCAGATTTATGTTTTATAAAAATTACAGTAGTATGAAATACATTTGTCTCTGAAATTATAAATTATAACTGTTGAGTTCTTTTATTATAGTCTCTATAAATTCAAACTCATCTTTAATAAATTCATAGTTATATGAAATGTGAGTTCAGTTTGTATGAAAGTAATGTGGTCATTAAATTCTTATTATCAGAATATATTGACTATGAAACAAAATTATGTTAACTTTCCTAAAACTATTTTTTTTTTTACAAAATATACATGAAGTATGTTTGGGGAATTATTCAACTTGTATGTATTAGTATACGCCACAAAGGTAATTAAGGCTAGTACATGAGTCTTGCAAATAAATACAACTGCTGTCAGATAACAGCATTATAAATCCATTTTCTTCAAGGCTGGATGTTCTTATCTGTATTATTTCACTATTTCTAGTTGGTGTTATGTCATCAAAATTACCAGAGAAAAACTACATAAAGAGTATAACTGACTTACTGAACAATTATTGCCAAAATAATTGTTTCACTAAACATAGGCATGGGCGTATACTTATCGCAGATGTGGTTGTTTTATTGTCAGTCACAGCTTAGTTCAATTGTGACTGCCCCATTAGTCTGTGTGCTGACACCAACGTCATGACCAATGGCCGTCAAAAGTCTTCTATTATCTATATCTATCTTTGCTACCATAAATTTTTCCAGTTGTCACATGTTCCCATTTTCTTTTTATAGTCTGGCAAAAAAAAATTATTCTGTTTCATATATCTCTCTGTGTGTTATTGTTCTATATTTATGAATATTGTACTGTTATGTTACATTCAGAAAAATATATGGATTTTTGCGTGTGTGTAAATGTAGAAATGAAAGAAACACATGTCAAATAGTTATCAAATACTGGCCATCTGTTGGCAAAAAAAAAACATGAACTCCCCTCTCCCATCTGATCTCGGTCCTCTTATTTATACATTGCAATGTCGAGGTCATCTCAACCAAATAAATTATCATGTATTTTAACTCTCTGTCCCAAGGAGCACATACATTTTACCTAAAAGCCCAGTGAACACAAGATATTCTGATTTTACTTTACTACTCCTTGGGCTTCTTATACTAAACTTCCTGGGACTGAAAGAGGTAATCACTTATTTTATAACCAGAAACTATCTTTTTATTAAATACATTTATTATAATACATGATCTACTGAACTATGGTAGCTTCGTTGTCAGTAAACTGGCTTATCAATACAGTGATCCTAGGTCAGTCACCTGATTTGTTGTCCTAGAGGCTCAAGACTGGACAAGCTCAGAGCACTGGGCAGCTTTACTTTACATTGTGGGTCTGCTGACTGTTTTGGGAAAGTACATATCACTGTTATGCTACACATCAGATAAAAAATAAAAGTAGTTGCATAACTTGATGCCACTGGGATGTGAAGTGTTAGGTGTTTACATATTCTAGACCGTAGCATGTGAGATGGGGGGGTGACCTTATCCCTTCCTCGTCACATTGGCTTTTCAGTTCCCCACATAAACAAACAACTTCGCAGCCACATGTATACACAATTTAAAATCAGCGAATCAGACATGTGCACATGTGGACTGGCACCTGAGACAACAGATCATGTCCTCCAAGACTATCCCAAATACAACATATCAAGGCAAAACTTTTGGCCAAGAGAAACATCGGTGCAAGTCAAACTTTACAGGTCGCTGAGTGAATTACAAAAGACAGTGAAGTTTATACTAGAGACAACATTGCAGATATAGATAATCTATTTCAAGCAAATAGAAGAAGAAGTTTCCCACAAAATTATGGACAGTTGTATGGTCAGTTATATAAGGCTGTGTGGCCCACAGAGTTATACTGCTGAGACAAAATTCTGCCACTTTTATTAATTGAATTTGTACCACTCTCTCAGCAAGCAGACATTCTTGTCATGAATTTTCACATTAGATTTTGCTATACCTAGTTGTCACAGTTCTTTTGTATGTGATCCTGTCTTTAATTTTTGTTTTTTTTTGTTTATGTTTTACTTCATCAAGATTTACTGAGAACATTTGATTAAATTAATGCACATCTGTCTTTTCCCTTTTGTTGAAGTTCCTAGTTAATGTTGCTGTGTTAATAATATCCAGCTGCAGTCTGGTTTGGCTGAGACTGAATTATAAAATTTATTCAAACAAATTGTTCAACATGGGCTGTTTGGCATAGAATGGGTTCACACTTCTTTGTCCATGAAAACAAAAAAGACCTCGTCTGTGTCGTCAACACGGATGCCACGGGTGCCATCAAGGAAGTGGTGCCAGTGAGCCTCCAGGATGAGAAGGAAGTTGCCTGGTTTGATGCATCGAGACAAAGGAATAGGCACAGACCAACCAAACATGCCCCCCATCCTGTGATTGTAATATGGGGTATCGGTGTAAAACAGAACTTGTGTAGTCTGGCCCATTGCATCCTGGTCATATACAGAAACAAAAAAAGAGATCAATTTATGAGAAATTCTTTATGTGGATAAAGATGATTAATGTGTGTTTTCTAATGTTGGATTACAAAGATTTAGATGGTATACTGGTGAGTTTAATGGTGGAGATCAAATATAAATTGGAACTAAAGACAATTACAGTGGGGTTGAAGTAAAAGTTTTCTAATAATTTTCAGTTATAAAATGTGCTATTGTATGATTTTAATGGTATTGAATTTTGAGGAAGTCATATAGGAAGTATATTTTTATAGGACAAGAAAATAGATCGGGAAATAGAAAAAAGATGCCAACGAGCAATGCACTTATATATATATATGTACTGACACTGTTATTAAGACATCCAAACATAAGTGTGAATTCCAGGAAACAATTTATAAATAACAAATTCATACCAGGATAGTGCTACCAAATTTGGACATTACAAATGGCTAGCCTATGTAAAATTAACACATGTGAAAGAAGATACTGAGAAAAGCCATCAGTTTAAAGTTTAAATATCCAAGACAAAATTAGAAATGGTACTATTAGACAGACTGTGGGAATAATACCATGCACCAAATTCAGTGAGAAACAGAAGATCAGATGGTTTGGTAATCTCGTTAGAATGCAGCCACAACTACCAGCCCAGGCTCTACTTATGAAGATATCTGATGTGAAAGCAAGAGACTGTCCCTGGGAGAAGATGGAGTGATGTCATTAAAGACCTTCTACATCGACACAGAATGACAAAAGCCACTGCTATACATCAAGCAATGGGTCGTAAACTGTTCTTCTCCACAATATTTAAAAGTGGAAATTGATGGTGATGATGATCTGTTGGTGATCAAATGTAGAGTTTAACTTTGGGTGCTCTAAAACAATTTAACTATAGGTGCTGTGAAGATTAAATTTTAACGCCTCTGAATATCTTAAGACAAATACAAAGGGTAAGACCATTTATTTAATGTGAATTAAAATTATTGAAAAACTAGTAAGTTTAAAAAAAAAAAAAGTACATTTCATCTTTGTCTACATTTTAAAACAAATACATGATTGAAGTCAAAGAAAACAAACACAAACAGATGTAAATGTTTACCTTGACGATGGCCCCAAATCTGAAAGGGTGTGGGTGCTCATCTATAATCTCCACCATCACATGGCATCTTGAGCCAAGCACCATATCTGAAACCACAGAAAGATTTGGTTTTCTTAACATCATTTAAAAGATGTTTAGGTTTTTAGTTTCTGTTGTTATTACTTATCCCTACACAGACGATTTGTTTTAGAACCAGATTTCTAGCTCAGAATGTTATGATGCTTTTTTCAAACTTCCCTATCAAGCCCTCATATGGACACCAGAATGGAAAAGAAAATGAGGAAGACCAAGAAAGACTCTACGTAGAACCATAATCAGGGAAGGCTCAGACATGGGGCTAACAAACATCCAGGACCTGAAGCAGGTGGTAACGAACATCCAGACATGGAGTGCTATGACCTCTGCCCTATGGGCCATGTTAGGCCCAAAAGTAAAGACTAACTAACTAACACAAACGATGCATGTCCCTTTTTGTCAAAAAGTTTACAGGGTTGCTGCTGCTTGTTATCTAGTAAGTTAACTGTGCTGCCTAGATGTGAGCTAGGGGTATGTATGTATGTATGTGTATATATTTGTTTGTGTGTGTATGTGTGTCTGTATGTGTGTTTGTAATAATCACATTATGTCTGTTGTTATGTCTAGGCTGTGTTTAACTTGGTAGTTGTAAATAAGTGGATACTGTTTATAAATTACTATTGCTGTTTTGTTATACTGCTAATCAAAATAGCCAAAGTCATAAGGACTATTTTGCAAACACAAAAACATTGACTACTTTGAAACGAGCATCAATGACAGTATAACAACATCTTCCAAGATATGCAGCAGTGACGTGTACAAAGTAATACTTTCTGTGTACACTGAAAAAGCTTCAGATGCCACTGCCTCCTAATTTCTCCTTTCTGTGTACATGGAAAGTTACACAGGAGTCTCAGTGATAGGTAACTTGGCTAAGGATTAGGTCTTTCCTTGACTTCCACCAACCCCTGCACTTCATATTCTTCCCTTCCATTGTTGCAGCATTTTCATATATACTCCTGTGTTTATTTGGAACCTAGAAATTTAGTTCCCTATTTTGGGTATGTGTCACCACAGCTTATGTCTCCTTAGACAGCTCTGTTATTATCTGAAAAACGATTATAGTTATCAATCCATTTGTCAGCTAACAGATTTTCTTAACTTTACGCTGCCCTTGTTAATTTCAAATGCATAACCTCTCATATGATTTATTGATTGTTGCACTCGGCACTATACAGACACAAACATATATATATGTATGTATATACACACACACACACACACATTGTGTGTTTACATAAATTAAGGTCTTTTCAAAATAACTATCCAAGGAAATATTTTGGCCAAACAAGATCACAAATGAGGAAAGGAGGAGGAAAACAACATATTTATTCCTGGTAAACATTACCAAAGGAAGAAGACAGAAATGGCTTGGACATGTTTGCAGAATGCCTTGAGACACTTTAGCAGCTATCTGATGGACGGCAGATGAAAATAGGAAATGTGGAAACCTGGAGAAGGACAACAGAAAGGGAAATAAAGGAATGTAAAAATGACATGAGACAGCAATCAGCAGCAATTGAGAACACTTCTTAAGAATGCCCTGTGCGTCGATATGTGTCTATATATATATATATATATATATATATATAAGGACTTACTACATGTTATATATATATATATATATATATATATATATATATATATATATATATATATATATATATATATATATATATATATATATATATATATATATATAACATGTAGTAAGTCCTTTGCAGAAGATCACTCTCATCACAGTATGCCTTGAAAGAATCTCGGTCTCCCACCAGCTCTCCCACAGTGTGCACTTCTACCCAATGTGTCCCTCATACACTTATACAATGTGCCCATCTTTGCGCGGTCAGCCCTTGCCCATATTTCCTGACATTATGTCTTCTGTCACTATTTTTTCCACTCGGCAGTGGCGCTGGATGTGGTCATTATAGTTAGGTTTTCTGAGACAAGTTGTTGCTTACTAGCAAGTCTTCCTCGATGTCCCAATCTTTGAGGGTGTGTGAGATATCTATAGCAACTGTCCCAGTGTTCATGGTGATGGCAATAATCTAAATAACATACTACATTGTGCTGATGACATTCAAAAAGATCTACATAAAATGATAGATAGTGTGATTGTAGGAAGTAAAATATGGGCTTAAATAAGGGAAAGATAGTAATGGAAATATCACAGTTCCTCTTGAATCTTTTAACTGACCTAAAATATGTTCACAAAATAAGGAATAAAAAACCAAATACATTACACAACCCTGTGGCATACCTCTCTTAAATGACCTAATTCATTATCAATTTTTATGGCAGCATGTCATTTCCAATATATGTTCTTTACAATTCAAAAGTTGTTATTGTGTTGACATGTCTTACTTTATTGAAAGCCGTTGTGTATTCAGTGAAGCAAAGATGACGGTCTTTGTTGACAACTGTTAAACGCTCTACTTCTGTTCTAATTAAATACATAGATTTTGTTGTACTGTTTTGTATAAAGTTATTTCTAGTATAAAGTACATATCTTATTTTTTTCTTGTATAAAATATCTTCTAATATAAAATACCTTTTTGTAAAAACTATCTTCTTGTTTAAAGTATTCTATTCTTGTTTAAAGTATTCTATTATTTTATTCTTGTATCAAATACCTACTTCTGCTAGAATAAAGTATTTTCTTCTGTGTTCTTCAGACACACAAAATGTACTCAATTTCTCAGGAGGATTAGAGTTCCTGATTGTTTATTCATGGGCTATAGCATGAGGCCACAAATGTGTACACATAACATACACATCAGTTTGTGTAAATCAGAATGAATGGAAACAAAACTAAAAGCCTTAATCAGAATTACATTCAAAAGCCTCCGGGAGAGCATCAAGGAATGGGCTGACATTGAAAGATCCCACAGCTAAGATGCTGGCAAGTTTCAACACTTGTGGCACTTTGGAGAGCGCTTTGTCAAACTTCTCTTTCACTTCTAAAACACAAAATAGTCATGTGTTACCAGCATTTCACACTTCTCTTTCACTCCTGAAACACAAAATAGTCATGTGTTACCAGCATGTCACACTTCTCTTTTACTTCTGAAACACAAAATAAATAGTCATGTGTTACCAGCATGTCACACTTCTCTTTTACTTCTGAAACACAAAATAAATAGTCATGTGTTACCAGCATGTCACACTTCTCTTTCACTTCTGAAACACAAAATAAAAAGTCATGTGTTACCAGCATGTCACACTTCTCTTTCACTTCTGAAACACAAAATAAATAGTCATGTGTTACCAGCATGTCACACTTCTCTTTTACTTCTGAAACACAAAATAAATAGTCATGTGTTACCAGCATGTCACACTTCTCTTTTACTTCTGAAACACAAAATAGTCATGTGTTATCAGCATGTCACACTTCTCTTTCACTCCTGAAACAGAAAATAGTCATGTGTTACCAGCATGTTAAACTTACCTGTCTGTGTATATGATTTTATTTACTGCTTGTTTTAAAGCAGGCATCTTTAATGTATTTTTCTGTCTTCTGCATTATGTGCGTCTTGTCTTCCTTCCTCTGTCATTACTGAAATGCTGGTCTAATTTTTTCGCAATTCGTTGCACAGATATAGTCTGGTTTACTTACTTTATATTATTGGCGTTTAAATGGTAGTTATAGCCTCACAAACAAAATTGGTTTTTGGGTAGTCACTCTAAAGCGTTTGTATTTTTATAGGAGACAGTCGTATTCATCGACTGCATAAGTTTTGGCTAATGGAAAATGAAAGAAAATAGAAATCGCACGTGTCTAATACAATCATTGTCCTGCTCAGATATAAATCCCACCCCCCATCACAACTAAATCCACCATACTACTCTCTCCCTCATCAAAGGTTTTTGGAAAAGAAAGACAATGGAAAGCGTGTCTAATATAGTTATGTCGCAATCATTCTCTGCACAGATAAGAGATAGTCTGGTTTTCCAACTTTAGAAAACGCACCATATAATTGTGTCTTTATATTAGTGGTCGTTTAAATGGTGTTATTAGCACAGTAACAAAAATTGTTTTTTGGTTATCACATGCTAAAGCTGTTTGTATTTTTATAGGAGACGGAAGTAAAGCTACAGCTGTACTTGTAAATAACGAAGTCAGTCATAAAAAAATTGAATAGCGGAGGTAGCGTTAGTAAAATATAAACAAATTAAGTGATGAGAACTTGAAAATCACGTGTAAAGCTCTTTAAGTTCTCTTGATTTTAGGTCATTACACACCTCCCCTCCCCTCTTCCACCGACTACTGCTCTCTCCCTCTTCGAAGGATTTGAAAATCATCACTTGGCGATATTTTGTTGTTGTTGTAACTGACATTGACATCCCTGTCCATCCGGACTAAAATGGGGAGCAGGAATTGTAATAGGTAGTGAATGGGGCTAGTGTAATATTTACCACATCATCCTTCAAGTACCAGTACAACTACTACCACGACCACCACCACAGTAGCTAAAATAATGTTACTGCTATCTGTTTTACCATCGGAGTAGACGGAATCGTGAGCCAGAAGATTTGGTGCCGCATAGCTAGTGCTGTCACCACGGACTGGTCAGGTTAGGATGTATAATTTCGCTTCCCGACAGAAGAACGCCATAACCTTACCGGCGGTCTTCACATGAGAGCACTACGGTGTAACCGCCCAACCACAACTACTACTCCTGCTGCTACTTTGAGTGGGTAAAGCAGTTACTGTGACTTAAAGCTCTCTCAGTAAACAGTTTGCACCCCCCCCCCTCCCCCCAAATTCACCGACTACTCTTTCCCTCATTGAAGTAGTTGGAAGAAAAAAAAAAAACAATTGAAAAGCAATGAAAACAGGAAAAATACACCATAATTAGGAAATGAACGCTATGGTAAACAGCACAGCTTAAAATTCCAACGCAGATGAAATAATTAAATCTAAATGAAAATAAATGGAAAGCTATGAAATTTCAGCGTAACCATGCAATTGTAAAGTTTAAAAATGAAATCATAAGTATGCAAAATGGTCAAATTTAATTATCAACTGATTTACCCACATACCTGTCTTTTTTTTTTTAGTATTAAAGGCTACATGGCTATTGCTGTCGCCACGACAGTGCAGTTGAGGATTTTATTTTAGCCCCGGGTAAAAAAAAAAACACTACTGCAGATTCGAACCCTGGTCTCCCGGACAGGAGCCCAGTTGTCAAACCATTCAACCAAGCAGCCATTCATCGCAGAAACGAAAAGAGAACAAAACTATTTGAGATGTGTGTCCCTTCAACAGTGTCCCGATTATAACTCAAAACAGCAGGCAATTGTTTTCTCATAGACAGATATTCCAGATATATTATTAAAACGGCACAATAATAGAAATCGCACGTGTCTAACACGGTTAATGTCGCAGTCAATGTCTGCGCCGACGTCGAGATAGGCCTTGATGCCCCCCCCCCCCCCCCCTTTTTTTCCCCTTTAAATCCATCGGCTACTTTCCAAGTCATCGAAGGTTGTTTGGAAAAAAAACAACAGAAAATAGAAATCGTGTTTAATATGGTAATTGTGGCAATCATTGCCTGCACAGATATAGAGATAGTCTAGTTTGCTGTACCACGGCCTACTCTATTTATTAGAGAAGGCGTTGGCTGTACGTATCTCGCCGGCGAATGGTGGAAGTCTTGCGTTCTGACTACAGCGCATGCGCATTTACTAACTTGGCTATAATTAACTGTCACTAAAAATGCAAATATTAGTTTCGAAGATTATCCCTAAAATTAACGCACACTATCTCTAACAATGACAGGTTGAATTTCAAACCATGATGGGTGAACATCCGGTATCAAAATAAACAAATCCTGAAAATTTCTGCTAAACCGGTTAAGTAGTTTCTGAGTCTATAGCTCATAAACAAACACACAAACATTGATTTATATATATATATATATATATATATATATATATATATATATATATATATATATATATATATATATATATATATATATATAATATATATAGATTTGTCTCTGTCTAGCTATCTTGAAAAAACATTAGGAAATGTAGACAATAATGTTTTACAGTAAGTTGTCTTCATTGCCGCATCATCAGAACATCCCACCAAAGACCACAGGTCAACGGTTGGATCATAGTAACTTTTGTAAACATTGAAAGTAAAAGACGTTTTAGTTAGGAGGAGAAGGTTACAATAGTAGAAATGATCTTTTTATCTCAAACATCTGTTAACATCCACACACAAAGTTGAGAATTTACATAATGTAAGAATTATCGCACAATAGTCTCCTTGGTTACTCTAGCAAAGCTGTGCTCCAAGTACTCCTAAAGCAGAAGAAATCATAGTAAAAAACAGACATATTTACATGCTGGAAGAAACGTGGTTGAAAAGATCTACAAATATTGTCAGAGCAATGCCGCCAGCGCCAAAAACATGTACACCATGTGTTCATTAATTTTTTAAAAGCCTTTCATAAAGTATGGCATGCAGTATTCTGGGACACTGAAAGATTGCGATGTGGGTAAACCCTTCATACGTACTATAAAACGGCTTTATGCCTGTAGTGCTGTCATCTGAACTGACAAATCGGTAGCTGGTTCCGAACAACAGTAGGAGTCCGATAGGATTGCCTTCTCTCCATGACACTGTTTAACATTTTCTTAGAATTGGGACTGAAGCCCCACAAAAACTCCAAGGAACAATAAGTATAGGACGAATTATAATAAAGTTTGCAGATGAAATCGACAAGTTGCTCGTGGAAGAACAAAAGCTCCCATCAAGAGGGCTGCTTGGTCTCGAGACAAGGTGTCCGCCTCGAGTGCTGGAGGTCCCGGGTTCAGGCCCAGGTCAAGGCTGTGATGTTTTACATGGACTCTTGTCATTTTCTCTAGAAAAAAAAATCCGACTGGATACAAAGTAATAAAATATGTTTAGATAATTGAATATATGAGATCTAACCTCTTGACAAAAATAATGGGTTTGTCATCTGACAGTAATATTTAAATTCTGTCAGCTAAGCAAGTTACGTTATACTCGTAGGATCATCTATGAGAAAGATAAAGATGGATTTCCAGGAATTCTGCCAGTTTTAGATATATATACCATGTTGTGATTTCAAATTATTTGTTTTATGTATTGCTTCATTGTTTCCTTTTATGATGCGGCATTAACAAATCAGAGTAATGTCTGCAGACAAATATTCATAAATCAGACATGAATGTTTGGTTAAAACATACAAGAGACATGATTAACAGCAAATTGAGTTTGGAAATGATCTGCAACTATTCTAAGACGTATAACATACTTGTGTTCACATATAAATAGAGGCTCCAAATCCGGAGTAAGGAAACCAAAATAGATAGCCAGCTCGGAAGTCAGAAATTCAGTTCCCCATTTAAGCGTGTAGTGTAGTGTGTGTGTGTGTGACTTGGTAGTAATAACAGAGGTGCAGTTGGAGTAGCATTGTCCTAACGGTTGTATACCGTACATACTGGAAAAATACTGGCCGGAGAAAGGCGGAGTTAAAAAAAATACTCACGGTACTATGTTTCACATCACAACATTTAAACAATCGATAGATCAACTTGAGGCACGCTAGCCCTGGTGACAGGAGTATTGATTTTTAGCCAGGAAGAGATGGATATTAAGCATGGATTTGGGGGTATTTCGTTTTCTAACTGGACTTAACAAATGCGCGGGGAAGGAGGGAGCGGCAGTTGTGAAATAATGGCTTGTTCTTTTGTTTGTTTGTTTGTTTTAGTATAAAAAAACCATGAGTTGTTAACCCGTAGGCTCGGTATTATGGATATCGCAACCTTTCGGCCTTGATTCCATTGTAAATACCGTAAATCTGTGAGAAAATGTGGCTTTCCTGCCTACCCCCGGGATTGAACCCGGACCACAAGGAGTTCGTCACCCGGTCTCCGCGCAATCCGGTTTAGCCAACTACGCTAGAGAGCCGGGCTCATTAATGGCTTAATAGGCTTATGTACAGGCTCACATAAGGAAATACTTGGGGTGTACAAGTAAATATAGTAAAATAGGAAAATCAATTAGAGCAAGGGTATATGGTGCTAACCTCACAGGGTTTTATAAGGAAAAAAAGCGATATAACCAAGGGTATATGATTCTAGACTTATATAGTAGAATATACAAATCGATTTTCTCGAAGGTATATGCTGCTAACCTTTTATAGAGTATTTAGTAAATAATAATAAAAAGTTGATAGAACCAAGGGTATATGGTGCTAGACGTATATAGGTGATATAGTAAAATATAAAAACAATCAAAGCCTCGGGTATATGGTGCTACTTTTGTTGTATTATGTAATGAAATAGAGACAAATAGATACAAACAAGAATATAGAGTGCTAGACTTATATATATATTATTTAGTAAAATAAAAAAGTGTAAAACAACAATGGTATATGGTGCTAGATGTATATAGATTTTCTGGGCCCTTGTGAGTGACCACATCTGGCATCGGTAGTACCGGGTTTAGAGGGCCTCGTTATAGCTCCTGATATTCCGTTGCCATATGTGTGGATGTTCTCTCCGGACATCAGTGTGTAACATCACCACCCTGTCGTTGATGACCAGTTTCACCACACTCCCGCTGATGTTTATTATCACCAAGATGTCAGTTATGTTCAATGTCACCATGATGCTACGTATGTTCAGTGTCAACATAATATCACTTATGGTCAGTGTCACCACAGTGTCATTGTTTGTCAGACGTAGACAGCTAGACATACTTACTGGCTGGGTGAATAAATGAGTGGATGAGCTGTTTGCTTAACGGATAATACAGCTAATGGGTAGACAGGTATAAAACTGAAATATGGTGATAATGTAGTTGTTTATTTATTTATTGTTAACTTTACCAGTAACTACGTGAAATACTTACTGCATATGTTGCTATGTTTCTTGTAGTCAGCTTTCTGGCAGTTCTTGTCACAGTAATTTGCTATCTTGCACCGCGAACATTTGAGCACTGGACCTTCGATGCCACAGAATGAACATTTTCCCAAGGTTAAAGAACTCTTAGCCCTGTCTGAACGTTCTCCTGCCTGTTTGGGATCATACTTTACAATCTCCAATCCGGATACCGCCTTCTCTAAAATCACCTCTGCAGAAGCTGCAGTAGGCAGATATGGTGCATCGTATTCTTCTTTAATATTTTTTGGTTTGTCTCCTGAGCTAGTACTGTTAGGATCCGTTGCAGTTTCATCTGTTCTGGGTTCAGTTTTTCTCTGACTCCACCAACCTTCTCCAAAACTCTCACCAGACTGTATTTTCTGACCAACTTTCGCAGCTCCACCAAACTGTCCACTAGTAATCAATGGCTTTACTGGCTTGTCCTCACTTGCCTTTTCTTTCTGCTCAGTTTTGCTGTGTTTATTTTTTCTTGGCTTGATTTTCTCAGCATCTGCTTGCATTTTATCATTGCCATCTTTCTCACTGCTGTTTCCACCCTCTTTTAAAACCTCCTTCGGTGGAATTCGTAATGTTCCGTCTTCGTTTAAAAGCCTGGCTTTTTCTTGCAGCTTTTCCATACGTTCGCCTTCTTCATCAGTCAGCCTTGTGAGTCGGCCTTTTAAAAGCCCAATAACGTTACAGAACCTCAAATGGTCGTTGCGATTATCTTCTAGGCATTGTATAGAGCAGTATCTGTGCGAGAAGATAAATCATTAAAAAAAAAAAGCATGTACAAGTAAAGTAGTTAAGCTGGTATGGAATTAGGACAAAAAAGGAAACTGTATGTGACATTTGTTTTGTTGTTTGTTTGATGACCCGAATATTCAGGAGGGATAACGTGGTCAGTGTCACCTATCCAAATTGGAAATTAGCATTGTGTGGATATGGTACAAAAAGTGATGTGTCTATAACAATATAAAACAACCCTTGACCCGTTAGGTTAGTTGTGTGTTTCGTTGGAAGAACTTGCACGCAAAAGCTACCATCTTTCTCTGTCTTCCGCTAGTTGGACAAGTGTACAATAATTTAGCCCTGTCAATTTTTTTATATTGTCTTATAATGTTGTTCCATTATCTTCTCCCCCCCCCCCCCCCCCTTCCGTTCCTTTCTTCTTCGACTATCTGTGTGTCGGAAGGTACTTGATTCTCGTGGCTTTTTACCAGTATCCAGCCTTTCTCGGCTTTAATTTCCATTCCCCGGTTACCAGTGTCTTTAGTTTTGTAGTAAGCTCTTGGAATTCTGCTTCGGTGCCAGCCATGAGATCAGTGTCGTCCGTGAAAAGTAAATTACACAGTGTGTTTTTCCACCAATGGATATAGATGTTTGATGATTTTTCAAGAAAGAGCTGCATGATGATATAAACTGGACGAACTGAATCGTCATCATTGACCTGCTCTGCCATTCTGTCAAAAGGGCTCACCGTCGATTCCCCCATTCATTTCTACCATGTGCAGTAAGTTCATTGTAGTATCAAGCGTGGACGTCTCTCAGAGGGAGAGGCTCCTCCGGGACACCCAAAGCCTCTTTGCTAGCAAGCAGTCCATTTATCCTTAAGTAATGAAGAAAACCTCAAAAAGAATCATCCCTGCAGTTACGGAGCGCGATCTTTGCGCTTAAAATCATCTTCAGTTAGCTACGGAGGGAAGGTTCTTGGATGAAGGCAGAGAAATTGAGAAAGATGAATAGATAGAAATAGAAGAGCAGGTGCCGGGGGGGGGGGGGGGGGGGGGGGCGGGGTGTCAGATGAAACTCAGAGCGCCTAGGATTGACGTCATAGGTAACTATTTTGACAGATCTCCTGTAAACAACGGCTAAGTAAAAGACATTTCTATTGCTAATGGAGCATATGTTGCTAATACATTTTTAAAATCAATGGGCTCCCCATGGGTAGTGTGTTTAACATCAAGCCAGTTGCATTTACTTCAAAAGAATTTTCTTGGTAGCCACTTTAGACTATTTAGACAAAAGAGACCCGTCCATTAAAAAAAAAAAGCATTCTTGATTGGGATTCGAACCCAAGACCTTGTTAATGGCATGCAGGCGACTTGCCACTGCATCACCAAGGCTCCCTGATAATGCTGCAGTAAGGGCATATGTTCGAGCCTCACATACGCTAGCTCACAGCATGATTATGTCAGGTGACCATCACTGGTCGCTGCCACTTTTCAACAGCAATCTTTTTATGGAAAGGTGTGGTCAGTAGAAGAAGAAGAAGAAGAAGAAGAAGAAGAAGAAGAAGAAGAAGAAGAAGAAGAAGAAAGAAGAAGAAGAAGAAGAAGAAGAAGAAGAAGAGAGAAGACGAAGAAAAAAAGAAGAAGAAGAAGAAGAAGAAGAAGAAGAAGAAGAAGAAGAAGAAGAAAGAAGAAGAAGAAGAAAGAAGAAGAAGAAGAAGAAGAAGAAGAAGAAGAAGAAGAAGAAGAAGAAGAAGAAGAAGAAGAAGAAGAAGAAGAAGAAGAAGAAGAAGAAGAAGAAGAAGAAGAAGAAAAAGAGGAAGAAGAAAGAAGAAGAAGAAGAAGAAGAAGAGAGAAGAAGAAGAAGAAGAAGAAGAAGAAGAAGAAGAAGAAGAAGAAGAAGAAGAAGAAGAAGAAAAAGAAGAAGAAGAAGAAAGAAGGAGAAGAAGAAGAAGAAAGAAGGAGGAGAAGAAGAAGAAGAAGAAGAAGAAGAAGAAGAAGAAGAAGAAGAAGAAGAAGAAGAAGAAGAAGAAGAAGAAGAAGAAGAAGAAGAAGAAGAAGAAGAAGAAGAAGAAGAAGAAGAAGAAGAAGAAGAAGAAGAAGAAGAAGAAGAAGAAGAAGAAGAAGAAGAAGAAAGAGAAGAAGAAGAAGAAGAAAAGAAGAAGAAGAAGAAACATTAAAAAAAACTTTATACTATAAGCTTTCATTATTTATCTTTTATACAGTAACACAGTGACGTGTTTTATAAAATAATATTGTGTTTACTTTATCATATAATTTAATGGATCCACGATACCATTCTATTATTTATTTTATATCTTTTTAGTGCACTGGTTATTGTATGCAAGATAAGTAATAAAAGCTTCATCATAATCATTAGTTTCTACTTCTGCTGCTAAGCGTTGTGGGGAGGAACAGTTTGTGATCCATTGCTTGATGGACAGAAATGGCTACTGTCATTCCGTGTGGATGTAGAAGCTCTTTAATGTCATCAATCCACATTCTCCTAGGACGGCCTCTTGCTTTCACTTCAAATCCTTTCACGTGTAGCGCCTGCATTTGTAGTTGTTTAGACTGCATTCTTACTAAATGACCAAATCATTTGCTCTTCTGTTTCTCAACGAATTTGCTGCATGATGTTGTTCCTACAGTCTGTCTGATTATGTCATTTCTAAATTTGTCTCTGATGGTTAAGTTGAGGGCTTTTCTCAGGCGTCTCATTCATTTTACAGGTGTTCATTTTAAGTAGGTTAGTCTATGAAAATGTCTTGAGTCTGGCACTGGTAGCACAGTGTTGGTTTGAATATGCTGTTAATAATGTAGGTTTTTTTTCCGCTTATACTTATGTTTGGATGTCCTAATAACGGTGTCAGTTGGTATATATGTGCACTTGATCTTTTGTCTTTTGTGTTTTATATTCCCCAATCTAATAAAAGCTTACAGTATTGACGGTTTTTTTAAATTTTTTTAAAAATAATTATTAACGTCTTTTTAGTCTTAACGACATGTTACAAATCAAAGCAGTCAATTTAAAAAATGTATGTCAATATCATCATCCTTTGTGTGTCGTTAGACGTAACACAGGGCTCAAATTCTTCTCCTCTACTCCGATCTATTGCATGCAACGTTTTCAATTTCTGACACGGAGTTCAGCCCAGCAGTTTTGGCCTCTCATAATAATGTTCATCTTACCGTTTCCCTTGAATGTCCTATTTTTCTCAGACCACTTGTTTTCCATTTCAGTGCTTGTTTTATAAATTTTTGCTCATTTCGTCTCTGAGTGTGCCCAATACATCTCCACCATCTTATTTTTAAATGCATTTAACTTTCGCTCCATATCTGTGGTGGTTTTCGAACTCTAGGTGGCATAGGCCGTATGATGGAACTGAAATAACATTAGAATTGCACATCCGTAGTTTGGTGGTAAAGTTGTAAACTTGGAGCTCCATACTGTGTGAAGACTTCAAAGACTGTCTTTTCTGTACTAGTGTGTATCATAATTCCCTTCGCTGTATCTACATGAGAGTCAAAATCGTTTCCCATATAAGCGAAATGGTCCGTTACTTTTATTGGTTTATTCTCTAGCTTCTGTTCGTATCTTTAATATATTTGTTTTCTCATAAGTTATTTTCAGTCCTATTTTTGATACCATAGACGACAAATCGACTGTTTTTCTTTGCATGTCTTTATTTTTTTTTTTTTTTTAACTTAACAGAATAAAACCATCAACGAAATCCACATCTTCCAGTTGTCTGTTCTCTGTCCATCCAATGCAATTATTGCCTTTGGCAACATTTGTTCATTACCGAATCCATGGCTACTCCAAACAGCAAGGGCGATAGAATGCAGCCTTGTTTCAATATGTCAACAACACTGACTAATTAATCAAATATCTCCAACCATTACGTCAACATGTACAATATTACGGTCCATTTATGCACCATACACTCACAAATGAAACCACGTACGTGACTGACTGACTGAATAACCGACTTCTGGCTGCTAAGGAAGTTTTGTCACTTTGAGATAAAAAATCAGAATAACATACATCGGAAAGTTGTGAATGTCAACTCTCAACATCACTTCCCTGACTCTATAGTATACTATACAGCAAAAGAAAGGGTGGGGCTTCACAATATCGAGAAATAGCATCCCACATGGGAACGATTGCTATAGAATCGGAGGGTAGGTAGATAGGTAGGTAAGTTGTACCCAACCAGGACATCACACAAGCGATAAATACCCGGTGACATATAGTGCCACCATGCGGATGAGGATCACCTGTGGAGAGGTCCCAAAAACCCCTTTCAGCCGTTAGACCACATTTATGGCCCGGCTATATTCAGGGTCCCCGGCAAAAGCCAGGGTTGGACTTCAAATAACGAAACATTGCATTCCACACGAGGACGACTTTTAGGATGACGAAACTGACTGGCGGACTTTGTTACCCCACCAGGACATCACACAAGCGATAAACATTCTATGACACAAAGTGTCACCATGCGGATGAGGATCATCCGTGAAGAGGTCCCAGAAACCCCTTTCAGCCGTTAGGTCATATCTATGGCTGGGCCATATCTATACCCCGGCTATATTCAGGGCCCCCGGCAGAAGTAAAGGTGGGGCTTCAAATAACAAAAAATTGCATCCCATATAGGGACGTCTTACAATAGGATAATGACGGGATAATTAAGGTGTATGCAATCTGTTAGGTAGGTAGGTAGTTGTACCCCACCATGAGGATCACCCTTGGAGAGGTCCCAGAAACCCTTTTCAGCCTTCAGGCCATATATGTGGCTAGGCCATATCTATGCTCCGCAGAAGCCAGGGTTGGGCTCTAAATAACACAAAATTGCATACCACATGGGGACGACGTCACTTATATATATATATATTATATATATATATATATATATTATATATATATATATATATATATATATATATATATATATATATATATATATATATATATATAATCTGAGGGAAATCTACTAGGAAATATTATTCCCAAATATTGAAAGCAAAGGTGGTCGACAAGATTTTCACATGAACAGTTAACACAAAATTATGAAAAAATGTAATATTTTTTTTAAAAGCTTGCCAGACACAATGCGATGTCACTATTAAGGCATATAATATTAAAAACAATTGTACTCTAATTTTATCAGAAAACAGGTATATTTCAATAAATTCTATTAAAAAGAATAAGAAGACCCCCACTCCCCTCCGCCTCCCGTAGAATGATTATTTTCCTTGATAAATATATTTTTTAACTGGCCATATAAAATATTGGGCATCGACAATAACCACTGAGAAGCAAAAATTGTAATAATTTTTTTTACCACACTGTATTGTCGTCCACAAAGCATGCGTGTGCAAAATGTCAACATAATAGCTTATCGGGTAATTGTATAAAAATCAAACGCAAGCAGCCAAATAGACAAGCCAACGAAACAACAATTTCAATCATAATAAAAGCTTATAAAAACAGTTTTTAAGAAAATACAAGCGACTGGTCGAGTTTCAGATTATACATGGACTTGGACTTGGAATCTGGTAATCTGGTAATCTGGTAATCCTAGTTTCAGCATCATAGCAAACGGGTCACCCCATTGTTGCTCCGCTCCTGTGCCAACGAAAAACACTCGTAGCTAACAGTGTCACACCATGCACTCAACTCAGAAGCTTGGAATACAAGCGACTGGTCGAGTTTCAGATTGTACATGGACTTGGACTTGGAATACAAGCGATTGGTCAAGTTTCAGATTGTACATGGACTTGGACTTGGAATACAAGCGATTGGTCAAGTTTCAGATTGTACATGGACTTGGAATACAAGCGACTGGTCGAGTTTCAGACTGTACGTGGACTTGGACTTGGAATACAAGCGAAACACTGGCAACTGGATGTTCCAGCTTTTGTGCTAACGGGGTGGGGCATTTCAGTCAGCAATATTTCACAACAAAGCATCAGTTTAATACTTACTTAAACTCCAGACATCTTTCACACACGACAAATTCATCAAGTGGTCTCTTGCATTTGATGCACCTATTTCTGTCTTGAAGTTCCTTGATTGCCATCCATTTCTTTACCTCGGCCTCATCCATGTTCTCTGCAGTAGAAAGTTCATAAATAATCTCTCTCTCTCTCTCTCTCTCTCTCTCTCTCTCTCTCTCTCTCTCTCTCTCTCTCTATCTATCTCTCTATCTATCTATCTATCTCTCTCTCTCTCTCTCTCTCTCTCTCTCTCTTTTAAAATCTTAAAGCTTCACCCCCCACCCCACCCCCCCCACCCCCCCACCCACCCCCGCCCCCAAAAAAAATTTAAATTAGGTAGTGAAATGAAAGCGATAGGAAGGACATGGGATGAGTTGCTTAGATAAAACTGGGCAGAATAAATTGGCGTGTGTTAGTTAAGGTTATATGCTTCATTGATGGGGGGGGGGGGGGGTGTAAGGTAATAGCAGCAGCTAAAGAAGAAGGAAGATGGGGAGGATAACAAAAAAGAAGTAGAAAGAGAAGGAGGATGATGAGGAGGAAAAGAAAAAGAAAAAGAAGAAGAAGAGAAAAAAGAAAAAGAAGAAGAAGAAGGGGGAGGAGGAGGAGTAGGTGGATGAATAGGAGGAGTAGATAACGGAGGCGAAAAGGGTGTGGTGGGGGGGGGGGTGAGATTTAAACACCAAGGTAACAATACAATGTGTAATTAGAGAATCAAGAAGTGAGAACAAGACGATGGTCTTGGATAGGGCACATATTGAGGAAACCTGATAACAAACTCCAAGACTAAGGAACAAATTATCGGCGTATGTGGCTTAGGGGTTATGAATGCGATTCATAGTGCCGGGTTCGATACCAGCAGCGGGCCTTGTGCTGGTTTCGACAGTTGTATCGATAACCTAACTGTCCAGAAAGTAAAGGCAAATTACTGGACCTAAATTTGCTCAGAAAAACCACGATAGCCAAAACAGAAATGCTGGGGTTTGTTCTGCACTGTTCTGTAAAGGATACGCAACTAAGTATTGTTGAATTATGAATCGACATCATAGCACTTGGGACACGCCCATAAGCGCTCCGTCCCAATCTCCAGAAGCAAGCAAAGAATTCGAATTTTGATGGCACCAGTAACTGATTGTTTATCCGTCTCGTCTTTCATTTGAGTGTTGAGCGTCGGCCACATCCCCTGTTAACTCCTCGCAGCGCCATTCTCCTCAGACCGTAACGATCTATGTGTGCCTCGGCACTGTTCGCTCGTTCCCAAAGGACCCTTACGATATCTAGCTTGCCACACATCAATTCAGCATGTGTTGCACTACTGGCAATTTTATCCGCCTCCTCGTTTCCTAACACACCGGCATGACCTGTAAAAAATATATACTCTTCTCCTCGCCCAAATTTAACAAGCCTGCATAGATGTCTGATTGCGTCTTCAGCTTACGCCACCCGAGACCGTCCTTTTGTAGGCTGTGACTCTTAGCTCTACTTAGGGCTTCATGCAAAAGGCGCTTCTTGTCTGCAGTACCCTTGCAACACTTTGAGCCTGTCTGTAATAGTAGGCAGTGCAAGTATATATTCCATACATACTGCCGAGGTATCTCTTGAGCATCTCAGAACTACCCGCATGGTTTCATTCTGTATACGTTCAAGTTTCATCCGCCGACTCTTTGATGTTGTAAGCATTCCAAGTCAATAATTTATCACTGGCAGGACCACATGCTTGCTGAAACATTGTGAACAGCATTCTTTGTTCTATGTCCATTGCTGCCATGATCTTGAGATCAATGGGTCCGTTTAGGAATTTCACCGCAACTGCCTCTAAGTTATCCTGGTAGGATCAGCTTCTATCGAAAATGTTTCTGTCATTAACTGTGAGGCTTGGGACATTGGCTCTTACAATTTTATTGTCCAGAGAGCACCACAAAACAGTTGCCTTCTCTAAATTGATAACAGCACCCATCTCTGCACACCAGTCCGTCATTTTGTCTACAGTTGCCTGTAACTCTTAAGCTATCTGTAGCCTATCGCTTCTCTGCCTATGTGCAGGAAAATCATCTGCAACTGACAATATCCTTCCAACACCTGGTGCTTCAAGGTCTGCCATCTTTCTTGTATACACACTGAGAAGCACTTGTGAAATTGCAGAACTATGAGGTAGTCCCAAGAAGGTACACAAAGAATATTTAGTCGATACCCTAATTACCCATCAGTTATGATGTTGGAACTCTTTCTCCATTGTGGGAAAAAAAAAAAGGGGGGGGGGGGAGACACCCATTATCTTCCAACAAGCATGTCGGAAGAGTCGACTAACTAGGAGTTTCTTTTGAATTCGGATTGCATCTGTCTGACAGGGTAGCCAACAGTCTGCATACAAATAAGCTAGATCTGTAAAACGGATGTGTACGCAAAACTGAAGTTCTGGAACAAGACTAAAGAATAAAAAAGTTCACCAACAACGAGAATTTTCCGCCAGAGTTTGCAGCTGGTTAATGAGAGGAAGACTTGCTTGTGATTTTCACCAGACAACAGCCTTTCACTTGCTTTAATTCTCTTCTTAGCATTTTTTTAAAAAATAAATTCAGCCAGCTTCAAATTGAAACTAAGTACATCAAGCAGAAGTCCTTACTGACACAACTAGCAAGAAGTTCAGAGTACCTACAGTACTTATTGCCTTCACCTTCGCCTTCTTGCAGACTACCTTTTTGATACATAAGCTATTTGTATTCCTCCTCTACTTATTGTAAATTGTTTCACAGAATCAGTACGTCAAGGAGGAAGGCAAGCACCCACACTCCGATCCTCAATATCTTTATTGTCAACACCGAAAATGTAATTTCAAAATGAAACCGACTCCACAAAAAAACGTCTTTTTACAACTGACAGTCTAAAGGGTTGATTACTCAGCAAGCATTAACAATCAGTCACATCAGTGTTCTGTTTAAAAAAAATCACTAAAGCGTGAACGAAATGACAGTTTAAAATATCCACACAAAAAATATCCTACCTTGCTGGACAAATTGACTTGGCGTGTAAAGTGTCTTTCTACAAGTAATCTTATTTCCTGCGTATTTCATTGATTTTAAAACCGAAAGCACAAACTTTCCCAGAATGCTAAAATAAAACATTACGTCGTGATTTTTGGCTCAGTACCTAGAAACCATGCTTGTAAATTGTGGCGCACACTTACCTCTCAACCCTGCAGATGTGTTAGAATCTCCTTAGAATATAAATAGCTTTGCTTTATTGAGCTTGGTTTCATTGACTGAACCAGCCTGAATGATGAGTGACATACTTTCAGGAAACTAAAGACAACCAGGACAGTTTGGATCAGATCGTCTAACCAGTGAGGATTAGTCTAGAAACACATGATGATAACACCACAGAAGGAGGAGGAGGAGTAGAAACACATGATGATAACACCACAGAAGGAGGAGGAGGAGGAGGAGTAGAAACACATGATGATAACACCACAGAAGGAGGAGGAGGAGTAGAAACAGTTCCTTTACTTTACATTCTAGTTGAAGAGTCACTTTACCGTGTGGGGAATGATCATCTACTTTGGTGGAAACTGTTTAAGGGACAACATGTTTAACAGTGAAAGAATACCTGTCAGTGGTAGCATGCCTAGCGGTATTACCATTTAGTCAGTGTTAGTATGACGGACAGAATTAGTACGACTGACAGTATATGCTATGATGGACTGTGTTAGTATGTCTGACAGTGTTAGTATGTCTGACAGTATTAGTATGTCTGACAGTATTAGTATGTCTGACAGTGTTAGTATGTCTGACAGTATTAGTATGTCTTAAAGTATTAGTATGTATGACAGTTTTAGTATGTCTTACAGTGTCAGTATGTCTGACAGTATTAGTATGTCTTAAAGTATTAGTATGTCTGACAGTATTAGTATGTCTGACAGTATTAGTATGTCTGACAGTATTAGTATGTCTGACAGTATTAGTATGTCTTAAAGTATTAGTATGTCTGACAGTGTTAGTATGTCTGACAGTATGTGACAGTATTGTACAGTGTTAGTATGTCTGACAGTATGTCTGACAGTATTAGTATAGTATGTCTGACAGTGTTAGTATGTCTGACAGTATTAGTATGTCTGACAGTGTTAGTATGTCTGACAGTATTAGTATGTCTTAAAGTATTAGTATGTATGACAGTATTAGTATGTCTAACAATGTTAGTATGTCTGACAGTATTAGTATGTCTGACAGTATTAGTATGTCTGACAGTATTAGTATGTCTGACAATGTTAGTATGTCTGATAGTGTTAGTATGTCTGACAGTATTAGTATGTCTGACAATGTTAGTATGTCTGATAGTGTTAGTATGTCTGACAGTGTTAGTATGTCTGACAATTTTAGTAAGTCTGAGAGTATTAGAATGTCTGACAGTGTTAGTATGTCTGAGAGTATTAGTATGTCTGACAGTGTTAGTATGTCTGACAGTATGCCTGACAGTATTAGCATGTCAGACTGTATTAATCTGTCTGAGAGTATTAGTATGTCTGACAGTGTTAGTATGTCTGACAGAGTTAGTATGCCTGACAGTGTTAGTATGTCTGACAGTGTTAGTATGTCTGACAGTATTAGCATTTCAGACTGACAGTATTAGCATTTCAGACTGTATTAGTCTGTCTGACAGTATTAGTATGCCTGACAGTGTTAGCATGTCTGATAGTGTTATTATGTCTGACAGTGTTAGTTATCTGACAGTGTTAGTAAGTCTGACAGTGTTAGTATGTCTGACAATGTTAGTATGTCTGACAGTGTTAGTATGTCTGACAGTGTTAGTATGTCTGACAGTATTAGTATGCCTGACAGTGTTAGTATGTCTGACAGTTTAGTATGTCTGACACTGTTAGTATGGCTGACAGTGTTAGTATGTCTGACACTGTTAGTATGTCTGACAGTGTTAGTATGTCTGACACTTTTAGTATGTCTGACAGTGTTAGTTTGTCTGACTGTTTAGTATGTCTGACACTGTTAGTATGCCTGACACTGTTAGTATGTCTGACACTGTTAGTATGTCTGACAGTGTTAGTATGTCTGACACTGTTAGTATGCCTGACACTGTTAGTATGTCTGACACTGTTAGTATGTCTGACACTGTTAGTATGGCTGACAGTGTTAACATGTTTTACAGTGTTAGTATGTCTAACAGTGTTAGTATGTCTTACAGTGTTGGTATGTTTAACAGTGTTAGTATGTCTTACAGTGTTAGTATGTTTTACAGTGTTAGTATGTCTTACAGTGTTAGTATGTCTGACACTGTTAGTATGTCTGACAATGTTAGTATGTCTGACAATGTTAGTATGTCTGACAATGTCAGTGTACTAGGGCGGAGGGGCCCTTAGTACCAAGAAAAAAAGAGATAAAGAGAGGAGAGTATAGAGAGTTCGTTTTGGTGGGGGAGAGATCAAAATATCTCACCCAGGCAAGAAATCTTCTGTGTAAAGTCTAGTATAGCCAAGCAACGAATAAACTAAACTAGTAAACTAACTAGAAGTCCTAAGCTGAAGAAAACAACAGTAACTATGAATACAACGTTGAACATATTTTTTTTTTTAACTTCACATCAGCATGGCCAACAAATAACGACATTAACGACAACTACGTGCTCGACCAGCATCTTAAATATATAGCGATCTACCATCTAAATATCTCTTAGCAAGAATACAAAAGAAAATCTACTTTAACCAACTGAACGTACCCCCCCCCCCCCCCCCCCCCCCCCGTCTGGAATCGGCCAGACCACGAACGTTACCTGTGGTCGCCATGCCTGCCGACCAGCCCATTGTGCAAAGAATCAGTAGCTAGGTTAGGCTCCCACAGGTTGGTCCGCAAGTCAAATAGGTCGCTGCAAGACTGAACAAAATCTTTTATACCCAGCGAGCCAGATTTTTCCCTATCTTTCGTCTAACTCTATTAACTGCCAATGCTTCTCAAATGGCCGGTTGGCCATTTTCAAACCAGAATAAACCTTCTAAGATCTTTAATCTGCTGTACTGTAGTCTTCGTCGCTTCCACCCTATTACATTAGTATGTATGACAGTATTACCATGTCAGACAGTGTTAGTATATCTGACAGTATTAGAATGTCTGACAGTGTTAGTATGTCTGACAGTGGTAGTGTGTCTGACAGTGTTAGTATGTCTGACTGTGTTAGTATGCCTGACAGTGTTAGTATGTCTGACAGTGTTAATATGTCTGACAGTATTAGTATGTCTGACAATGTTAGTATGTCTGAGAGTGTTATTATGTCTGACAGTGTTAAGTATGTCTAACAGTAGGCCTGACAGTATTAGCATGTCAGACTGTACTAATCTGTCTGAGAGTATTAATATGTCTGACAGTGTTAGTATGTCTGACAGTGTTAGTATGCCTGACAGTGTTAGTATGTCTGACAGTGTTAGTATGTCTTACAGTGTTATTATTACTGACAGTGTTAGTATGTCTGACAGTGTTAGTATGTCTGACACTGTTAGTATGTCTGACACTGTTAGTATGTCTGACACTGTTAGTATGTCTGACACTGTTAGTATGTCTGACACTGTTAGTATGTCTGACACTGTTAGTATGTCTGACACTGTTAGTATGTCTGACACTGTTAGTATGTCTGACACTGTTAGTATGTTTGACACTGTTAGTATGTCTGACACTGTTAGTATGTCTGACACTGTTAGTATGTCTGACACTGTTAGTATGTCTGACAGTGTTAGTATGTCTTACAGTGTTAGTATGTCTGACAGTGTTAGTATGTCTTACAGTGTTAGTATGTCTTACAGTGTTAGTTTGTCTAACAGTGTTAGTATGTCTTACAGTTTTAGTATGTTTTACAGTGTTAGTATGTCTGACAGTATTAGTATGTCTGACACTGTTAGTATGTCTTACAGTGTTAGTATGTCTGACACTGTTAGTTTGTTTTACAGTGTTAGTATGTCTCACAGTGTTAGTATGTCTTACAGTGTTAGTATGTCTCACAGTGTTAGTATGTCTTACAGTGTTAGTATGTCTTACAGTGTTAGTGTTAGTATGTCTGACACTGTTAGTAAGGCTGACAGTGTTAGTATGTCTTACAGTGTTAGTATGTCTTACAGTGTTAGTATGTCTTACATTGTTAGTATGTCTTACAGTGTTAGTATGTCTTACAGTGTTAGCATGTCTTACAGTGTTAGTATGTCTTACAGTGTTAGTATGTCTTGCAGTGTTAGTATGTCTTACATTGTTAGTATGTCTGACACTGTTAGTATGTCTTACAGTGTTAGTTTGTCTAACAGTGTTAGTATGTCTTACAGTGTTAGTTTGTCTAACAGTGTTAGTATGTCTTACAGTGTTAGTATATCTTACAGTGTTAGTATGTCTTACAGTGTTAGTTTGTCTAACAGTGTTAGTATGTCTTACAGTGTTAGTTTGTCTAACATTGTTAGCATGTCTTACAGTGTTAGTATGTCTTACAGTGTTAGTATATCTTACAGTGTTAGTTTGTCTAACAGTGTTAGTATGTCTTACAGTGTTAGTATATCTTACAGTGTTAGTATATCTTACAGTGTTAGTATATCTTACAGTGTTAGTTTGTCTAACAGTGTTAGTATATCTTACAGTGTTAGTTTGTCTAACAGTGTTAGTATATCTTACAGTGTTAGTATATCTTACAGTGTTAGTATATCTTACAGTGTTAGTTTGTCTAACAGTGTTAGTATGTCTTACAGTGTTAGTATATCTTACAGTGTTAGTATGTCTTACATTGTTAGCATGTCTTACAGTGTTAGTATGTCTTACAGTGTTAGTATGTCTTGCAGTGTTAGTATGTCTTACATTGTTAGTATGTCTGACACTGTTAGTATGTCTTACAGTGTTAGTTTGTCTAACAGTGTTAGTATGTCTTACAGTGTTAGTTTGTCTAACAGTGTTAGTATGTCTTACAGTGTTAGTATATCTTACAGTGTTAGTATGTCTTACAGTGTTAGTATGTCTGACACTGTTAGTATGTCTTACAGTGTTAGTATGTCTTACTGTGTTAGTTTGTCTAACAGTGTTAGTATGTCTTACAGTGTTAGTTTGTCTAACAGTGTTAGTATGTCTTACAGTGTTAGTTTGTCTAACAGTGTTAGTATGTCTTACAGTGTTAGTATGTCTTACAGTGTTAGTATGTCTTACAGTGTTAGTATGTCTTACAGTGTTAGTATGTCTTACAGTGTTAGTTTGTCTAACAGTGTTAGTATGTCTTACAGTGTTAGTTTGTCTTACTGTGTTAGTTTGTCTAACAGTGTTAGTATGTCTTACAGTGTTAGTATGTCTTACAGTGTTAGTTTGTCTAACAGTGTTAGTATGTCTTACAGTGTTAGTTTGTCTAACAGTGTTAGTATGTCTTACAGTGTTAGTATGTCTAACAGTGTTAGTATGTCTTGAAGTGTTAGTATGTCTAACAGTGTTAGTATGTCTTACAGTGTTAGTATGTTTTAAAGTGTTAGTATGTCCTACAGTGTTAGTATGTCTTACAGTGTTAGTATGTTTTAAAGTGTTAGTATGTCTTACAGTGTTAGTATGTCTTACAGTGTTAGTATGTCTAACAGTGTTAGTATGTCTTACAGTGTTAGTATGTCTTACAGTGTTAGTTTGTCTTACAGTGTTAGTATGTCTTACAGTGTTAGTATGTCCTACAGTGTTAGTATGTCTTACAGTGTTAGTATGTCTTACAGTGTTAGTATGTCTTACAGTGTTAGTATGTTTTAAAGTGTTAGTATGTCTTACAGTGTTAGTATGTCTTACAGTGTTATTATGTCTTACAGTGTTAGTATGTTTGACAGTATTATTATGTCTTATAGACTTTAGTAACAGGCATGAGGTCACGTCCGCTCGGACGATTGTAAACAGAGGAATTGCGAAGATTTGGTAAATATTTTAGACTGAGGGTACGTTTTCCATACTAATATATTCCTGTTTCTGGGATCTGCCTGTGTGAGAATCAGTACCCTGTAGTAGAAAGGAACTTGAGTTAACCTTCTGTTGGTAGGCTAAGGCAGACTATCGCTGTCACTCAAGAGTAGTTATACGTAACAGATCAAGCCACCTCTATGCAGATAAGGCTAAGTTTAAAAATAGACCTGCCTCTATAGGTATAAAGTCCATCCTTTGTAAATATATGTATTTGGGTAAAGTTAGGTACTCCTATAGGTCCTAATAAAGACTGATTTGTACATATGCTTCATTGACTATATAAAAGCATTTGACTGTGTGAAGCATTAAGAAGTAATCAAACTGTTAGGAAAATTAAACATTGATGGGAAAGATCTACGAATAATAAAGAATATCTATTGGCAGCAAACAGCAGCTATAAGAATTAACAACTGTTTAGGTACATTTCAAAGCATAAAGAGGGGCGTACGACAAGGATGTCTACTGTCACCTGGTTTGTTTTCAATATACAGTGAATATATAATGAGAGCTTTAATTGGTATGCCACAAATTGTGGTTGGTGGGCACAATATAAACAATTTACGTTATGCTGATGACACAGCCTTGATAGCAACAAGTTAGAAAGAACTACAGAAAATGATAGACATTGTGGTGTTAGAAAGTGGAAGAATGGGCCTCAGTTTGAATACTGGGAAGACATAAGTAATGGTGGTATCAAAGAAACGAATTATTCCTAAGTGTGTAATAAAAGTCGTTGGTGTTATTTTAGGACAAGTGCAGAAAATTAAGTATCTGGGCACATGGATAACATTAGATGGAAGATGCATAACTGAGATAAGAAATAGAATAGGACAGGCAAAAACTGCATTTTATAAAATTAAAAACATCTTGTGCAATATATTCTTGTCATTGAGAGTTAGAGAAAGAATTCTTGCTTACTACATACATCCAATTTTAACATATGACTGTGAATCCTGGACAATCGTTAGGCAGGCCAAACAATTTCTGGAGGCCTCGGAGATGTGGTTTTACAGAAGAATGTTTAGAATACCTTGGACTTGAAAAGAACAACCAAGAGGTTTTGAAAGAGGCTGGAGCCCGAAGACAACTTATTACAGACATCAGAAGGAGACACTCATTTTTCGGCCATGTTATGAGAAGAGGGAAAATAGAACATGTTGTGACCACTGGAAAGATATGTGGAAGGAGAGATAGAGGAAGACAACGACAGAAGATACTTGACAGTTTTGTTGCATGGCATGGAGGTGTGTCGGCAAACGAACTGATACATGCTGCAGGAGATCGCAGATTATGGAGAGGCATGATCGTCCACGCCAGTCGGCAAGGCACCTGATAATGATAATGATGCTAGGTCCTAATTCTCTTGGGAACGTTGTAGTTTTAAATCTATATTCGTAGGTTTTTCGGTGGTAATTATTGCCAAAAGTCCTATGGGCATATTGCCGCCTAGGAATATTTTATGTTCTGTAGTGCCATAATTTATGTCACCTCACCCCTGAAGTAGGTTGGATGTTCATTGAAGCTGCGGGATTCCGCCTAGACCATTGAGAGCCATTATCTCAACATTTTATAACTTCTTCAGAGTGCTAATTGGTTTTTTTTTTTTTTCAGGGAAAACCCTTACCAAGGCATGTGACATCAGCAGTATGTGACAGGAGTATTAGACAGAACCTAGTTTCTTTCTAGCCTCACTGCTAGTCAATGGTGACCCTAGAATATTACGGACCTGATCGGTCTATAAAAGCCTATCACAGACATATGAGCTAAATAACTGTAGGAATTTGGATGGGTGGTGAACAGGGTGTAGTGTTTAGTGATCGCTAACTCTGGTTTCCCTCTTTGTCACAGGATGTTTCTTGTATCTGGAGGCTAGGTCAACTATCAGTATCCTAAGATACATCAGGTGTAACCAGCAGACAGCCTACAGTACAAGGAATCATCAGTGAACACCTCACTCATGTCAATGCACCAATGTCTGGATCTACATGAGATTACAACTGTCCACCTTTCCTTGATTCTAACCACCAGTTTATGTCCTCAACCACGGAGCTATTTCTGTGGTTAGGCTGCCAACAACTGCCACGACCAGAGGGTGGCCTAGAGTCTAATAGAGAACATTTCCAAGTACCAAGGAACTTTCTACCTTGATCATACTATTAAATGCTATCAACAATACAGTTTCATAAATTATAAAGATTCAAGGTTTCTTTTGACTCCAGTGTCTGATGAACAATAGTATTTGATGTTGAATTCACAAGGCGTCAAACATTCTCAACGTCAACTGTTGGGAGATGCTGCACTTTGGATAAAAAGGACCTCCAGGACAGATAGGTTGTGGTAGCTCGAATTGCGGTTACTCATAACACCAAGTGCCAGTTACCTAAGTCCATAATTTGACAATAATGAGACTTGTTGATGCTAGTAGCAAGCCAGGAGTTCATCTGGAATAGGGATTTTTTAGATTCCATAGCAAATTTACTTTCTCTTGCTGAATACATTTCTTTACATTCTTACTTGTGTTGCACTGATTACATGATGTTTTGTTATTTTACATTTTGTGGTTAGTGTCCATCCGTCACAGTTCTTAATTTATCTGGAATGCATGTTGTATTATTGTATTTCATTCTGTACTATGATAATTTGACTAGCATAAGACTGCTATCTAGTCTGGGGGCTTGAAAGTAGAGGGGAAGTCTGACCTAGGAATATTTAATAATTCTGTAGTGCCATAATTTGAGTCGCCTCACCCCTGAAGTAGATTGGATGTTCTTTGGAGTTGGGGAATACCACCAAAACCATTCCGAGCCAATTTCTCAACACTTAAACTACTTAAGTTCTTTTTTGTGTGTGTGTGGTTAATTAGGGGAAACCCCAATAAAGACACGTGACACCAGCGTTATGTGACACTGACAGTATGAGTATGTCTGACAGTGTCAGTATGTCTGACAGTGTTAGTATGTCTGACAGTGTCAGTATGTCTTACAGTGTCAGTATGTCTGACAGTATTAGTATGTCTGACAGTATTAGTATGTCTCACAGTGTCAGTATGTCTGACAGTATTAGTATGTCTGACAGTATTAGTATGTCTGACAGTATTAGTATGTCTGACAGTATTAGTATGTCTGACAGTATAGGTATGTCTTACAGTGTCAGTATGTCTGACAGTATTAGTATGTCTGACAGTATTAGTATGTCTGACAGTATTAGTATGTCTGACAGTGTTAGTATGTCTGACAGTGTTAGTATGTCTGACAGTATTAGTATGTCTGACAGTATTAGTATGTCTGACAGTATTAGTATGTCTGACATTTTTAGTATGTCTGACAGTATTAGTATGTCTGACAGTATTAGTATGTCTGACAGTATTAGTATGTCTGACAGCATTAGTATGTCTGACAGTATTAGTATGTCTGACAGTATTAGTGTGTCTGACAGTATGTGTATGTCTTACAGTGTCAGTATGTCTGACAGTATTAGTATGTCTGACAGTATTAGTATGTCTGACAGTATTAGTATGTCTGACAGTGTCAGTATGTCTGACAGTATTAGTATGTCTGACAGTATTAGTATGTCTGACAGTATTAGTATGTCTGACAGTATTAGTATGTCTGACAGTATTAGTATGTCTTACAGTGTCAGTATGTCTGACAGTATTAGTATGTCTGACAGTATTAGTATGTCTTACAGTGTCAGTATGTCTGACAGTATTAGTATGTCTGACAGTGTTAGTATGTCTGACAGTATTAGTATGTCTGACAGTATTAGTATGTCTGACAGTATTAGTATGTCTGACAGTATTAGTATGTCTGACAGTGTCAGTATGTCTTACAGTGTCAGTATGTCTGACAGTATTAGTATGTCTTACAGTGTCAGTATGTCTGACAGTGTTAGTATGTTTGACAGTTTTAGTATGTCTTACAGTGTCAGTATGTCTGACAGTGTTAGTATGTCTGACAGTGTTAGTATGTTTGACAGTATTAGTATGTCTTACAGTGTCAGTATGTCTGACAGTGTTAGTATGTCTGACAGTATTAGTATGTTTGACAGTATTAGTATGTCTTACAGTGTCAGTATGTCTGACAGTGTTAGTATGTCTGACAGTATTAGTATGTTTGACAGTATTAGTATGTCTTACAGTGTCAGTATGTCTGACAGTGTTAGTATGTTTGACAGTATTAGTATGTCTCACAGTCTTTAGTACTGCTTCGGGGTATTTCTGAAAACCAGACATGTCGACCGCCAGTTGTCAGTCTCTAGCACAGTCGACCATGGATGGAGCATATGCGACTTAGTTAAATTTACCTTTAGGAATCTGACCAGCCTTGAGGAAGCGCATGAGAGGGACCTTAGGACTGGCACTAGTGTTGGCCCTCATCATTGCTTTGTTTACACTGACGGCGAACTATTTTCGGGACCTTATTGTGGTGCTATCTACGAGATCGTCCCTGACCTAGGGCTTTTCTGCACGCGTACAATAGGTAGCTCTGCATAAGGGACATTTTGGGTCGTTGGTGGCGCGCTATTCGAACATGTTAACGCCTGAGGTTAACACACGGTACGAAGATTTTAAGCACAGTCGCAGCAGAGCCATTTGTCAAATATCACTCCATTTGAGTTCTTGTAGCAAAGTACAATCGAGGCTGATCCACTGGCCTTGCTGCCACTGATGGGCTGGCATTCTGGACTCGTAACTCATTTTTGGAGTCCCTGGTGTTACCATGTCTTACGCTCTTTGACCTAATCTTTTGACCACCACGTGACCATTCCTTGCCCTAAGCAGCGCTGATGGGTTTGCATGTAACTCATGACTCCTCTAACTTTTAGTGCAATCTGAGAATATTCTACTTCATCTTCTACTTTCCACTTCTTAGCTGTTTTTAGAACAGGCTGGACAGCAGCTACTATGAGGTCTGCAGACTTGCGCAACATAATCGCAAGTCTGGCCTTGCCGACTTTAAACTCTTCAGATATCGACTTGAAAGGAATTACCAGCTTAATCTGTTTACAATACAGGGTCACGTCGGTCAGACAAAACTGCACCCTGAGCCATTTCTTCATGGCGGTGATTTTCCGCTCCGTTGCTTTTACTGCGCTGGTGTTAACTTCGTACACTAGCAGCGGCCAGAGGAGCTTTGGAATCAACAAGAACTGGACACAACAGATTTCGAACTTCCCGATCAGCCTACACTGATTGATAGCAAGCAGGCCTGTTGCCAGTGACTCAGGTAGACGCTAGACCTCCTTCCTATCAGATAGCTTCGAATAATAAACGCAGCCGAGACTCTTCACTGGTTACTCCAGAACCGTGGCGATTATTTTGTTTGCCACCGTAAATCTTGTTGCCATCACCTTACCCTTACGGATTGACATACTTCCTGACTTCTGCGGTTTGAACTGCATGTTGCACCATTCAACCACGCAATGCAGACTCTTCAGAATAACGCGTACATCTTTTTCACTACTCGTTATGGTCGTCGTATCATCCATCAATGCTCTAAGTGTTGGCATACGAGATTCCCAAGTTAAAGGCCCTACCAGTAACCGGCAGCGACGTCTAACACAACATGATTGGCCATGACGAACAGTAGCCGAGAAATCGTACACTTCATTGCTATCCCTACCTGTAGCACAGTCCACCTCGTAGCGAGCGTGGGGTAGGAGAAGCGTATGACAAACTCTGAAAAATACTGCTTGATGATATCGATGATCCGTGTCGGTATGTGAAATATGCGAAGGACCTGCCACAATAGCTTATAGGATACCGACCCATAGGCGTTGGCGAGGTTTAACCAGATCATGTGCAGTTCGGTTTTCTCTGCCTTAGGTCTCTGGATACTCTCCCAGATCATGTTCGCATGCTCAAGACACTTGGGGACGCCTGGGATACCATTTTCTGCACCGATGTGTCTATGTATCTGTTCTGCATTAGATAATGCGTGAGTCTGCGTGCCATAACTGAGAAGAATATTTTGCCCTGAGCGTTCAACAGCCAGATTGGCCTGGAATGGGATAGATCAGAGGAGTCTTGCTACTTGGGAATATAGACTACGTCAGCCTTCTGCCACTCCTTACATATAGACTCCCTCTGCCACTCCTTACATATACACTCCGTCGGCCCTCTTCCACTCCTTACAGATAGACTCCGTCAGCCCTTTGCTACTCCTTACATATAGACTCCGTCGGCCCTCTGCTACTTCTTACATAAAGACTCCGTCAGCCCTCTGCCACTCCTTACATATAGACTCCGTCAGCCCTCTGCCACTTCTTACATATATACTCTGTCAGCCCTCTGCCACTCCTTACATATAGACTTCGTCGGCCCTCTGCCACTCCTTACATAAAGACTCTGTCAGCCCTCTGCTACTCCTTACATATAGACTCCGTCAGTCCTCTGCTACTCCTTACATGTAGACTCCGTCAGCCCTCTGCTACTCCTTACATATAGACTCTGTCAGCCCTCTGCTACTCCTTACATATAGACTCCGTCAGCCCTCTGCTACTCCTTACATATAGACTCCGTCAGTCCTCTGCTACTCCTTACATATTTACGTTTGGCTCCTCACAAGCTTTAACAAGAGGTGAAGCTTCCAGAGGACTTTCGTACGGGACATCGTTGGGTGCTGGGGCAGACTTGCCGCTGGCTCTTTTCACAATTTCTTTGACCTCAGACCAAAGGGGAGGCATTGTTTTCAACTTCGCCTTCGGCAACTCAGACAACTTCAGACCACTGGTAAACTCCTCCTTGTCATCGAGAAGATCATTCCTTGTCCGATCTGACCACATGCCCAGTAGATGCGACTACAATTCCTCTTTACTGACGACAGTCTTTGGTTGCTGGAACAGGCCTTGGGCAAACTGGAAGGGATCCCTAAAGAACTTGTATCGTTCCTTCTTAGTCCTTCTATTCCGAGAGAAAACCTCAGCGCGACATAAATCACGGTGTCTTCTCTTTAAGTACACCCAGTCCCCCTCGTGACTGCTTGTAGCGGCTTTTAAACCGTTTGCTTAGTGCATTTTTGTCTGTCCTGCACCTTGTCAATGTCACTCTGCCATCTGCTTTTCACATGCATAACGCCCATGTTTAACATCATCTAGTCAATCACTTGTGGGATGTAATTTTTCGTGATTTTGAAGCCCCACCCTGGCTCTTGCCAGGGGCCCCAACATTGCGCGGCCATAAATATGGTCTAATGGCTGAACGCGGTTTCTGGGACCTCTCCACGGGTGATCCTCATCAACATGGTCGCACTTTGTGTCATGGGGTATTTATCGCTTGTGTGATGTCCTAGTGGGGTAAAATGTACTTCTACTACGCCCAGCCACGTCTTCGCTACTATCCAGAACTCGTGGGCACAATGCCAGACAGCCAGTTTACACCCCGCGCTGCTATAGCGCCAGTCTTTCCATGGCGTCAAAATGTCTCTTCCGATCGTCGCCTGACTTTCTAGATTGTCTTGTGGACTAGCCAGGGACAATAAGAACTCCTCGACAGAAGCATGCACAGCAGGAGTCTACCGATCATCAGTAGGTGGGTCGCCCTTTTTACAATTGCTTCGGTCCATTATCCTCCTAGACAATCCTGGGTGGGGTTGGGGGTCATGACGCCAGGCTTCGAACTTCGCCTGCTACGCTTTATCGAACATTTAGCCAAGAACATAATGGTGGTTTTGCAACAGGTAATGAGGACACAGACTGAAGGCCAGACTCGGATGACGTTGCGCAAGTCTGCAGACCCCCATAGTAGCCGCTGTCTAGCCCCCTCTAAACACAGGAAAGGAGTGGAAAGTAGAAGATGCCACAGAGTATGCTCAAAATGCACTACAATTGAGAGAAGTCATGTGTTTCACACAAACCCACCTACGCGGCAAAGCGCAATGGAAGGTCACTTGGTGGTCCAAAGATTCGGTGAAGAGCGTAGTGACATGGTAACGCGACATAGCAGAATCCAGAATGCAGCCAAGCACTCACAGCAAGGCCAATGGATCCGCCTCGGGAGTGCCTTGCCATGAGAACTCACATGGGGTGAGTTTTGGTGAATGGCTCCACTGTGACTGAGCTTTGTCATTAGATCTGCGTACGATGCGGACATTGCAGCATTAATACCATGGGGTAGTTCGGGGCAATTAGATCGTTGATATAGACAAGAAAAAGTGTGTGTGTGGGGGGGGGGGAGGGCATGACCGCTTCTTGTTTTTCAAGATATATATATATATATATATATATATATATATATATATATATATATATATATATATACTGGAAACCAACACTGAATACAGTTAAAACCATTTAACAGCAATATTGTATTAGCAATTAACACGCTTCAGATACACGTTTGTCCTATTTACAGAATTAATCAATTTTATCATGAAAATAGATTAACATTGTTTCATCCTTTGCTTACAAACTGCATGTTCACAAATCTAGCCGATGTTTGTAGGTTTTAAGTAGAAATTCAACATTCAACGTAGAACAAATGAAACTGTTATTTCTTGTGTTACATATGCCTATAGGCGACTGGTTGAGTGGCTCTCCTCCTATGTTCGAATCCTACGTAAGGGTATGGACGTTAATTTATTCTGTTGAGGTAAAAATAAAATCCTAGCCAGCACAGATCGCGGTGGCTGCCTAACCTACACGGCCCAGATCAGAATCAAATCCCACCCCCACAGCCCATCCCAAACTACCCTGTCCTAAAAAGTGATAAACATAGGTAGTACCGATAGTTTGATAACGTTAGTTAGTCTGAAATGCTTTACACAGCCTAAGTTAAATTTTTAAAATTGAAAGTTATTACTGTGAAACAGCCGTAGCATTTACTATATTACTGCTAAAATCCTTTAATAGATTAATGATATATTTGAAGCATTATGTAAAGTTTGAAAATTATTGTATGTCTAAGTCAACTTAAAGAAGTGATCATTTTATTTGTTTTAGTGATGTCAACTTCAGTAACGCATGTAACCCAGGGACACACAGCACCGCATTATAGATCTATACAACTTCACCTAGCCGCACACAGACACCGATTTATTAACCTACAGACCTTCAACCAGCCTCACAGTCACTCTGATTTCTAAACCTATAAACCTACAGACCATCACCTAGCCGCACATGGACACCGATTTTTTGACCTACGGACCTTCAACCAGCCACACACTCACACCGATTTCTAAACCCACAGACCTTCAC